TACCAGGTTTTCACCTGCAAAACGTGAAAGAAGTCGCAGGCAGCGCAGGGAAGGGTCGCTCGGTTCCTGGGCTGAGGTGTGCACACCAAACTGGAAATATGTAATTCAGGTCGTTCGAAACTGCCTAGTCTGAGCAGCTAGAGCGACAGCCATAGCATAGAACATCTAGCATTCTACCCCATTCCAGCGCATGGCGGAAAATTCCTCCTTAGGACGTTAGGACCATGCCTTCATTCTTCCAATCCGTCTCTAAAGCGCCCCGCGGTTCTAGGTCACGTTTCCACTCGACATAGCTAGCCGGGGCCATGGTTGCACATATGCCCGTCGTCGCCCTGGTTTCACTTCCACACCGCCCACCGCACCAATGTCGCCTATCTTCATAGCCGCGACGTCCTCTCTATCCGCCGCGTAGGTTTCATCCACCTGCTTCGCCGCATCGCTTCTTCTCCCCGACGTCCACACTCGGACCCCTTCCGGAACACACACGCGATCCCCTCCATCCCTCACGCTTCTTCCCTCGAACGAGCACGCTCCCTTCCCTCCCATCTCCTTCACGCAAAACCCTCTGTTGCGCACGCGAACATCCCTCCGTCGCGGATGATAACGCCTTCCCGTCGCACACAGGCACTCCCCTCGAACGGTCACGCACACTCCCTTTCGTCGCCGGCGCGCACTCCCTTCCGTCGCCCACGCTCAAGCCCTTCCCGTCGCCCACGCTCACTCCCTTCCCATCGCGATCGCGGGGGGAAATCGTACCGTCGCCCACGATCATTCACTTCCGTCGCCCACGCTCACCCCCATTCCATCGCCTTCGCGCAATCCTTCGGTCGCACACGCTCACCCCCGCTCGTCGCCACGGCCTATTCCTTCCCGCATCTCCGCCTCACCCCGTCTCCTCCTCACCCCAGCTCCGCCCGCGCGCACTCCCTCCCGTTGCGCGCGACAACTCCCCTTCCGCCGCCCACGCTCTCTCCCTCCCGCCACGTTCTCTCGCTTCCCTCCTGTCGCGACAGTCCCCTCCGTCGCCCACGCTCACTCCTCCCCACCACGCACGCTCTCCCCCCATCCATCGCCCACGCTCACTGCCCGTACTCCGCACACGCTCACTTCCCTCCGTCGCCCAGGCTCACCCCCTGCCCCTCGCCTTCTCTCATTCCCCTCCGTCGCCTATGCTCCATCCCCATCCCTTCCCTCCCCATCCCTCATCTCCCCATCCCTTCCCTCCCTATCCCTCATCTCCCCATCCCTTCCCTCCCCATCCCTCATCTCCCCATCCCGTCCCTCCCCATCCCTCACCTCCCCATCCCCGCCTCCCCATCCCTTCCCTCTCCATCCCTTCCCTCCCCATCCCTCACCTCCCAGTCTCTCAACTTACCGTCCCTCTTCTCCCCATCCCTCTTCTCCCCATCCCTCTTCTCCCCATCCCTTCCCTCTCCATCCCTCACCTCACCATTCCGTTTCAACCCATTCCGCCCCACCCCATTCCGCCCCACCCCATTCCGCCCCACCCCATTCCGCCCCACCCCATTCCGCCCCATCCCATTCCGCCTCACCCCATTCCGCCCCACCCCAATCCGCCCCACCCCAATCCGCCCCACCCCATTCCGCCCCACCCCATTCCGCCCCACCCCCATCTCCTCCTCACCCCATCTCCTCCTCACCCCTCATCCGTTGTGCTTTTCGGCACTAAGAAGCTTTTTGGGGAGGGGAGATGCGGTTCCGCCCCACCCCACTCCGCTCTCCCCCATCTCCGCCCCACCCCACTACGCTCTCCCCCATCTCCGCCCCACCCCACTACGCTCTCCCCCATCTCCGCCCCACCCCACTACGCTCTCCCCCATCTCCGCCCCACCCCACTACGCTCTCCCCCATCTCCGCCCCACCCCACTCCGCTCTCCCCCATCTCCGCCCCACCCCACTCCGCTCTCCCCCATCTTCGCCCCACCCCACTCCGCCCTGGCCCACTCCGCCCCACCCCATCTCAAGGTCACCCCATTCCGCCCCACCCTTCAAAATCACCCAATTCCGCCCCACCCATCTCTGCCCCACCCATCTCCACCCCAACCCATCTCTGCCTCTCGTTTGTCTCCTACCATAATAATAATCCGTGAGTGTCTCTTTATTTCTTCCTCTTCGCAGGTGCCGGCTTGTCAGTGTCAGTGCCCACCCTTTTGTATGCGTTCTGCTTCAGCCACGAGCATCTGATTTTCACAACTGGGTTTGTACAGGCCCCCCCCCTCCCTCCCCCCCCCCCCCCCCCCCCCCCCCCCCCTATGCATTTGGTTCAGGAATGTTGGTTGTTGGTAGTACTACTACTAGGTATGACAAATAGACATGCCAATGTTGGATATTTAGTATTATATACTAAATTTTGATCCACAGAGGTATGAGACTGTAGACCACTTACAATGTGCATCAATCTAGTAAAAAAGAACAAGCTAGTCCATGTGATGTCTTGTCCAACTCTTGTCTGCACATACAGCAGCAAAAAACCAGGACTTGTGGTTCCCTCCCAACAGCTGGTGCTGGGCACCGACACACTGCATGGGTAAAGGGTTGAATAGGGGAGTGAGCAGGAAAGAACAGAATGAGCAGGGAAAAACAGAGTGCAGGGGAGACAGTGAGCAGAGGTAAAATAATTGAGCAGGGGGAAAGAGAGAGAACATGTTGAAAGGGAGTGAGCAGGTGGGAAGATAGTGAGCAGGGAGAAACATAGTGAGCAAGGGGAAGAGAGCGAGCAGGGGAAAACAGAACGAGCAGCAAGGGGAAGAGAATGAGCAGTGGAGGAAGAGAGTGAGCAGGGGGGAATAGAAAAAACAGGGGGGAAGAGAGGAAACAGAGCGAGCAAGGGGGAAACAGAGTGAGGAGCGGGAAGGGAGCGAGCAGGGAGAAACATAGTGAGAGCAGCCCTGTCCGTGCTGCACTCGCCGAACAGCGCCACCACGCTGGCCGCTGCCTGGCGTGCGCTGATGGCATGCGCCTTGCGCACGTCGAGGGTGTGAGAGAGGCGAGGAGTGTGAGAGAGGCGAGGAGTGTGAGAGAGGCGGGGAGTGTGAGAGAGGCGAGGAGGAGTGTGAGAGAGGCGAGGAGTGTGAGAGAGGCGGGGAGTGTGAGAGAGGCGAGGAGTGTGAGAGTGGCGAGGAGTGTGAGAGAGGCGAGGAGTGTGAGAGAGGCGAGGAGTGTGAGAGAGGCGAGGAGTGGCGGAGGAGGATTGGGTTAGAAGGGGAGGAATTGCAGGGAAGGCGTGAGAAAAAATACCATGGAAGTTCAAAGGTAGGGAAAGGGAAATGAAGTTGTTCGAGGGGAAAAGAGGCGATGAGGGTTGAGAGTGGGAATGGAAAGCAGGGGCTTATGAGGAAGGGTGCGTGGGGAGGCGTGGCGAGTGTGAGAGGGCGGGCGGACGTCGTGATGAGGCCCGCAGGCGAGCGCGGAGTGAGCAAGGGGATGAGGGTGGGCATGGGGAAAGGGAGTGAACAGGGGGGAACACCACGAACTGGGGGGAAGAGGGTGAGCAGGGGGAAACAGAATGAGCAAGGGGGAAACAGAATGAGCAAGGGGGAAACAGAATGAGCAAGGGGGAAGAGAGTGATCAGGGGGGGGGGAGGGAGTGAACAGGGGGGAACAGAGTGAAGGGAGGAAGGGGAGTAATTGTTTCGCATGAGTGTACGTGGGTGAGAGTGAAGCTTTGGGTGGGGAAAAAAAGAGGTGGTAAACCAGGGCACTGGGAAGGGTAGAGAAGGCGGCGGGGCGGGAAACCAGGGCGTCGGCGCGAGGGAGGGGAATGGGCATGGGCGACGGAGGAAGGAAGCGAGGGCGAAGAAGAGGGGACGCTCGACGAAGACGTCAGCGGCGGGAATGAGAACAATGTTGACGCAGCGACAGGTGGGAGAGGAGAGGTCGACTCGGCGAGCGATGGGGAGGGAAAACGAGGGCGACGGGAGGGGGAAAACGAGGGCGACGGGAGGGGGAAAGCGAGGCCGACGGAAGGGGGAAAGCGAGGTCGACGGGAGGGGGAAAGCGAGGTGGACGGGAGGGGGAAAGCGAGGTCGAAGGGAGGGGGAAAGCGAGGTCGACGGGAGGGGGAGGCGGCGATGGCGACCCGCGAGGCGAGGGTGGTAGGCGGGGAAGATGCGGTACGCGACGGGCGGGGGAAGCGAGGGCGGCGGGTATGGGAAGCGAGGGCAACGGGAGGGGAGAAGCGAGGGCGGGCGGAGGAAGCAAAGGCGACGGGCAGGGAGGAGGCGAGGCGACGGGCGGGGAGGAGGTGGTGCGCGGGAAGAGCGAGGGCGACGGGCGGGGGAAGCGAGGTGGGCAAATCGCTAATATCTCCCGTGCCATCTCGTTTCTACGTGCGTCACACTCGCAGCCAGCGCCTACGATTCACTTCGATTGCATGACCGCGCTTCATCTTCTATTCGATCGTCCCTAAATTGTGTTCACTTGATATGCCTGGCTGGTGAGTGCGATGCTTGGATCCTAAAAAGCTTGTCTGAGTTGTTCGCTTGTTCTGTCGCACAGGTTTTTACCCTGCTCGCTCTCTGGGGTTGTAAGCAGAATGTATGCGAACTGTTGGGTTGCGTTGGCTGATAACGCCTCGTTGACTCACGGGAGAGTCGCATCATGTTTCGCTAACTTTTTTGCTTTCGCAATTCTGCCGCACCTCATATTGCCCGAACCCCAAACCTACCAAACCAAGCGTTGACTCAGTTTTTGTAATTCAGGCTTCGGGTTTTAAACGCCATCCATCCAGCACTTCTCTGAATTCATCAGCAAGCATTGACCAATGGAATGTCTGACGAGGGCAGCAGAGCCAATGGACGACACGGGCTCAGCCGCTCAGCACATTGTGCGAGACAATGTACTGCAGAAACCAGTTGTTGTGAGCCCCTCAAATCCAGCTGGAATAACTATTTGTGCTGAAATTGTTCCGCGAATTTTAGCGACCTAGAAGTTGGTGACTAGTTTCCATCAGGCTTGCCTCGAGCTTGCCGACGGCGAAAATGGCTGCCGTTGCTTCACAATTCGCCTCCACTGCCGCTCTCGAGAGGGGCCAGTTGCGCGAGACAGAAGGGCGATCTGCTTCCGTAGCTGTTTGTACGTAACCTTCTACGACTCCTCGATTGCATTACGAATTGTAAACTCTTCCTAATCCAATTTACTGAAACAGTTTCCTTGATGGCACACGAAGCGCTCTAGGCGCGGCCACTATGCCTAGTACCAGAAAGCTGCTCAATCATGTTTATTTTGTTATTTGTTTCCCTCCCTTATCGTACCAGGCTTCAATGGCCTCAGACGTGAATCTACGACAGCACTACCATCCCGATCAAACCGCATCGTCCACCGCCGTTCACGGTTTTCAGTCGCACGTGCAGCAGAGAGCAGTGATTCCTCTGGTCCGTCACCTTCTCCACTCGCTACAGTCACACAGTCCTCCTCTACTCCCGACCTGTCTTCCGCCACTGCCGCTTTGGACCGCCTCAGAACCAATCTCGCTTCATTCACACAGTCCACCTCCACTCCTGAAGTGTCTGCCGCCATTGACGCTGCTAAGCCTTACGCTCCATCCGTCCTAGGCGCCGGAGCGCTCGGTGTTGCGTCTTATTTAATAGTCAGAAAGCTCACGTCTGGTTCTGCTAAAGCGGAAGCGGGAGCAGAAGCTGAAGCAGCTCCTCCTGGCGGCATCGTGCCACGTGCCAAAAAGGTACCTGCATTGAAATAGGCCTTATCTTCCATTTACCAATGTTTCTATCTAACCTCTTCCAGTACCTTCTCACGCTGTGGCTAAACACGTCAAAGTAATAAGCTCGCGTCCAATTCCCAGAATCGAGTCACCATCCTATTACCGTTCCGTTGCAAATCTGCCTCCTTTCCCCCTTTCAATTGCGTCTTTGCGTTTCGTCATAATTCCCCGTTCGTCCTCCAGGCCGCAACAACTGCGCTAGCGGCGATGGCCGCGACTTTCCCGCGGGCCATGCAGGAGGAGGCTTTCATGAAGGCCGTGAGCCAAGAGCTCAGCAAGCTGGGCTTCAAAAGGTGAGCTCGAGCTTTGAGAGGTGCAATGCGACGTACGGTACGTGGGCTTAGTACTAGATCGGGTTTGCACAAACATCAGCATGGAGTGGATCGAGGGGTGGGTAAAAGGGAGGAACGGCTCCGTGCTGAGGAGGGAGGGCAAATGAGAGCTTGAAAAGAACGGAAAAAACTGAAAGGCAGTGGGGAAATTAGAGGGGAAATTGTTACCAGAAGAAGGGACTTCCGCAGCAAAAAGTTGGACTATAAAGAGCTCTACCATAGATCAATACTATAAAAAAAGAAGTCGTCACGGACATGGTTTAGCCGCTGACAGACCATACTAGTGAAATACTTGTCTGACAGTAGATGCTGCAATTAGGGCTTACTTTCCGCAGCAAACGTCCTTCCTTCCCACCCCCTTCCGCCCCCCCTTTCCCCTCAACCCCCCAATTACGTCTCTTACCCCGCCATTTTCGTCCACTCACCCCACCAGAGACAACTGCATTGCGCTGGTGTCGACATGCCGGGACGAAGTGTGCAGGCCGGTGGTGAGCCTGGTGGATCAGGAATTCGGGCTGTCATTCAACATCGCAGGGCTGGGCGGCGTGCTCAACTGCGGCTCCACGGGCTTTAAGGCCGCCATGTCGCACTCGCCAGAGTTTCGCTGCGAGACTGATGGGACTGTCAAGGAGAGATGTGAGCGCGATGGGGCATTTGTGATGAGGCCTTCATGCATTGAAGGGACATTCATAGTGGGGCACGCCGGCATGGGATGGGGGAGTCATGCATGAGTGCTGGTCGTGCATGGTGAATGGCCATGCATGATGGTTGGTTGTGAGTAGTGAACAGCTGTGCATGATGGTTGGTTGTGAGTAGTGAACAGCTGTGCATGATGGTTGGTTGTGAGTAGTGAACAGCTGTGCATGATGGTTGGTTGTGAGTAGTGAACAGCTGTGCATGATGGTTGGTTGTGAGTAGTGAACAGCTGTGCATGATGGTTGGGCGAGTTGGAGATGAGGGTCAGTCGAGGGCGTTTGCACCATTTTCTGCAGCATATGCCTGTCCTTGCAAGCCCCAACAGTTTGTTTCCCTGTGCTTCTCTACCTCGCATTTCTCCCACCAATCCGTCTCCCTCTTCTCAGACATCTTCTTCGCCTTCCCTCACGTGTCAATCGGAGAGTCGGGAGAGGTGGGATCACTTCTGCGGCGCGGCCGAGGCAAGCCCTCCAGCGCATGTGGAGCGCTGATCGCTATTCAGAACGACATCAACGCGGGCAAGGCAACGGTGTCGGATCCTTATGACGAGGAATATGTGCTGCTCAAGAAGAAAGTCAAGTCACTGGTAGGTAACCGGAAGACAAACCGAGAACGCGTTTGCATGCCATGCCATGTCTATGGCCCTCATACTTGTTCCACGTCCATTTTTATAAAAAATACATGATCATAAGACTTTTTTTACCAAATGCCATCCTTGTCCCCAGATTCTACGGCGGGGAGCTTCGGAGTATTCGTTGGTGGAGGTGACTTGCGCTGCACTGGCAGCCATCAATGATGACCTGGAAAAGCTCATCTCCCTCACTGTCGACCCAGCCACTGCTGACTACGCTGTGATCACGGGCGTGCAGATTCACTCAGGCAACCAGGTGAGTGCCAAAGTATTGTGGTCTTGACTCTTGAGGGACGTGTATTGCTTGTTTTTTCTAAACATGTTTTTTCTGGTTTGTCACAGATTCCTGGAGAGCCATTCCGCATTGAGCGGACTTGTGATTATATTGCTCCTGATATGATGTACGCGGTTGTAAGAGGGCAACGGTATGACCTGCAGCTGGAAGCCAATAAGGAGGACTTGGCAGTCCACTCTAGTTAGATTTTCTAGATTCCACTACAAAAGAATACTAATACATGCGGTGCACTGGTAAACATATTGACATCTCCACATGTTTGTGTTAATGGTTTGGTTTTTATGACATCTTGGTCTCCAGTTTCTGGAGAACATAGTATCGGTGACGTTAGGGTTGTGCTAGGTGTTTTGTACGCGACCTCCACACCTCACATTTCAAACACTGCTGATTTACAACTTCCAGTCTGCTCAACCTCCGCCCTTCGTAAGCGTGACTCACCGTCCACGTGGCACCGATTTATATCTCAGGTTTTATCCCCCTCGGCCCCCACCCTCGATTGACTCTCCACCAGTCACAAATTTTCCTGCCGTCAAGGCGAATCAGTCCACAAGATTCCTGGATCTACGCGCGCCAGCGGGAAGTTCCGCCATCGTCAACCTCCCCCTAAACTTCGCGCTCGCTGGCATCCTTCCCCATTTTCCCCACTCCCTTCCCCGCCACATGCCCAAACTGATGAGTCAAATATGCTCACTCATCCAAGCTGAGCATCTCTAGATAGTTTTTGTGCTGGCTGGTCAGCCATGATTCTAGCGATCGAGGTATTGTAAAACACGACCAACCTAAAGTTTTCCGTCATCAGTGATCTCCGAAAAGCTGTTAGGAGATCAGGGCTGTTAGCCATTCTGCGATCACGATTTTAGCTCGAAAAGCCTGAAGTGGTTTTGCTTGAGCAACTCAAGTACTGGCTGGGGTCAGGGTTTTTTTTCTTTAGGAGTTGATCAGTCGTGCATGGTTGACAATGCTGAGGACGGTAGCTCCACAATTTTCTGGCTCTGCAGTAAAAATATCTGGAGCAGCTCTTCGTGAAAGAAATGAGTCATGCCAACGAAACGCTCACAATCTCACTCATTTGTCGAGATGTCAACATCCGGTTCAAATACCCCTAAAGACCGCTCTTAGACCTCAGATCCCCTCGTCATTGTCATCTCAACCGCATCTATTCCAACCTCTCCACAGATCAACCAGGCGCAGCTCTTTAAGGGCTCTCAGTTCGTTGTCTGGTGCTACTCCATTTGACGATGCTCTCGAATCAGAAGACGAGTCCATTGAGCAGTATGAAGCACGACTGGAAGCTAGAAGACAGCAGCTGCAAGCAAGTGGAGCGGCCGTTACGAGCAGTCCCGTTTCATCGACAGGTAGCATGGCGGAAGCGTTTGAGATAACGCCTCAGACGGCCATGGGGATCACGGGTATAATCAGCATTGTCGCTGTAGTAGCTCCGTTCTTCATGAGCGCGTGGAACCCTGCAGCTTCGCCTCACATGAAGGGCCTCACCTACCTGACGCTGCTCCTGGGATTCTACATGGCGTGGAACATTGGTGCGAATGACGTGGCAAACGCAATGGGGACGTCAGTGGGTTCGGGTGCGCTGACGCTCCGCCAGGCCGTGCTAGCAGCGGCGATCTTGGAGTTCGGTGGGGCTTTCCTGGTGGGATCGCACGTGAGCCACACGATGCAGAACGGAATCATCAAGGCGAATGTGTTTGCCGGGAAGAACGCAATGCTGTTCACAGGCATGATCTCCTCTCTTGCAGCCGCGGGAACGTGGCTTCAGGTACGAATTACTCAGTTTATTTATCCAGGGTGCTATTGACACTGAAATTGTTAACGAGACATTGAGAAACTAGGTGCAGATGATAATTAAGTTGAACAATGCTGATTTGGCCTCCCGCAGGAGGAAGAATGTCAAAGGAATGTTATCGATGTCATGGATCCACAAGAATTAAGCTGACCGGCCCTTCCATTCCTCCACGATGCACAGGTCGCTTCGTACTTCGGCTGGCCTGTATCGACGACGCACTGCATTATCGGAGCCATGGTGGGGTTTGGCATCATCTTCGGCGGCTGGAATGCCGTCTACTGGTCGTCGCTGGCTCGTGTGGTGTCGTCGTGGGTCGTCTCGCCTCTTCTCGGTGCCAGCATCGCCTTCATCGTTTACAAGTGTATCCGAAAGGTATTCACGTCTTTAAGCGATCATGCTATAACGCTCTGATGGCTGAAACAAAGACATCGTCACCTTCATCGTCTACAAGTGTATCAGGAAACAATCTGGCTGTTAAAGCGATGCCAACATCACCGTCCGGCTGTGATGGATGGAAGCCGTTAACTGAAAGCTGGATGGCGAAGGCGAGTCGATTTCCGAAACACTGGGACGAGGGGCAGGAATGGATAGCTGCGAACATAGCAGTGGCCGGTGGTGCGATTAATTGGCGCAAGGTGGAGAGGAAAATGTCCAAGGGGGAAGCGGAGAGCAATGATATAGACGGCAGAGCCGAGCAGGCGTTGGTGTAACCTTGTCTCGTGGCTGGACAGTAACACTAGAGGATTGTAGTTGTTAACACCCAGGTACCTCGTCCTCGTCCCCTTGACCTCTGACACTCCCTTTTTTCTCCAAACTCTTCCACTCCCTTTCTCCTCTTCCCCTATTCGGCCCTTCCTCTCTTTCCCCCGTCCGTTCCCGCTCTGCCACCTCCTCTCCCCTTCCGACTCACCCCCACCGCGTCGGTACCACACGCAGTTCGTCTACAGCTCGTCCAATCCGGGGCAAGCAGCGTCCACGGCGGCGCCGATCCTCGTCTTCGCGGGTGTCTCAGCCTTCTCCTTCTTCTCGCTCTTCACCTCCCCCGGAGTCCTGCTCCGCGCATGTGCGCTCTCCCTGGCCGCGGGGGTCGCTTCCGCGGTGGCCATGTCGGCGGTGATCAAGAGGCAGATGGGTGAGCTGCTGGGAGAGTTCTGTGAGATTCCTCCCAAGCAGGTGGAGGAGCCGAAGCCAGAGAAGGGCCGCGGCCCCATGGGCACGCAGCTGCATATCGTTTATGGCGTGTTTGGATACCTGCAGGTGCGTGGGCGAGGGTGCACTCATGTGGGAGAGTAAGAGGGCCCATTGTAGGCTCACAGGAGAGGACAGTGGGCGGTTGAGTTGAGTCAAGTTCGGGGGGTTCCTGGGCTTGCAGCTGGGAATTGTGTAGGGCGTGTTTGGATGCCTGATGGTGAGAGAGGTGTGTCGTTGAAGGTGCATGGCCATGCACGGCATCGTTTTCTGGCATGTAGCATGTGTGGCACTAATAGTTTTGAAACTCAAGGCAGTTTTGGCCGAGTTGAAATCGTAATTCCAGCTTCACGTTTAAGCCATTCTCAGCTCACATAACTCCTGCTCTGTGTTGCTCCATGCAGGTGCTTTCTGCTTGCTTCATGTCGTTTGCCCACGGCGCAAACGATGTTGCCAATGCCATTGGCCCCATCTCTGCTGCTCTAGCTATCCTTGCCTCCTCCTCCTCATCCATCCCCTCGTCATCCCTCGCTGCTGCTCCAGTGTCTGCCGGTGTTGCCACACAGGTTCTTATTTGGGGCGGTTTTGGCATTGTGGCTGGTCTTATCATCTGGGGTTACCGTGTCATTGCAACGATCGGGAACAGGATCACCGAACTCACTCCCACGAGAGGATTTGCAGCAGAGTTTTCGGCAGCTACGGTGGTGGTGGTTGCTTCCAGACTGGGGCTCCCTATCTCTGCCACACATACTCTTGTTGGAGCGGTGATGGGAGTGGGCCTTGCACGCGGTATTGGGAGTGTGAGGGCCGATGTGGTGAAGGAGATTGTGGCATCGTGGCTCGTCACCATCCCAATTGGAGCTGCGCTGTCTGTGATGTACGCGTTCTTGTTCTTGAGAATTGTGCCTGGATTTATGTAGGCTTGCATTGCATGTGCTTCTTTTGGACCCTTGTCTTTTCTTCGTTTTAGTATTAGTGGCTGAAGCTGTCGCCTGTATCACTAGTGGGATTTTGAGTAATCCGTATGTAAAACTAGATATTCCAATCAACTGTTAAGGCGTATCTATGAATTGCGTTGAGTGTACTTCCAGTAAGGGTTTGCTATCCAACTTCAAGTAAGCCAGCAAATCCAGAGGCTCTATTTTAGCGGAATCAGATGCTGCTGACCTGTAAATGTGAGCAGCATCGCTGTAAAGAGGTGTATCTGGGTGTCGCACGTTGCTCTGGGGTTGGTAGGGACTGGTCGAGCTTTCAGCCACGTGGAAAGAGTTGCCACATTCCTGAGTTTCTAGATTCCGCTTGCGGACTTCCTGGTTCTGTACTGGAACTTAGCTAAAAACCGGAGTGGCCACTGGAAACCAACTTTTTTGAGAATCCTGCCGCCTACTACCTTCACAATGACTTGTGTACAACAATGGATTCTCCATGAGCCATGTCCAACCACCCACACCAGCAACAACCGAGCAACATACGATACAACCTAGAGGCCTCCCTTGTCAGCTCAGCACCACTTCCAAGCCGAAGCCTTTTAGTCCCGCAAAAAGTACGGACGTGGATCGAGCTTCAATGAAGCTATAAATTCACGTTTGGTAAAGTTGTCGTGGTTGAGACTGGTCAGCAAATAAGGTATCGTCGATCTGTTGATCTAGGGAGCCATTGAATACTAATGGATGCAGCAGCGAGCCGAGGGAAGCCGGCGAAATCCTCGACGAGCAGCGCTGCGGAGAATGAGAAGAAGCAGAGACAGCGCGTGAAGAAGGAAGTGTGTCAGGAGGTGGTCCGGAAACTTCAGGAAGCTAATCATCCATGCATCCAGCAGCCTAACTTCGAGGAAGCCCTTCAGGCCCACTTTCTTCGCTTGCCTACGAGGTAGGGTTTCATTTGTGTGTGTGTGTTTTTTTTTTAATATATATCTCTCCCTCTTTTCTCTCGCTTCATAATTGCTTTGTGCGCCAGACGATCCAGGCACCTGACGTACGCCAGTCGGTTTTGTAAATACCTGTTTCAAGCCACGACCTTTGTCGACGTCTTGCTACGCATTGTTACTCATCATATTGATGGTTCTACACATTGGATGTTATCCGAATAAATGAGCGACGATCTTCAACATATTGCGAAATGCTTCTTCCTTGATCTCCTTCATGAGCGTTCCGTTGGTCTGTAACTAACATCTTCTATGTCATACCTGAAGGTCTACCCCGCTCGCGCATAAGAAATGTCCATTAATTCGTCGCCATTAATAAGGCTTGGAGTAATTTTTGGCTGGTTCCATCCGTACTCCCAATGCTTACTCCTAGCTGAACATGCTCTGGTGCTTGTCACCTTTGTGATTGTCATGAAACTCGAGTAAAACATGGACTGTGGCAAGCATTTACATCATATTATTGAATGTGACTCTCTGTAACGGTCAAAATTATCACTAATGTGACTAACCGTCATTAATGTGATTGTATTGTATCCGCCCGATTTCAGATACGCTCTGGATGTGAACACGGAGCGAGCAGAGGATGTGCTCACCCACAAACGGCTTCTCGAAGAAGCTGCAAAGATGCCAAGCCAGCCGGTGGTGCATGTCCGAGCCGTGCGGGTAGGTTCGGAATCGGGGTTGAGGCAGTCTGGGATTAGTCAGGAAGTGGGCAGGTTGAGGAACTGTACGGTCATTTGCTTGTGTGACTGGCTTGTTGGTCAAATCATCCCTCCTACCGAACTGATTTGCTGTTTTGACTCACCCTTTCCCATCATCCTACCTACCTATTAGCGCGCAGGAACCTCATGTACCATGCCATGCATCATGTTCCTGCACTATTCCACACCAATTCTCCTTTGCTGGAACCTACTCCATTTGGAATGTCCCTCTAACCCCCTCCCTTTTTGCCATGCTCACTGGTCAGGCCAGACCAGGCACCTCAAGATTGGCTCACTGCATTGCATCCTCCCCCCCGCTTCCCCCTCCTCCCCCCCCCCCCCAACACCCCCCCTCCCCCCCCCACCCCCCCAACACCCCCCCGCCCCCCCCCCTCCCCTCCCCCTACCCAAACCGCTCGTTTTTTGCTCGGCTGAACCCGCTGGCAGTGCTGTCTTGACCTCACCCAACCGCTGGCCATCTCTCCCTCTTGTATCTTTCCATTTTTTAGATGTCTAGAGAATCTCCCTAGATGGTTGCCGCAACCTCATGGTGTCACTCGTTTCTCACCCTGTCTGTCTCTTCCACGTGCAGGTCACGTCGGCCCTGCCAGGGGGGGCTGATGGCGTTGCAGGGGGAGGAGGCACGATGGAGACTGACGAGGCGGCAGCTGAATTCAAGCGCCAAGGGTAGGGGCTGCTGTGGGGGGGTAGGGATGTGAGGGTAGGGGCTGTGAGGATAAGGGCTGTTAGGGGAAGGGCTGTGAGCAAGGTTCAAAATTACGACCGAATTTTTGATTTTTTACCGTATAATACGGAATCGTATTTTTCGGTCGTATAAAACGGTTTATTATGGTCAGACCTTGTTATTTATGATTGATTTAAAAATACGGTCGTTTTATACGACCAAAATTTTTAAACCGGGTCATTGTATAGCGAATTCGATTTCCCCCCCCTTGTCAGCGCTGCATTGTGGAATTTTGAGAGAGTCTGACGTGTCGAATGTGTTTTTTCACCGAAGCGCGAATGTCACCACATTCCCGAGTCGCGACATTTAGGGATTTACCAATGACGAAAATACAGATTACCTGTTTCGCGATTTCGTTGGTTGAGTTCGCCGAAGTGCAACGTGTAAAAAAATACGAGGCGCCACATTTCAACATTTGGCGAACGGTCAAAGCAGGTTTACCCGTTTCGCTTTTTCCGTTTACCAATTTCGCGCAGCGCATTTCTGTTTCGCCCGCAGTTGCGACAAACCCAACCTTAGCGATTCGAGACCAGTTCAACCAATCAGATCACCTCCCGTGATCTCATCCCATTTCCAAAACCCATTCGACACAGCACGCCCAGAAGGCACTACGAGGTACTTAGGTGCTAGAGTAAGTCGTTAAATTAAACACATGTTCATAGCATAGCATTCTAGCCTAGCCTGAGGTCATTCCTCTCCGCGTTACTGGCAGCAGAGCACACACGAAATGGTTAGACCATTGTCGGACCTGTGGAAACACGTCGTTAAGGATACTGGACCAGGCGGAACCGTTACTGCGACATGCGTCCATTGCAATGAGGGCGTGACGGTTAACGCTACACGCATAAAAGAGCACATTTACGGGATGCCGCATGGGCAGGAGAAGAACGTGACGCCCTGCAAATCCGACGTCGCTTTGAAACTCCGCGAGGCAGCAGCGCAGGAGGCTACATCATCAGGCCGTAGCTCAGTCCATGGCTCCACTTCAACGGTGGAAGGTCTGCCCGCTCGTCGAGCAAGGCAGCGGGATATCCGCGAAATGGGAGACACCGGTGCACGCGCCCAACTCGACTACCTCTGGGCTGCAGCAGTGGCAGAGAATGACTGGGCGTTTCACAACTCCACATCAAAGGCCGTGCAGGCCTTCGTTGATGCCGCTGTCGCCTTCGGGAAGCCGTACAACCTGCCATCCCCCTTCAGGGTGTCCGGTGCACTGCTTCAGAAGCTGAAGGTCGACACCGAGGAGCTTGTCAAGCCGATGAAAGAAAGCTGGAGCACGACCGGTTGCACACTCTCCATCGACGGCTGGACGTGTCTGAAAAGCCGCGGACTTGTGTGTGTCATCGCACACAACGACACGGCTCCCGTGATCGTGGATATTGTGGACTCCAAAACATCCAAGAAGACGGGCGAGTACCTCGCCGGGCTCATCAGCAACTCGATCGAGACGGTGGGCCCCAAAAACGTTGTCCAGGTGGTCATGGATAACGCTTCAAACAACAAGCGGGCGTCCGACCTCCTTCGTGCGGACTATCCTTCGATATTCTTCACCAACTGCGTCGCGCACACGCTGGATTTGATGCTTCACGATATGGGGAACATTCGAGCCGTGAAGCGGGTTCTTAGCCAGGTCCATCGAGTGGTGATGATGGTCAAGGGCAGCGCATCTGCCGTCACTCTCTTCGAGGACTTGTTTAGCAAGCTTTCATTGGTGCGGCCTGGTGCAACGCGCTTTGGCACGCAAGTGATCATGCTGTCCCGCTTCCTAGAGGTTAAGCGAGCACTGCGCTCAATGGTGATTAGTGAGGAGTGGGAGGGGATTGCGGTGGCACAAAAGGAGGAGGGGAAGGCGGTCCGCATGCTTCTATTGGATGACGTGTTCTGGGAGTGCGGCACGGCGGTGCTCCGCCTTATGACGCCGGTGTACGAGGTCCTACGAACCGTGGACACTCGGGCTCTAGTGAGGGGCCAGGTGTATGGCCTCATGCTAGAGGCCACGGTCAAGACTAACGAGGCCGCCGAGGCTGCAGGTGAGCGTCACATTTCACACTAATCATTGCTGGGACTCCCCCTTACCGCCATATCCGCGAATGTGTCTGCCGTGCCCCCCATTTCCCGGTTATGTAGTACTTACTTTTCGTTTCTTCTACGGTTTCCGTCATGGCAGCCACAATGTTGGTGAAACGCACCTCTCTGCTGGCGGCCAAGGACAAGCCGGCATTTATGGCCTCCATCAAGGCAATAATTGCCAAACGGTGGGACGGCCAGCTCCATAACGCATTACATGCCCTGGGCTGGCTGCTCAACCCACGCAATCAGTATTCGGGGGAGGTGAGGACTGATGCCGAGGTAAGACGTGGTGCGGACGAGGTGTTCCAAGCACGGGCCGTGGATGTCGCGCAGCGCGCACTTCTAAGTGTGCAGCTGACCCAATTCCACAAAGGAGAGGGCAGTTTGGGATCGGATGAAGCGCGTTGGGCAGCAACGCATTTGGTGGCGTGTGGGCGCTTGTCGGATGCCGAGTGGTGGTGGATGTACGGGGGGGATGTGAAGGCGCTTCAGGAGCTGGCTGTGTCGTTGCTATCACAGCCAGTCACCTCGTCCGAGGTTGAGAGGTACTGGTCCGCCATCGCACGGGTGCAGAGGCGTGATCGAAACCGCCTCACCGCCAGGAAGATGATGGATGTGACGTTCGTGGCATTCTCTAGGAGGGCCAGGGCCGCATTCGACCTAAAAGCTGAGGTGAGGGCGAAGCTGTATAAGGACCTGAGCAATGGCACCCTTAAGGAAGGGTGCATCATCCCTACAGCACCCACACCAGAGAAGGAGCTGGGGGAAGAGGAGGAGGGAGATGAGCCCGAAAAGTGCACCATTGACTGGGAGCGGTTCGGGAACATCGGCAAGAGGAAGAAGAGGACAGGTGAGTGCTCCAAGAGGAAGAGAAAGGGGAAGGGGAAGGCAACCGTGCCATGCAAGGGAAAGGGCAAAGCACGTGCTGCTGTGGCTGAAGATGAGGAGGAGGAGGCAGCGGACAGCAGTGGAGGAGAGGAGGAGGAGGACGTGATTCGTAAGGAGAAGACTCATAAGGGCGTTGACCCGTGGGACTGCAGTGATGGTTCGAGCGGGGAGGAAGAGGTAGAGGAGGATGACGAGGAGGAGGAGGATGAGTAGAGGATGAGGATGCCGTGTGTAGGAGAGGAGGGGGAGATAGAGGCATAGGAGTAGAGTAGTGAGTAGTCGTAAGGGGAGTATGTTGTCTAGTGGTGTAGAGTTTTAATAAACGCCTCTGTTTAGTTAATTAGACTAGTGTGCACCTTGTTGGACCATGTGGAAAACATTCCAGGGACTGTTTGGGAAAAAAAAAAAAAAAAATCACACAAAAATGTCTATAAAAAATACGGCGTATTTTTGTTCAATTTTCCGTAAAAAACGACCGTATTATACGGACCGTATAATACGATTACCGTTTTTTTGAACCTTGGCTGTGAGGATAGGGGCTGTGAGGATAGGGGCTGTGAGGGGAGGGGCTGTGAGGGGAGGGTTGTGAGGGTAGGGGCTGTCAGTTCAGTAGGGTTTTGCCGGTGGGAATCTGAGGTTAGGGTTCTGAGGGAGCCGATGGTGCTGCTAGGGGGGCGACCATGGAAGCTGACGAGGTGGCAATTGAATTCAAGCGCCAAGTGTAGGGGCTGTGAGGGGGTAGGGATGTGAGGGGGTAGGAGGGGGTAGGGATGTGAGTCTTTCACGCATTGTCCTTCTCAACACCTCAAGCTTCCCGGACCCCCCCCACCCGCTCGTCCCCTACCCGACGCCTTTCGTTCATTTCCTTCTTCCTCTTCCCCATCCATCCCCTTCCCCATCTTCTTCATTCAACCCACTCCTTGTCAAGTCTCCCTTAACCTCCCTCTTCCTCCGCCCCCTACTCCCTTCCCTTTTCCCCTCTTCCCCGCCTCCTCTCTTCCCCCCATTCCTCTCCCAGCATGCTAGCTCCGCCAGCGTTCGGGTCCTCCCCGAATCTGGACTCCCCAGTGCTGGCGGGGGGCGCCATGTGCACGGACGCAGGGGGCGCGGGCGGGGTAGGGGGAGGGGGGATACCAGAGGGTGCAGCAGTGAACGCGGATGGGCATTCAGATGGAAAGGGGTCCTTCAGGTGTGTTTGGGAGGGAAGGGATGGATGTATGTGAAGTAGTTTATTGGGAGAGTGAAGGGAAGGGGACTGTGGTTTTTGAGAATTCTCAAATCAAGGTTCCTTCAGGTGTGTGTGTGTGGGAATGGATGGATGTATGTGAAGGAGTGTACTGAAAGAGAGTGAGTGGAAGGGGGCTGTGTAAGCCTATAATATATTTTTGAGGCGCCTAAAAAATTGGCTGTGTAAGCCTATTCTTTATTTTTTAGGCGCCTCAAAAATCGGCTGTGGAAGCCTATACTTTATTCGTCCCTGCTTCTGCTCCCCTCTTATCGCCTCATTCCTGTCCTCAACCTGCAATGTCATTCCCTCATCGCCTTATATTCCTCTCATGTCACCTCTCCCCCCCACCCTCTCCCTCCTTCTGTCTCCTCCCCCTCTTTCCCATCTTCTGGCCTTTCCATTCCTGCTCTTCTGCTCCATTTCTTTCCTCCTTCCCCGCCCTCTTCCCCCCTCCCCTCTCCTCCCTCCTCCCTCCCCCCCCCCTGCGCCAGTTCTCTCTTGCAGGTGCCCATGCACGAAGTCACTTTCTCCACTGTTGACCGCCCCAAGCTGCTCAGTCAAGTGAGTCAACCCAAGTCAAACGCGAGTCAGGTCAGCTGAACCAAGTCAAACGTCAGTCAAACCAGTCACTGGGAAACGGAAGAAAACGATGAGATAAATCTCCCTCCAAGTCAGGGCACTCCCTAGTGGATTCCAGCCACGATACTGCCCCTGCTATGTTCCCATCCCCTCCACCACTCCCTCTCCCCATCGCCCGTCTCCCTTCCTTTCCCCCATTCCCCTTTACCTGTCGGCGGTGCTTGGCGGACGTGGGGCTGAAAATCCTCGAGCAGCATGTCTTCTCCACCTCTTATGACCTCTCATTCAGCAGTGCTGGCAGACATGGGGGCCCAAAGCTCGCCCACCTCCTCCTTTCCCAAACAATGCCTCTCTGCAGTGCTGGCGGACGTTGGGCGGAACAGCTCGCCCTTCTCCTCTCTCCTCCCCTCGGTTTCCCCCACCAACAGCTCTCTGCAGTGCTGGCGGACGTGGGGTTGAACATCCGTGAGGCGCATGTCTTCTCCACCTCTGACGGGCTCTCCCTCTCCCCGCCCCCCCCTTTCCCCCTCCCCCTCAATACAGCTCTCAGCAGTGCTGGCGGACGTGGGGTTGAACATCCGTGAGGCGCATGTCTTCTCCACCTCTGACGGGCTCTCCCTCGACGTCTTTGTTGTCGACGGCTGGCCCTCCGAGGTGTGTGTGTGTGTGCCCATGCATGTGTCCCTACATGTGCGCTCATCATGTGTATGTAGCCTCTCCTTTTTGCCACCTCCAATGGGCTCTCTCTGAACGTCTTTGTTGTCGACGGCTGGCCCTCCAAAGTGCGTGTCTGATGCGTGTGGTCATGGATGTGCATGTGGTCATGGATGTGCGTGTGTGTGCTCATGCACATGACCTCTCATTTGCCACCTCCTCCGCTTGCCGCATCCTCTCCACTCTTTTAGCACCATCCTCCATCTCCTCCAACCCTTTCCACCCGCCTGCTTCTACTCGTTATCCCGTACCCTTTTCTCCATCCTCTCTCCCCGAACTTTGTGCACCCCGACCCTCCATGCTACCCACCGTCCGCCATGCCCTCACCTGCTCTATTTCTCCGCTCCCTTCTCCCATGTGCACTGGGTGGCAGGACGTGGTGGAGATGCGGGCTGCACTCATGCGAGCAGCACAGGTGAGCACCGAAGTGCAGCACAGGTGAGCACCGAAGTGCAGCACAGGTGAGCACCGAAGTGCAGCACAGGTGAGCACCGAAGTGCAGCACAGGTGAGCAACGAAGTGCAGCACAGGTGAGCACCGAAGTGCAGCACAGGTGAGCACCGAAGTGCAGCACAGGTGAGCACCGAAGTGCAGCACAGGTGAGCACCGAAGTGCAGCACAGGTGAGCACCGAAGTGCAGCACAGGTGAGCACCGAAGTGCAGCACAGGTGAGCACCGAAGTGCAGCACAGGTGAGCACAGTACACATTGCACAGCACAAGTGCAGTACAACGCACCGCATTCGCACTCCATTGCACAACACTGCACTTCTGTTTTGTGGCGAGCACAGCTTGTCACACCACACAGCAGCGGAATTCTGAGACGTCTCCAAGTCCTTCATACTGTGCAGCAACTTGTGCTGCTCGTCACTTGTGCAACAATTCACATAGTCCCCCTCTGCCTCGCCCTTCTTTCCCTTACGTTCATTTTGTTTCTTGCTGCCCCTCCTCTCCCTTCCATCAGCAAGCGGGGGAAAATGGCGCGCAGTCAACCCTTCCAGAAGCATCCGGGCAATCGAACCCCGCCATGTCAGAATCCACAGGCGTGCCCATGTCCACGTCAGCAGCCACAGCAGCAGCAGCAGGACACGTGGCAGCCTCCAGTTTGTCCGGGGCGGACTCGCGTGTGCGTATCCCATCGGACGGGCGGGACGACTGGGAGATTGACAACGACCAGCTGAAGCTGCAGCATAAGATCGCTTCTGGGTCGTTTGGAGACCTGTAAGTGACTTGACTTGGGGGTGCTGTGGCCAGTGTATCACTTGCAATGCAGATAGAGAGGCGGGATGACTGGGAGACTGACAACGACCAGCTGAAGCTGCAGCATAAGATTGCCTCGGGGTCATTTGGAGACCTGTGAGTGACCTAAATAGTGTGCCTATTTTGTTTCTGTACAGACAGGGGTGCCTGATATGTTTCTGCATACCTCTCCGTGGGTCTCTTTTCGTGGTTTTCTGCCTGCGCCTGTCTGTTCCCTTCCTCGCAGCTACCGTGGCACGTACTGTGGACAGAACATGGTGATAAAGATGCGTTTGTATGTGCATACCAGTCCTTCAATTCCTTATGTGTCTGCCTGCCCATGTGTATCCCCCTCCCCACAGCTACCGAGGCACATACTGTGGGCAGGACGTGGCAATCAAGATTCTCAAGGCCGAGCGGCTTAACGACTCGTTGCAGCAGGAGTTCGCTCAGGAGGTGTTCATCATGCGGTGCGTAGGTGGGGAGAGGGAGGGCGAGTGGGGAGAGAGAGGGTCAGTTGAGATAGGGAAGGTCAATGGGTAGAGGGAGGGTCAATGGGGAGACTTGGGGGGTAGTTTGAAGAATGTGGGCAATGTTCGTTCTGCACCGGACTTCGATTTTTGAGTCGACTCAAAAATCGTTCTGCACCGGACTTCGATTTGATCAGGAGGTAAGTGGGGGAAGAAGGCTTACTTTTTGCATTACCGGCTTTGCATTGTTGCACTGAAACTTTGCTTATTGCTCTCTCTTCTATTGGACTCGGTTCCCGCTCCGTGCAGCAAGGTGCGGCACAAGAACGTGGTTCAATCTATTGGGGCCTGCACCAAGCCCCCAAACATCTTTATTGAGTTGACTCAAAAATCGGTTGTGTCTCTCTACCTCTTCCCCCCCCTCCTCCGTGCAGGAAGGTGCGGCACAAGAACGTGGTTCAATTTATTGGGGCCTGCACCAAGCCCCCAAACCTCTCCATTGTCACCGGTGAGCTGCTTGCTCCTTGCTGCTGGCGAAGACCAGACAAGGTTTTGATATGTATGTGTGTGGCAGGCAATACGCACACTACCTGCTCAGCTGTTATTGTGTTTTACTTAACCCGTTGGCCCCACGTCCCTGTGCTCTGACCCTTTACCCCCATGCTTCCACGCTCTCATCCCCCCATTCCCCCGATGCGCCCTTGACCGTGGGCCCCCATGCCCCCCATGCAGAGTTCATGATGGGCGGCAGTGTGTACGACTATCTACACAAGCACCGCGGCAGCATGAAGCTACCCATGGTGCTGCGTGTGGGCATGGGAGACACTCACTCTCTGCTCATCTCTCCACCCCCTTGTTCCCTCGCCCCCTTGTTCCTTTCTTCCCTTCCACCCTTCCACCCTTGCCTCCTGGCCTCCTGGCCGCCTCAACCCGCCTGCCCCCCATGCAGAGTTCATGATGGGCGGCAGTGTGTACGACTATCTACACAAGCACCGAGGCAGCATGAAGCTACCCATGGTGCTGCGTGTGGGCATGGGAGACACTCACTCTCTGCTCATCTCTCCACCCCCTTGTTCCCTCGCCCCCTTGTTCCTTTCTTCCCTTCCACCCTTCCACCCTTGCCTCCTGGCCTCCTGGCCGCCTCAACCCGCCTGCCCCCCATGCAGAGTTCATGGTGGGCGGCAGTGTGTACGACTATCTACACAAGCACCGCGGCTGCATGAAGCTACCCATGGTGCTGCGTGTGGGCATGGGAGACACTCACTCTCTGCTCATCTCTCCACCCCCTTGTTCCCTCGCCCCCTTGTTCCTTTCTTCCCTTGCCTCCTGGCCTCCTGGCCGCCTCAACCCGCCTGCCCCCCATGCAGAGTTCATGGTGGGCGGCAGTGTGTACGACTATCTACACAAGCACCGCGGCAGCATGAAGCTACCCATGGTGCTGCGTGTGGGCATGGACGTGGCCAAGGGAATGGACTTTCTGCACAAGAACAACATCATTCACCGCGACCTCAAGGCCGCTAACCTGTTGATGGACGAGAATGACGTGAGTGGTGTGCGGTGCAATGCGGTGCTGTGCGGTGTGCATGTATGCCTCTGTGCATGAGTTGGCTGGGTGTGTGTGGGCATGGACGTGGCCAAGGGAATGGACTTTCTTCACAAGAACAACATCATCCACCGTGATCTCAAGGCAGCTAATTTGTTGATGGATGAGAATGACGTGAGTGAACAAGTGTGCTGTGTGGTGTGTGGGGTGCTGTGGTGTTATGCTGTGCGATGCTGTTCTTTGCGGTGCGGTGTGGTGCGTGTTGTGTTGTGCTGTGCTGTGCTGTGCGGTGCTGTGCGGTGCTGTGCGGTGCATTGTGTGCTTGTGCTTGTGCGCGTTGAAGTTGGTGCTGCGTGTGGGCATGGATGTGGCACAAGGGAAGGACCGCACTGTGCGTGCAATCATGCACAAAAACCAGCACGGTTCCACACATGTTTTTCTTTTCATTTCTTTTCGTTTTCCCGCGGGTCCGTGCCTGCAGGTGGTGAAGGTGGCGGACTTTGGAGTGGCCCGAGTGAAGGCCAACAGTGGCGTCATGACAGCAGAGACTGGCACCTACCGCTGGATGGCACCTGAGGTAACACATGGATGGCACCTGAGGTAACACCTGAATGGCACCTGGTGTGAAACCCGAAACATCTCACAATCTGAAACATCTGCACTGAAACACTATTGCATGGCACGGGATGTTATGCTTGGAAGCTCTGAAGATACCTTGCACATAGAGCATCGGACATATGACCACAAGGCAAACACATGCGACTCTCTACTCCCCACCCCTTCCTCCCTGGTTGCACGGCAGGTGATCGAGCATCGGGCATATGACCACAAGGAGGACATCTTCAGCTTCGGCATCACCATGTGGGAGATGGTGACATGCGTGCAAGGCGTACACATGCAACTCCCTATTCCTGCCCCCTCCCCTTGCACCAGGTGATTGAGCATCGGGCATATGACCACAAGGCAGACATCTTCAGCTTTGGCATCACCATGTGGGAGATGCTGACGGGCAAGGTGAGAGTGAGGATGGGAAGGTGGGCTGCTGACGGTGTATTTTGAGTCGACTTAAATACGTGTGTGGGTTTTGCGGTGCCTAAGAAAACTTACGCATCACCATGTGGGAGATGCTGACAGGCACAGTGAGAGTGAGACGAAGGGAAGGGCTTGGTGAGGTGGGATGTTGGTGTAAGGATGGCTGGGGCAACACGATGGTGGTGTGGAATGTGGGAAGGAGCAGGTATGGATAGCAATCGTCATGTGTTCATCGCATAACAGCCTAAGACTATCGTTTCACATCCCCTTGTTGCCATCGAAGCTTGTCCTCGCACTTTTCTTTAACAAAGTAGTTTTCATCTGCTAGCCCTCCAAATTATTTAACCTCCCTTCTCCCCAGCCCCCCTCCCCCCCGTTTTTCACCCTACACCACCCCTATTCTTTCCTTACTCGCGTGCACACACCCCCCCCCCCCCTCCATCCCCCTCCTCTCTCCTCCTCCCCCCCCCCCCCTCCTCCTCTCAGCTGCCCTATCCAGACCTCACACCCTTGCAGGCAGCAGTCAGCGTGGTTCAACGAGTAAGTCCCCGCCCTCCTCCATCCATCCACTGTCATCACCATCCCTCCCTCCTGTCACTCTCACCTTTCTTTCCCCCTTGCTTCCCTAGTCCCACCATGGTTTCACACCTGTCTCAGGGCCTGTATGTACGTCCCCATTCCCTGTCTCTGTCTCAAAACCTGTCAGGCCTTGCTTCCGTGCCTCCCCGTTACCCCAAGACTCCCTGCCTCACCTCCCTTCCTCCCCTCTCTCTTTTTCTGCTCACTTCACTCCCCCTTTCACCCTCCCAGGGCCTGCGTCCGCCCATCCGCAAGGGCACGTACCCGCGGCGGGCGGATCTCTTTGAGCGCTGCTGGGCCACCAACCCTGCTGACCGCCCCGAGTTTCCTCTCCTCCCTGACTCACTCCCTCTCCGCCTCCGCCCTCTTCCCCCCTTCCCCATTCTCCCCTCCCAGGGCCTGCGTCCGCCCATCCCCAAGGGCACGCACCCTCGGCTGGCAGATCTCTTTGAGCGCTGCTGGGCCACCAACCCTGCCGACCGACCTGAATTCTCAGAGATAATCCGAGTCATTGCCGAAATCGCACAGGAGGTCAGATCTCGTTTGGGTTGGGTTGACTTGCCACCCCCACAAAGCAGCTGTTGATTCCCACCTGCCGGACCACCACCAACCACGCCGATTGCCTGAATTTTTTAGAGAACATCTGGGGTCACTTCCCATGGTCGTCCTGTTTTGTTATCACTCATCTTCTACCCATGTTGCGTGACTGGGGGGGCTTTTTTTTTCCCCTTGTGGTGCACGTCAGCTCGAGGAGGATGGAGAGGCCGACCAACAGAGACGGGAGAAGCGCGGAGGGTTCTTTGCATCATTCAAGAGAGCAGGGTCAGGGCCTAGGTGATATTGCTCAATGGAAGACTGTGCAAAGCTGCTACCTATTGAACAACAAAGAAATAACAGATTTGCAACGGAGTGAAAGGTTGCTGGAGGTTGAAATTCATGTTCCTGTATCAATGGCAACGTATGCACTTCAAGTTATGTGGTCATTGTTTATCCACCGAACCCAACCCCGCGTAATATTCATTGTTCTATGCAAGCGGCTTTGTACAGTGAATGAGCACAAATCGCTGAATGGTGACTGACTGCTAGGGGATCGAGGGAACGAATGTAGACACTCCACATCATGAATACATTGGCGCTGTTCTGTTGCCGCATTGGCCTTTTGGCCGAGAACCGCACAGCGCAGTACAGCGGGTGCGGAATGAAACTTCAAGGTGGTACATGTCGGTTGAAGCCACGTGGATCCTACCTCACATTAGCGGCGAAACTCTAGGGACGTTGACAATTTAATTTTGGGCAACAGACCGTGGAATATATGAGGAGAAAGATTGGCGAAATACGGATTATTGCCTGCCCGGTCATTTATGCCTGCCCGGGTGCGGCCGTGCTCAGCCTGAAACCCCCCTCGTCGTGGGGTTTGGCATAGCAGTGCGGCGCATCAGGTTTGGCTGTGAGAGGAAGTTTCGATGTAGATTCAGACCGCATTACTGGTTCAGCGTTCTGTTGCCGCATTAGTCTTCTCCGCACAGCACAGCACTGGTTAGGTTCGGGATGGAGTTCAAGGTACCGAGAGTGATTTAAGGAATACGCCCTTGTTTTTGAAGCCTCACTGCCCTAACACAGAGGCCCCGACGAAGCATCAGCTGGTGCTATGCATTGCTACTCTTGACGTTTGCACAGCCCCATGCCAGCAGACACCCACGTCAGCAATGCTTACCATCCAATGCAACACAACCTCTCAATTGTCAGCACGAGAAGTGGGTTTCCTGTCGCGGCTCGATCCCAATTTCGCGCTGACTGGCACATTCAAATCCAGCATAGCAGGCCCAGCAGCAAACTGAGCAGCGCGGCAATCTCAAGGCCTGGATGGCTCGAGGAAAGTTAAGGACTCTGCTTCCTAGTACCTTGAGATCTCCGCCGGCCGTTCAAGGAAAGATGGCGGTCCGAACCGCCAGGAAGTGTGCACGAGGCCTTGAAATTGGACCGTCTCTTCTTCACTTCGCCGTAGTTCCATTTTCCATCGACTTCGTAGCCCTTGAGTTTGTCCGCTTATCCCACAACCTGTCACTGACAGTTTAAACTGTACTCCAGATATCGCAGAAATTGTTATCGCTTTTGCTGCACCTGCCATTTGTTCGGTCAAATAATTTCAGTGTATCGGTTCGCGTTATATCTCCTTAGTGCGTTTACTGATTGCTTAAGTTATTGTCGGCGGTCCGCCGAGTCATGGGTATGGCTGCGCAGTTAGTTCCGCCACGGCTTCTCTCCCGTCAGCTGTTTGAAAAGGAATCTAGCACCTACACCTTCCTGTTGGCTGACGAAACTGCACCGAAGCGACCCGGCGTGGTAAGCACGACCTTCATCTCAGAGTCATGCCTCTTTAAATCAACATATTCTTACACAGGCTACGTAGTATATTCAAATGTCCTTGCCCGTTCACTCGCTCTGTTGCCAGCTGATTGACCCCGTTGACTTGACCGTTGACCGCGACGTGCGGCTAGCTGAGGAGCTCGGAGTGACTCTTCGTTTCGCCCTCAATACACACGCACACGCAGACCACGTCACTGGAACTGGCCTGCTCAAGGTATCCATTAGGTCAGCCGTTTTGTAAAGGCGATGAAAATCTGCAGTTTTTCGTAAAATGTGTCGATGTAGTATAGTGGTGAGTATCCTCGCCTGTCACGCGAGAGACCCGGGTTCGATCCCCGGCATCGGCGCTGGAATTCTTTTGGGGCTTCTCAGTGCACACCTGCCACACGACTGTCCATCAGAATAGCTCGCCATTCCGGACTTTTGTCTTCCGACTCTCTTTATCTTTGTATTATCCCACTAACCTCCCACCGCTTGTCCAACATCCACTGTCCCTCCCCATCCCGATCAAAGAAACGGGTACCTGGCATCAAGTCCGTCATTTCGTCTGCTAGTGGAGCTCGAGCTGACGTGTTGGTGGGCCACGGTGACGTCATACCCTTTGGCAGATTTGGCCTCCAGGTGAATTAGTAGCAAACACTGTGTTTCTGTATGTACTCTTTTGCTGTATGCAATCACGAGTGGGATCAGATGGACAGAGTTTCCTTGGTTCGTGCTAAAAAAGATCCTGCCTGACACTACTTGAAAGTTCGCTTTTGCAGATGGTTGAAGTTTGGTATCTCCAAGGCATAACGATCTGATTCCCGAACCTGTCTTGCAGGTCCGGTCGACACCAGGCCACACGAATGGGTGTGTGACATATGTCTTGGTGGAGCGTACCGAGACGGCCGCGCCATTTGCAGCAGCACTAGAGAACTCTCTTGAAGGGAACGTGTGGAGGGCAAGTGATGGAGGTTTGGAGCGCCTCGGAAGTGCTGGGTTCTCCTTTGACAAGCTCTTAACGAGGATGGCGTTCACTGGAGATGCGTTGCTTATAAGAGGATGTGGAAGGACAGACTTTCAGGTGTGTTTTGTTAAACTCCAGGGTCTACTTTGCTCTTTCACTGTGCAACTGCATCCTTGCGTCCGGGGCATGCATGCGCTGAGATTTAACTTTTCTCGTTTTCCACTTAATTCCTTGCATCCTCCACTATCTAACATCCTCTTTATATTGTTCAGGAAGGAGATGCTGCTGAGCTGTACCGTTCAGTCCACAGTCAGGTGAGCTGGTAACCAGATCAATTGAGCCTGATTGGATGCAAATCATGGTTTTATGAGCAGGATAAACAGGATTCGACCCCCCTTTTTGTCCCTCCAGATATTGTCACTTCCACCAGACACGCTCCTGTACCCTGCACATGACTACCAAGGCCGAACTGTAAGACCTAATCACTTTTTGCCTGCTATTTACGAATGCAGCTGTGCATCAGCAAATGCACCTTGGGTTTCTCGTGAATATATTAATAGAGTGCTGACATGGATGAACCCCAATGGCTGGCTGCAGGTAACATCAGTGGAAGAGGAGCGAAAGCACAACCCAAGGTTGACAAAGGGAGAGGTGAGAGAGCTAGGGGAATGGCGGGAGAGGCAGTCTGACAAATGCTCCCGTGAGATTTGTCCCAGATAGCTGCCGCATTGCATTTCTCCTTGTGCATTCCATCACTCTAATGCCTGTAACCTGTGTGTCTTTGCTGCTCCAATCTCATACCATACTCGTGATTGCTGTGAGCAGGAGGCGTTCAAGGCTATCATGAATGGTAAACTTTAACCTCGTAGGCTACGTGCAGTCCTTCCCAGACATGTTTCTACACCAAACTATTCTCACGTTTCTCATCTGTATGCTTCTGTCCTCTGCTTTGAAGGTCACAGCTACATGGGTTTCTCCTTCATTTGCTCACCTGTATGCTTCTGTGCTGTCTTCTTGCCAATTGTCTCTCATGGTGATTTCGTATGCACGGCATGTCTCTCCAGGCCTTGGGTTGGCACCACCAAAGAAGCTCAAGGAGGCAGTTCCAGCTAACATGGCTGATGGGGCTGTGGAAGAACAGAACACCACAATTCTTGCCGCTTAAATGTTGAAATTTGCTGGATGATTCTGGACAGGAGGCTTCTAGTACATGCCTGTTTTTTTCTTTCGCATGTCGCATGTACAGGGCGCCTGCCGGCGCCGCATGTACCTGTTTTTCAGCAGCGACCGAGTCTCGTCTTAGTAGTATTTAGCCCCTTGTACCGGTACCGTAATCTCTGTGTTAATGTGGAAGCTCCTTTGCTTGCACTCCAGTTAAGACTGGTTCTTCATATTACCTGTACTGGTACAGTGGTACTGTACAATTCCTCATTATCACCTAGGTATTGTGCAACGCCTTCGTGGCTTCAGAATCCAATCTGCCAGTGCAGGTTTGAAGGGCCTTGAATTTCCACCTGCTTTGTTGAAATGTGTATTCACCACCCCACCAGCACTACGTCATGAAGTGGTACGGTAGAATCTACCCAATGTACCGTACTGGTGGGATTTGGCTAGGCAAAGGAGCAATCAAATGACTGGAGATAAAATATAGGCTGTCATAAAAAAAGGTAGGGAGCAGGGCTACGAGAATCTAAAGAAATTTAATGGATAGATACACCCAGGGTGGCAGACGTCCAATTTCTGAGGTGGTAGAGTGGCTATTCATAATAGTGCACTGCCCATTCTACCAGTAAATGGGACGCAGCAGGAGAGCTTTGACAGAGCAACTGCGTCGAGATTGGGCGGAGAAAAGCAGCAGCATCAGGGAGGTGGCGCGGCGAGCTTCCTTGTGCGAAGCAACTTCTGAGCCGACTCAGATGTTACCAGCGAGGTCTCCAGCGTGGATGCAGCGACTTGTAAGCTGGGCCGACTCAAATGTCAGCAAGACCAGCAACAGCGCAGAGTTGCAGGCGGCATTTGAGAAGCCCCAGAAAGCACCAGAAGGGCCAGCAAGCAGCGAGTGCGACAGCGAGCAGCAGAGAGTCACGGCTGGGGCCAAGTTGTGCTGACACTCGTTATGGATGGGAGAGAGCCATGCCGTGCCCGCTGCTTTGAAACCAGCAGGCGTCTGGAAGACTCGGTTGACTGGAAAGCGGCCTTGGGATTGGCTTGGCTTGACCGATTGACTTGAGGCTGAATTGAGGTTTGACTTGAGATTGACTAGAGGCTGACATGAGCTTGAATGGAGGTTGAGTGAGCTTGGAATGGAGGTTGAGTGAGCTTGGAATGGAGGTTGAGTGAGCTTGGAATGGAGGTTGAGTGAGCTTGGAATGGAGGTTGAGTGAGCTTGGAATGGGATTGAGTTGTCGAGGCAATCTTGGGATTGACTTGAAGAGAGAGCACTCAGGAAAGGTGTTGACTTAACCGCCTTGAAAGCTGTACTCTTTAGTAGCAGCCCCTCTAAGCGCGCACGACCTTGCGCTTGCGCACCTCTGTGGCCAGCGACTGAGCCACAAAGGACCTCGCCCACTGCTCCACCTCCTTGCCGCCCATCGCCACCAGCTCCTGGGAGGGTATTAGGAAGATTTGGGGATCAAGAGCAGGAGCACAAGAGAAGAGATGGACATGGTGAGTAAGTGAGATGGTGCGCGTTAGTGCCTCATAGCACCTCACCCACTGCTCCACCCCCTTGCCGCCCGTCGCCACCAGCTCCTGGGGGAAAATAGACCAATGGGAGGGATGGACAGACGGATGGGATGCGGTGAATGAGATGGTGAGGGATGGTGCCTCATAACACCTCGCCCACTGCTCCACCTCCTTGCCGCCCATCACCACCAGCTCCTGGGAGGAAAAAGAGACAGAAAGACAGACAGACGGGTGCGATATGGTGAGTGAGGTGATGAGGAATGGTGCCTCATAGCACCTCGCCCACTGCTCCACAAAAAAGTCAGTGCCCGCCTCTCGCTCAGAAGCAGTCATGAATGTGTCGGCGGATAACTCATTGGCTGGCTGACTGACAGCTCACGGGTACCAGAGACTGCGGATGACTCATTGTCTGTGAGACAATCAGTGCAAGAAACAGGTGATTGTGGGAGGGGACCAGTGATTCACGGTCTCCAGAGACGCCTTAAGAAAGAGCCTCACCTCGACAAAGAGGGTGGTGCCGACCTCGCGCTCAGAGGCACTCATGGACGCGTCCACATAGGCACTGCAGATGGCCTGTGCGTACTGCTGTAGCTCGTGCTGTGAACACTCGTGCTGGGGGAGGGGGAAAGGGGGTGGGAGAATAGGGGAGAAAGAGAAGAAAGGAGTTTGGTTACGTGAAGCACACAACAGGAAATAAGGTGGGTGGGTGGGTATTTGTCGGCGATTCTGTGTTGCTGGCTGCTCAGTACACATACATGTGAGGATATTCGTTCTAAGGCAACTCAATATACGTTTCAGCAGCACAGATATACGCATGAGATGATATAAAAAGGCGACACAAAACGCGGCAGCAGAAACATACGTGTGAAGAAGAAGCGCGGGGCGAGGGAGGCCCCGATGCCATGGCAACAGCCAGAGGCTTGGGTGCAGCCAGGATCGGCCGGAGCAGAGCTTCGGCGATGTAGCCTCGGGCCCAGTCCTCGCTGGCGCCATGTAGGACGAGTTCCCTGACCAATCCGTCCACTCCGTGCTGCTGCTGAGCTGGCGATGCTGACGTGTCAACGTACGACGGGAAGAGAGCCCGTGCGTACACCTTGAGGTAATTCTCCCGCTCCTCGGCCGAACGATGCCGCCCGCCGCCCGCCGCCCTCCTGCCTACGAATTTCGTGCTATAAGCAGACGGCGCCGTTGCTGCTACTGCTGCTGCTGTTCCCACTGCTGCTTCTGCTGCAACTGTTACTGTAGAGCGAACAGGCGGTGCTGCTACAGCAGTGCCGGTTGCAGCGGCGAAGGCAGGAGCAGGGGTGGTGGTGCGAGAGGAACGGGAGGAGCGAGGGGACTTGAGAGAGGCGAGAAAGGCGGAGAGCGTGTGAGAGGAGGAGGAGAGGGAGGCGACGGTGGGGGAGGGGGAAGAGGAGGGGGAGAGGGAGGGGGAAGAGGCAGAGGAGGAGGAGAAGGGGGAGCGGGAGGGGGCTGAAGCGGAGGAGGCAGAGACAGGGGAGAGCGAGGGGAGGGCGGCCTTGAGTGCGAGGGAGGGTGGCGAGGCGGCCATTGACTCGAGCGTCTGCTGGATGTTGGCGAGCTGAGGGTGGGGTAGGGAGGGGGCCGTGGGGGAGTGGGTGGTGAAGACACGATATGAGAAATGAAGGGGCAATGGAAGGGGCAGATGGAAGGGGCAATGGAAGGGGCAATGGAAGGGGCAATGGAAGGGGCAATGGAAGGGGCAATGGAAGGGGCAGATGGAGAGGGGAAGCAGCCATTGACTCGAGCGTCTGCTGGATGTTGGCGAGCTGAGGGTGGGGAAGGGAAGAGTGGGTGGAGGTAAGTAAGAGACAGGGCATTCGAAATAGAGAAGCTGTGGGAGGGGGATACGAGAAACATGGGGAGAAAAGCCTTTTAAAGAGTCGCTTAAAACAATGGGAAACATGGGGAAAAAAGTCTCACCATCCCTTGTGCATATCTTACCTTACTCATCATGTCGCCAATCCCTGCCAACGACCCCCCACTGCTGCCACCACTCACCACCCTCTTCCCCTCATCTCCCTCCCGCTCCCCCCTCCCCCCGTTTCCCGGCCCCCCCTCGGCCCCTTTCCCCATCTTCGCCCCAGCCTCCGCAGCCCTCCGCAGCCCCTCCTCCCTGCTCCGCCGCCTCTCCCCCGCGTCCGCGCCCACGCGCGCGCACAGCTGCGCCACGCGCGCAGCCTCCTCGTCCGCGCGCTGCTGCGCGAATGCCAGCGAGGAGACGAGCTGCGCCTCCATGCTCAGAAGGGCGGCGGCGGAAGGGGAGGGCGCGGCCGAGCGCAGGGAGTGCAGACGCGCCTTGGTCCACGCGACTGCCTCTAAATACTTGTCCCATGACTCCTCCGCCTTGACCTGCAAGGAAGGAAGTGAAAGGGAGGGAGGGAGACGCAGAGAGGCGAGTGAGCGAGGAGTCCAGCTGCACCCACGCGCACAGCTGGTTATGAGGCGCCTCAGAGCGCGCAGGCGAGGAGTCGTGGTGCGCCTCAAAGCGCGCAGCCTCCTCGTCTGCGCGCTGCTGCGCGAACGCCAGTGACGACACCAGCTGAGCTTCCATGCTGAGCAGCGCCGCTGCGGAGGGGGAGGGCGCGGACGAGCGGAGGGAGTGCAGACGCGTGTTGGTCCACGCGCCACTGCTTCCAGATACTTGTCCCAGGATTCCTCTGCCTTGACCTGTTTCGGGGGGGGGATACATGCATACACGGGCAGTCAGTTAGTTTTGAGACGTCTCAAAACTGGGATACATGCATACATGGGCAGTCAGTTAGATGAACGCAGTGAGAGGGAATACAGGCGCGCCTTGGTCCACGCCTCTGCTTCCAGATATTTTTCACATGATACATCCGCCTTGACCTGTGGGTACATGGAAAAGGTACAGGGAGAGCGAGAGATACATGGGGATTGGAAGCGAGTGCAGAGCAGACGCGCCTAGGTCCACACGACTGCTTCCAAAAATACTTGTCCCATGACTCCTCCGCCTTGTCCTAGCGGAATGAGGAAGGAGAGAGAGCGAGAGCAAGAGTAAGGCAGTTGAGAATGTAAGTAAGCAGACACATGGCAGCAGAGGGTGCATGGCAGGGGATGGCACATGGCAGGGGATGGCACATGGCAGGTGCTCTCACCAGTTCAAGCTCCACAGGCGACAGTGCTGCCGTGTCCACCACAGGCGGCAACACCTGCGGCTGCTCGTCCCTTGCGACCTGCACTGGTTCGCTCTCCTGTGCAGTTACCACCTGTCCAGTTGTCGCCTGTGTCACGGTGCTCTGCGCCAGCACGCCGTGGCGCTCCGCCAGCGAGCGCAGCACCGACAGATGCACCTGCAGGGGCGAGGGGCGGAGCACACGGGAAGAATGGGAAATGAGAAATGAGAGAGGGGCGATGGGAAAGACGGTGCTGTTTGCACAACGGTGCTGTTTGCACAACGGTGCTGTTTGCACAATGGTGCGACTTTTGAGGCGCCTCAAAAGTGCTCTTTGCACAATGGTGCTCTTTGCACGATGGCGCTCCTCCTGCAAAGAACAGGCCATCACTCCTCCGCTCTTCCCCTCCTATTGCCTCTCGTTTTATCCCTATCCCATCCCGTGTCCTCCCCTCCCTCCACTCTACTCCCGCTCCTCTCCCGCTCCTCACCGCCCATCCGCTATCCTCCTCTCTCTTGCGGACCCTGCCACACCACGCCCCACAGGAGCCCCTAATTGCCACGGCCAACTGCACCTGCGCACCTCCTCACCAAATTCTAAAGGCCGGTCGCTGCACCCGCTCTCTCTGCCAACACCCTTGCTCAAATCTTTCCCCACCAGTTCCCAATCCCCAATCCGCATCAGTCATGCACCGTTCCCTGCCCCCATCCTCTCGTCGATCCCCCACCTGAGCGGAGTGCGGTCTCCTCCTCTCCACGCCTGGTCGCTGCAGCCGCTCTCGCTACCAGTGCCCGCCCTTCCACGCATTCTTCCCCATCAGCCCCCATTCCCCGTTCCCTGCCCCTCCTCACGTCCATCACCCACCTGAGCGGCGTGCTGTCTCCTTCTCTCAACGCCCGGTCGCTGCAGCCGCTCCCGCTGCCTATGCCGCCCCGCCCGCAGCGCCTGCACCGACCCCGCCACCACCCCCTGCTGCGCGGCCCCGTGCGCGCCCCCCTGCGCCTGCGCCTGCTCCTCCTCCGCCTCCTCCCACTCCTCCTGCGCCTCTCCCTCCGCGTCCGAGTTGCCCGGCGCATTAGACGGCGCGTTAGACGGAGAGGACGGCGCTACAGCCGTGGGGGTGACGGTGACGGCACGTGGAGTGACTTTCCCCTCAACCACGTCGGTCACACGTTGCCGCAGCTGGGGAGAACGGGGGGGAATGGCGGAGAGCGGGGGAAAATGGGGGGAACGGGGGAAAGGTGGGGGAGGGGGGTGACTACAGGCGCGTGGAGTGACCTTCCCCTCAACCACGTCGGTCACACGTTGCCGCAGCTGGGGGGAACGGGGGGAACAGAAGGTGGTCGGAGGGGAGGAGGCGGGTGAGAGGAGAGAGTTATGGGAGGGGGAATGAGCAACAAGGTGACTGTTGAGAACGCGTCACCCCACCCCACACCCCACGCGTCACCAGTCCACACCCCACCTCCCCCCCGTCTTTCCCCGCCCCAGCGCTAAGACGCACCTCCGGGTGCGCCTGGAGCAGCTCCCCCCGGCGGCTCTTGGCGGCTTCCACCGCCGCGGAAGCCGCGTCCATGCGGGCCTCCAGCGCCCGCAGTTCCGCGCGCATTGCTCCGCGCTCCCCCCGCCCCTCCAGCACGTGCGCGCCCGCCTGCATGAATTACAAGAAAAAAAAAGAAAAGAAAGAAAGAAATAAAAAAATGGGGACGGAAGAACAGAAGGCAATCAAGACGCGCTACCAAAGGAAGCAACTTTTGAGGCGCCTAGAGCCAATGGAATCAAAGCATTAACACTCGAGTCGTCACACGATGCCTGTTTTATGTCCCATTGACCCACAGTCTCTTAAGTACGACCCAGCATCAATCACACACCCACCTTGCGCATTTCCAATGGGACCGCGGTGGGATCCGCGTTAGCCGCAGCAGGAGCGGCAACAGCGGAATCATCGTCGCCCAAAGACGGGGATGTGAACGATGACGTCATCGGCGCCACGTTGGCAGGCTTGATGCTGACGTGGGCCGCCACGTCATCCGACACCTCGCGCAGGTGGTCTTCAGCCAGCTGCTGCGGAGCTGCTGCGCGCGGGGAGGCGGCGGAAACGGCGGAAGTTCCGCTGGCGGAGGCACCAGGGGCTGGCGCACGGCGGAAGAAGAGAGGCGCGGAAAACGCGAAGGTTAGGCAAGCGAAGCGAGAGTGGGTGGAGAAAGCGGAATGGGATCAGTAGCTACAGTAAATTAACTCGTATGCAATAAAATAAAACTCGGCGTGTGACTTACTGACACGCGTCAAATGCATACCGTGTGGAACGATGAGATTCGCGATGAAGTTGGTCGCCTTGTCGTTTCCTCCCACGATCTGCGACAGCAGCGGCGACGCCGCTTCAATGGCCTGGCGGAATTCACGCATGAAAACGGGATAGAAAGACGACCGGAGAGGATGAAGATGCGAGTGAGGGTATGAAACTGGGAGAGGATGGAAGGAACCATGACGGACGGCGATGCAGAGACCAAGGAAGCCATGACATGGCGCCTGAAAGTCGCGGCGATGCAGCATCGCAGTCGCCATGCGACTGGCGCCTGAAAGTCGCCGCGACCACGGCAGCCATGCGCACCGCGTCACCCGATGCCCTCGTGACTCAACTCTAAGCCATATCCTATTCCCCGCAGCCAGTTTCGCTAACTAACGCCCCCCCCACCCCCCGCGTCGCATTCTCCGTACTCCCCACGTTCCCCGCAGCGCACCTTGCTGTGGTTCTCCAGCGTCGCCGCGGCCACCTTCGCCATTTCCTTCGACGCGCGCTCCGCGCCTCGCGCCATCTCCTCCGCCGCCTTCGCCATCCGCTCCATCCACGACCGCGCTCCCGGCCGCGTCTCGCCCGCTCTGCGCAACGGGGAAAAACGCGGAGAACAGCGGAGTTGCGCGAACGAAGAGAGCCAGGGAAAATGGGCCGGGGGAGAGGGAAGGGGGAGAAGGGACAGCGGGAAAAACAGTGCAGTGAGTGGCCTGAAGGTGAGGAGGGTGTCGGGTGGAGAAACGCGCGAAGGGGAGGGGGGGAAGGGGGGAGGGGGAGAGGGAAGGGGGAGAAGGGACAGCGGGAAAAACAGTTCAGTGAGTGGCCTGACGTTGAGGAGGGTGTCGGGTGGGGTAATGCGCGGGGGGAAGGGAGGGGGGGGGTTGGGGGGAAGGGTGGGAAAGAAACGCGGAGGGAGGGGGAAAATGCGGAGGGGGAGGAACGCGGAAGCTGCCCGCGTAAGTAATGCGAAGAATGTAAGAAAATAACCTATGAAGTATTAATGTGGGTGCAAAGAACGTACCGCTGAGCGCGGAAGATGGCGGAGATCGGGCGACGGCAGTTGCGCCTGAAGCTCACTGCAAGCACCAGCCAGTCCAGCAGTGCCACGTGGGCGAGACGCAAACGGGAGAGGTCAGGCCAGTTCTACATCTTGCGACGTCTATAAAATGGTTCGCTGCAGTGTAAGGGTGACAGATTAAGTTCTGACGCTGTGCACTAAAGTACGGCGGCTGCATCGCCAGACTCTTGGACGACGACAATGACAGATATCCCGCAACGGTGACCAACCGCCGTACATAAGCTGCATGTTGACACGTACTGTATATAACTTGCACGATTAAACGACGCGAAAGCTGGTCGACGTAACACGAAGCCTTTCCCCCTTTCAGGCTGCTGTTCCGACGAGCCTGTCCGACTAACCAATATCAGATTTCAGGCATAGTACCACGTCGCTGATAACGTTCTGGTGATAAGAAGCGGTGGTAGACTAGCGGACTTACGCGTTACGCGCTTCGGCCGCATGGGAACGACGAAGGCGGTGCTGAACTGCGGGGTATTGGGAGCTTTCCGCCACCGCGCGCCCATGTAGGGCGCAAGGGCGGGAGGCGCGCATATGCGCATCGCGACGATGGCTTGACTCGCCATTGAGGGGCTATTAGCAGACTACACGGCAATCGGCGGATAAGGCGTTTAGACTTAGGTGCTTACATAAACTCTTAGCTGCTTACATGAACTTCGTAAGGTTAAAAAAAAACCACTAACTTAGCAAACGGATGTTAAGAATAATAATAACTATTGGATAGCAGAGACGGCGTGGATGCTCCCAATGTGCTACCCTGACAGAAGGCTGAGCGGGACTTTCTGTCAGCCTACCCTACAAACCAAGTTTGAGATCTGAAATGCTAACTAGGGAGTACCCAGACCTTGGTGGTTGTGGTATGGTCGCTCACTCACTAAATCGAAGCGGGGAAGGGGAAGGGGAAGGAGGGCAGAGGGATAAGGGAAAAGGGTAGGGGAAGGTACAGGGGCGGGCGATGAGGGGGGAGGCAGGGGGAAGGGTTGCGGAGAAGTGAAACGCGCGAAGTCGAAGCGGAATTCGGGGAAAGGCAAGGGGATGAGCAATATGACAGACTGGGAGGAGAGTGCGTTGAGGGCGGAAGCATAAGTAGGGGGGAAGAGCTCATGTTTGAAGTTCAAAATAAGGCGGGCGGAAAAGGCCTCTGGCCCCTGCGTGCGCGTTCAGGTCGTTCAGATCGAGGATTCGAGGCCACCCTTGAGAGTTGCGCGATAAGTTTGCGGGGGAAGGGCCAATCGTGTCGGAGGATCTCTGAATACTATTGCAATCTGAAAATTGTTTTCTACCGTCAGATCTAACAGCAAGGCAGATATCGATGGGGCTGCTCGCACGGTCTCTGCATCCCACGTCGGGCCGCGTCAGCTTTTCCGTGACCCAAAGCGGTTCGCAAAGACGCCACTGTGGCACTGCCGTGATTTTGAAAACCTTGGGTTGCCCACATAAGATGGGATAAGGGAGTGAAATAACAGATTTTGATGTTTCAGAAGAGCATTTTAGAATGTAAATTGATTAATCATTCTAACAAAAAGGCCCAGACGATTATTTCTCTCACTATTTTTTCGATCGTGCCGAAAGCTCTGGTAAGCGTCTTCATTCATGGCGGCCTCCGAGGATACACATCCTCGATATCAGCCGCTTCAGCACTGCGCTTTATGGCAAAAAAACATACTAACAAAGTGAACCCACTTTCCAGCTCAACACAAATCGAGCCAGTTACTGCGACACAACATTATTGCAAATTCCACCGCAATGTGCGGCATGCGTCGAAACACAGCACCACGCCTGTGTTTAGGTGGATGAGCCTTGCACGGCGTGGCGCCAGCCAGGCGCCGAGCGAACTATCGAGTGGGCGTGGGCATGGGGCCACGGCATGGCGCTCCGCTCGTTCGTGGAAGCCTCCTTTCGTCGTGTGACGAGTCACACGAGTCACGACAGGGAACGAGAGGCGACTGACCGACAGAGGATCGCCGCCGCTTGATCCGTTGTGGTGCGGATTTGCTGCATTCCTCATTTCCTGCGTTTGACATCGCGTACGTCACATACTCGTTTTGAGACGTCTCAAGACTAGATTTCCTGGGTTTGACATCACGTTACGTCACATACTCTCCGGCTTCGGTATTTCGCACCTGCTGCTTCACTGCGCCCCTGGCATCCCGCACTGACACAGCAATGGCGGAAAATTCCGCGCAAGCCACTCCTCCCGCGCTTGTGGCGGAAGCTACAGTGGTGAATTCTGTCTTTGCCGCATGGGGGAGCGGGCCCGCGCCAGCTGCGGCAGCGGCTGTTGCACCTGAAGCGCCTGTAGGGGCTGTAGCCCCTGTAGCCCCCGAAGAGCCTCCAGCCCCTGTAGCGCGGACGCCGCCACTGCGCACGCCGACGCCGGACGTCACCTACTCGCTGCCTCACGCCGTCGTGGCGACTCGTGCGCGCGCCGCGACGGTGCGCCTGCGATGCGGGCGGCAAATTGCGTATCTGGAGAAAGGGATGGGCGCAGCGCAGGCGAAGCGGACGCTGCTGGTGCTGCATGGCCTGGGATCGTCGCGACTCGCCAACATGCCAGGTGAGCTAAAGTCTCAAAATTTCAGACACTAAATTCCCAGATGCTGATTTTCCTGACTTTTTTTTTTATTCTAAACCCTTAAACTCTCCCCCCCCCCTCTTCTCAGGAGTGTCAGACGAGCTTCTGTGCTCTTTCGGTGTCCGGCTGGTGGCCATTGATCGCCCAGGGTACGGCCAGTCCGACCCTGCGCCAGCCCTCTCGCTGCGCTCCTTCTGTGCGGACCTTGAGGAGCTGGCGAATCTGCTCTCGCTGGGGCACAAGTGAGTGGATAGATGCGGAGTGATCAAGCACGTGCAGGTGGTATGTGATAGTGGTTTCCACAGTCCCACCCCGCGCCAGCCCTCGCACTGCACTCCTTCTGTGCGGACCTCGAGGAGCTGGCAGATCTTCTTGCCTTGGGGCGCAAGTGAGTGGGTTCACCATTTCATCACCAGTCACCTTGTGGGTGGTCAGTGTGGGTGGTCAGCGTGGGTGGTCAGTGTGGGTGGTCAGAAGACCACATGCACTCCTTCTGTGCCGACCTTGTTCTGGGGCACAAGTGAGAGGATCGATTCAGAGTGACCAATTAGTGAGAGTGGTCAGTGAGAGTGGTCAGTGAGAGTGGTCAGTGAGAGTGGTCAGTGACATTTTTCCTTCTTCTTCTCCCGAATCAGGTTCTCCTCTCCCCTATTCCTGCATGCAGTTACGGGGGGATGTCAGAATTATATTCTTATACCTGCATGTAGTTCTAGCTGTAGTGTAGATATTAACTTTATAGGTGGTGCACCTCTTTGTTTGCTATATGTACCCTAGTGCTATAGTGAACATCACTTTTCCCCATTTCTCTCTCCTTGGCACAAACTCTCTCGACTCCCTTTGGCCTAGGCTACTAAGCCTAGGCCCTACCCTTACTATTCAACAGCGTACTGCTGGGCGGCAGCGCACTACATTCCTCACCGCATCCTTGGGATTGCCATGTGGGCACCCTTCAGCTCATTCTACTGGCAGGTGTGACTGTAGTGAATAATGGTGTGACTTTAGTGAATGGGTAGGTGTGATTGTAGTGAATAATGGTGTGACTTTAGTGAATGGGTAGGTGTGACTTCGCTGAACGGTAGGTAGACTGTGCTGAAAGGCATGATGCTTGCATGACCCTCTCCGTCCAGATGCTATGATGGTGGGATATTTCCTGCTGGAACATGCCCTTTCCTCGCACTCCCCTCCCCTCTCACATCACTCCATTCATTCCCCTCCCACAGGGAATATCAGAGCAGGACAGGGAGGCCATGTTCGCCGGCATGACGCCTCACTCCCGCCGCTCCCTCCGCCTCGGCCGCTACGCCCCTCTCTGGCTCATCCGCCTCTTCATTCGCAACTTTGTCGTTCCCTTCTCTGGTGAGTGCCTTTCTATGAATTCCAGTATGTGCTGTGCTCCTTCGGCCACTACGCCCCGCTCTGGGTCATCCGCCTCTTCGTCCTTGCTCCGCTTCCTCTTCTCCCAGCTCCCCTGTGGTTGCAGCACCACTCTCACAAGCCGATCGCCTCTCCCCCCTCTGTTGCCCCTCTCCCCCCTCTGTTGCCCCTCTCCCTCCTCTGTTGCCCCTCTCCCCCCTCTGTTGCCCCTCTCCCCCCTCTGTTGCCCCTCTCCCCCCTCTGTTGCCCCTCTCCCCCCTCTGTTGCCACTCTCCCCCCTCTGTTGCCCCTCTCCCAGGGCCCTTATGGTTGCAACGCCTACAGCAGAGCCTCTCACACGCCGATCGCCAGTACCTGCTGCACCCACAGGGGGCACAGGCGCTGCTGAACGACAATACAGAGTCGCTCCTTATGGGATCGCATGGCGAGGGCATGGCCAAGGACGTTGAACTCTTCAGCCGCCCATGGCCCTTAGATATCCAAGACATCTGTGATATTGGATGCTTTGATAATACCCAAGACATCGGGGATATCGCCAGTATCCGACGCTCCACATGTGAAGCATCCAAGAAAACATCCCCCTCCTCCACCGCAAATCCACCCCCATCGACCGCCCCTCTCCCGTCCTCGCCTTCCCCCACCCCTCCATTCTTAGTGCACATATGGCATGGCACGGAGGACGTATTAGTGCCTCTCTCGCTGCAGCGCTGGCTGCAGCAGCAGCTGCCGCATGTGGTGAGGCTGTATGAGCTGCCTGGCGAGGGACATCTTTCCTGGTTCTGCCACCAGCCTCAGAACCACCACCAAGTACTCTCCACTCTCTTCTCTTAGTGGCGTCTAGTGGCCTCAGTGCTGCTCGCTGCTCTACATGTTGCAGCAGCAGCTGCCGCATCTGGTGAGGCTGCATGAGCTGCCAGGGGAAGGCCACCTCGCCTGGTTCTGCCACCAGCCCCCGAACCACCACCAGTGCTCTCTACTCTCTTCTCCTAGAGGTTTGAAATGCTGGAAGCTCTAGTGCAGACCCGAACCTCATGCTTCTGCCACCAGCCTCAGAGCCACAACCAAGCACTCATTTCTCTCTCCCAAGGCACTTGCTTTAGACATTGTTAGCTAGTAGCTACTCTCCAAAGGTGTAGGCAAACACTGGCTGTATGAGTTACAGAACATTTTGTACTCGTGGTTAACACATGAGTAAGCAAGCACTCGAACAGAAAAAATCGGCTGATAGTTTTATGCTTCACTTCTTGCTCCTTACCTGGCCTCAATAGGTTGGCCTCATTCACGATCATGGCTCCACTGGTTAACATGTTGGCTAACACACACCGTTGATACAGTAGCAGTTTCCATCTTTGCTACCAGATCGTTTCAGCAGGAGGCAGCCTTACACATGTGACTAAAAAAAATCATGTTGAATAGAAAAATCTACACAATACAAGAATAGTGTGTTGTGTCAGAACTGTCTTCGGCAGGTGACAGCCTTACATGCGTGATCGAAATCATCAATCACCCAAAGCCGAGCCCCTCTCAGCGATGCTATCTTCTCCTCCTTTTTACCCGCATAAGGAGGCACTATCACTGGCAGCAACCACCCTTTCGGAACCCTCACCCCCTCCTGTGGCCCAAAGGGAATCGTCCCTGCTTCTTTGAAACTAACCGAGTTACTTAGCACCTGTGCTGCTTGCTGCTGCTGCTGCCGGCTCCCCCCTCCCCCACATTCCACCTCCCCCACGTCAAAATTCACCACCATGCTGCCCGCAAGCACGTTGGTCAGCAGCGGGGTCCGCGAGCAAAACTTTTCCAGCTGCCCCCATGCGGCAATGGTCGACGGCGAGGATCGCACGACGAGGAACGAGGAGCTGAAATCAACGGCGTCCAGACGGCCCCACATTTGGAAGCTCGGATCGACACGCGTGACAGTATCCGCTGCTAGCGGATCACCCCTCCATATAGTGTCAGCGTTCCCTATAGCCACATTGAAGCCGAGAGAAAGAGCGGTTAGAACTAACTGAACGTGTCGGGCAGTCCAGTGGTTTCGTCCGCTCAATCTCCTCCTCCTGTTCACTTCAACAGGGTCCTCCAACCCTCTCTTCCTCCTCACCTCATCCTCCTCCTCCTCTTCCTCCCCTCCATAGCCCGAAAAGCCCCCAGAATTACCCACACCGTCACCATTACTATCCCCTTCCCCCTCCCCATCCTCCTCATCTTCTGCTGTGTTATAGCTGCCTGAACCTGGATCATCCTTCCAAAAGAGACTGTCGATGCCGATGCTGGTGATGGTGCCTATACCCCCGAAACTAGTGCCACCTTCATCCGAACCCCCATTGCTGCTGCTACTGCTACTGCCGGTGGTGCTGCCACTGCTTCTACCATCACCAGCACCTGCCGCTGCTGAGTCAGCACCATTGCTCCGCGCCAGGTGTCGCAAGATCCTGCGACGGGTGACAGGTGGCAGGTAGAAGACAGCATAGCCACGTGCTGCCAGCTCAGCTGCCAGCCTGGCGCATGGAACGATGAGGATGAGGTTGGAGACACCGGAGCCGTCGATGTGGCAGAGCCAGTTGTTAATGAGATCTCGGCCGTCGAACGGCACCACGATCAGAGAAACATATTTTTCCTGAACAGACACAAGAAGAGAGCAAACACAAGGGAGAAAAGGCAGCAAGGGGGGTTGAATAAGTGAGCACGGAAGGGAACGTACAGAGGGAATAAGGTTGTAAGCATTTTTTGAAAAAGGACAATTACTAAGGAAATATTGTGTCACTAAGCCCAGAGAGCCCATTCTATGGCCCATTCCATTAATAAAGTTATTCATCTCCCCTCTCTCTCCCATCCTCGCTCGCATTCCCCCCTCCCACTCTTCATCCCAGCACTTTCCGTAACTCTCTGTCCCTTCACCCAGGCTCACCGGAGCAACAGCATTCAGCAACGAATGAAACTCCTCCAGCGATTTCGCAGGTGGTAACCAGCGTAACTGCCGGAAACACAGATCATGCCGTTCCAACCTCCGTAGCACCGGCAGAGGCCGGACCCACCACGCCCTGATCGACCGAGCCCACGCTACATCCGCCCCTCCTGCTACAACCCTCCCTGCTGCCCCTCCGGCTGTAGCGCCAGCAGCACCCCTCCCTGCCGCCCCTCCTGCTGAGACAGACGCAGCAGAAGAAGACGCAGCAGCCAGGGCGGCAGCTAGCTTCTGGGGGGTCAAAAGGGCGGCATCAGCTCCCCGGTTTTTCGGCATATTCGACCCTTTCTCCCGGTGCGAGATCGAGAGCGAAAGATTCCCGGGCGGCGAGGGGTAAAGATTGAACATACCCTTGGCATACGCCCATTTGATTATCCAGGGTGTCCAGAGGCGATTACCCTTGTTTTTGAACCAGACCGTGGTTTTTAGCCCGTCGAGTGAGGGTTCTCGGGTGGAGTTGTAGCGTCGCATGTCGTACCAGAGGCGAAACTGCTTCCAGGGGGCTGGGAGGAGGAACTGGCCCCATGTGCCGACTAGCTGGTAGAGAAAGGGGTCCGGATGGTCATACACGTTCAGCCCACTGTTGAAACCTGAGGAAAGAGGGGGGGTGGCAGGGGCAAACGGTTTTGAATCAGACCGTGGGGTTTGAGTCCGTCGAGTGAGGGTTCTCGCGTCGCCTTGGGGTTCTCGGGTGGAGTTGTAGCGTCGCATGTCATACCAGAGGCGAAATTGTTTGCAGGGGGCTGGAATGAGGAGCTGGCCCCATGTGCCGACTAGCTGGTAGAGAAAGGGGTCCGGATGGTCGTACACGTTCAGCCCACTGTTGAAGCCTGGGGAAGGGGGGAGGCAGGGGAGGGGGGTTGGGGAGGGCACAAACAGGGAAGGAACACTGATGCAGAGAGGAGAGGAGAGGGATGGGTTACACGTGCTGGTAGAGGAAGGGGTCCGGATGGTCGTACACACTCAGACCACTGTTGAAACCTGGGGAAGGGGGGGGTGTGAAGGGGGTTGTGAATGGGAGAGGGATGGGCTACACGTGCTGGTACAGGAAAGGGTCGGAGTGGTCATACACGTTAAGACCACTATTGAAGCCTGAGGAAGGGGTTTGTGAAGGGGGGTGTGAAGGGGGGTGTGAAGGGGGGTTGCGACGGGGGGGTGTGAAAGGGAGGTGTGAAGGGGGGGTGTGATGCGGTCGAACGAGGAAAAGGTGTCTTTGAGGCGCCTCATAAGCGGGCACTGTGGCCATTGTTGAAGCCTAATGAGGAGGGTTGTGATGTGGTAGATCAGGAAAGTGTTGCAGGGAAGGGACAATGACACGGACAAGAAGAAAGGGGAAATCTCAATGCTCTGCTGATGGATTTCCCATCTCTCATCCCCCACCACCCCCACTCCCCCTTTTCATAACCCACTCCCCTTTTCCCCACCACTCCGCATCCCCCATCCCCCATCCCCCATCCCCCATACCCACCATACCCACCATACCCACCATCCCTCCATCATGCCAATCATCCCACCATTCCCACATGGCATACCCGCAATGAAGAACTGCCGTTGAAAGGAGACCCCATACACGCTCGGGTTGAAATTGGACGCGTTAAAGTAGTACACTCCAAGAAGCCTTTTCAAATACCGATAAAATAGCGGCGAAACCTCCATATCATCCTCCACCACAAATGCCACGTCATTCACGCTCTCAGGCCACCACGATTCCAACCACTGCGGCTGAATCCCCATATTCTGGGACCGGTACAGTACACTTCTCGGTCCGTGCGGCCACGTGAATTTATCCAACAGTGACAATAACGAATGAGCCACTGCAACCCGATCCGCTGCTCGTCTCGTCCAGGCGGATTTCCCCGAACGGTTACCAAACGTGTGGTCGACGAAAATATCTAGGGTTACCACATCGCCGTCATACTCTGCATTCGCTAACGCCTTTAAGCATCGCGCTGCCACGTCAGGACGATCGTAAACCAGTACTTTGATATGCAGCCGGAATTGCGAAGGATCCACCCTCGCGCCGTTCGGACCCGGGAATAATCTCGCGAAGTTTCGCGGAAGCTGCCATGAAGGCCCTCTAAGCGGCGGCTCAGGTGCAAGAAGACCCCGCGAGTGTACTGAGGAGGAGGAGGAAGAGGAGGAAGAGGAGGACGACATTGATGAATCCAAATGAGAGCTTGTCTGCAAGTTGATCGGTTCGTTACTAGGGTTAGCGCATGCCAATTCTCGGGTCTGCTCTTGACGGGTATGCTGGCGTCCCGGTTGCCGTTGCAGCTCGAGCCAGATTCGCAACGCGGCCGACGCGACGAGGGCGATCAGGAAGACGAAGAGGAAGCGACCTCGACCAGCGCTCCCCGCCATGATTCCTGACGATTCCTGATAGTTCTTGACGATTCCTGACGATTCCTAACGATTCCTGACGATTCCTGACGGTTTCTTATGGTTCGTGCCCGCAACCACACAGCAGTCAATTCTTCAGGTCGAGTTACAAAGTATCAGGACGGCGAGCAGGAAGCGGTTTGTACCTGGGTTTCCCGCCATGCTCCCAGGTCTCTATTTGACCTGAAAACCCGTCATTTCTTACTCGCACGTACGCATGAGTTCAGTGTTGAGCTGCAAAGCGGAGTATCGATGAGGACGGTTCGACCTACTTCCAACTCTATCCCCGGCTATTCTCGACGATGACTTCGACAGAAAAATCGTCTATCTTTGACAAGCCGGGTGGTGACCGATCAGATCCGATTTGATCCCGATAATCAAGCGCCATTCTACACTAATTGCTTTGACATGAATGGATGGACTAATTACTTGTAATGTCAACCGGAAGGCAGCTTTGCAAGCTTAGGAACCAAGGGCAATCAACGATGCTACACGTCGTGCCTGTGACGCTAATGTCGCGATCGCAACAGTACTAGCACCGCAATGAGCGACGTAATTGGCAAATCACGGCCGAAAGAATGTACAACGATGACCGATCAAGCGCAACCGACCAAGTTAGCAGGCGAACGAAACGGCTAGTCACGGAGAATCGGTCCAGACTCACTCCCAACAAAAGCTCTCTCCCACAGAAGTCGTGAGTGCAGTGCAGACTAGACTGCACTGCAGCCGTGAGTAGGCAAAATTCCCTCGACCTGGCCTGCACATCCTTTTTCTTCAACAGGTGTAAAGTGGTTAGGAACGGTGAAGTTTGATAACCGCTCCCAAAACGCAGATCATCGTACTCAACCGTTTTATACAAACAGAAATGAGCTTCTCGTTCAGCTGGTCGACTGGTTTTTAGTGGTTGGTTGGTCCACTCGGGGAAATCGAGGCACAGCAGTTGCAGTAGGTGAAGCGGTTGGCCGAAAATCCTTATAGGGGTATATAGTGCTACCGGTAGCATTAGTTAAATATATTTGCAGACACTAGCGCTGGATAAAGTTGGATAACATTGACAGCAGACAGCAATATATTGCTATTCTTAGCTTTCTGTAATACCGTAGACACAAGACATCCAGGAAATTTTATGCGTTTGGGAGCTTAAAAGGAAGGAGGTGGGTGGAAGGATGCGATGAAAGAAGGGTGGTGGAAGCGAAGCAAGCTCTTGGAATCTTGGATGGTACATTGCGGAAGGTAAGGAGATGGTGCAGAAGAGAATGACAAGGTGCAGATCCGGATGATCTCTATGGCTGCTCACTTCCTCCTACCTCTGGAATACTCCCAATCTGCAGGTGTTTCACCCTAACCCGCTCTCCAATTTGCATGGTATTTTTCGCCACTTGCTCAGCTTAGAACACTTGGCTTGGATTGGAACACTTAGTTAACGACGTCCACAATAACCCGTCGTGACTTGATGGGCGCCCAGCGCCACCGCTTGTAGTAGATGGCCTGCAGCCACACGAGGGAGATAATGAAGATCCACTTCACTCCCATCTGCCATGGCAAGGGCACAAGTGGGGGAGAGGGCAAAGAGAAAAGACAGTTTTTTTTGTTTTTTTTTTTTTTTTTTGTTGGACATATGAAACCCACAGATGGAACAAGATCTCACCAGCCTCTCCTGGTCCGTGCCAGGCTCAGTGTCCCCCACACAAGGAAAGTGACAACATCCTTGGCCTGCCGGGACTCCGTGGCCGGCGTGCCATCAGCATACTCCACACCGCTCCTTGTACCGTGCATACAGAGTGCGGTTTCCACCCTTCTCCCATCTGAACCCTTTACAATCTAAGCCACCCACCAGCTTGCGTTCGTCAATCTCAGGCTCAGCAGCCCAGGCAAGGAAAGTAACCACGTCCTTGGCCTGCTGGGACTCCTTGGCGGGCGTGTCATCCTCGTACTCCACACCGCTCATTGCACCATCGTGCATACACACACAGTGCAGCTTCCACACATTTCACATCTCAACCCATTGCAAGTTTGGCCTAGCCACTCACCAGCTTGCGCTCCTCCATTTCAGGTTCGGCGGCCCATGCAAGGAAGGTGACAACGTCCTTGGCCTGCTGGGATTCTATCGCTGGTGTGCCATCCTCGTACTCGTTTGCATACCCTATTCAGCCCGGCATTTTCTATGCACCTAGGGTGCACTCACCAGCTTGCGTTCGTCCATCTCGGGTTCAGCAGCCCAGGCGAGGAAGGTGACAACGTCCTTGGCCTGCTGGGACTCCGTGGCAGGTGTGCCATCCTCGTACTCCACACCGCCGTCATTGAGCATCTTGGGCATGGCAATAGCGCCGCCCGGGAAGTACGGATTGTAGTGCAGGCCCTCACGCACCTGTGCACCCGAAGCATCCAGGGAGGTGAGATGAGGGTGGTGGGATGGGGGTGGAGGGATGAGGGTGGTGGTAGAGACAAGATGATGGTTTTTGCATGAACTCCAAGGCCGTCGTTGAGCATCTTGATTCTTGGAAATCGTGATGGCACCGCCTGGAAAGTGAAAATTGTACTGCAGCCCGTCTCACTGTCTCACACCTGTGCAGTGCACCCAAATCATCCAGAGTGAATAGAAATAAAAATAGGCGATTCATGAGGCTCCGCTAACATCCACAAGCAGAACGGGGTGGAGAAATGAGGGTGGAGAGAGAACGTGAAGACATGCAGGAGGGAGAGGAGGGAGAGAAGGTGGGGAGAGGAGTGGGGAAGAGGAAACCTCTGAATGGATGAGAGGAGAAGATTCTGTGTCCAGTCCAGGGATGATCTTCATGGTATGGTATGTGCTTTGAGATCCAGCTAGCATGCCCCAACGCCATTCCATCACAACCCAACAGCTGAATCATCTCACTGCTCGTATCATGGTAAAGGCATGGACACACACTCACCGAGATGCCAGCAGGGGGTTCGCGGTAGCCTGTGAGGAGCGCATAGATGTAGTTCTGCCCATCGTGGCGCGCCTGGGAATGGGAGGGTGGGGCGAGAGAAAAAAGCATCAATAAACACGAGTCAGTCAGACCTGGTAGCACGAGGGAGCTTGGACCGTGAGGAGAGCCTAGATGTAGTTCTGCCTGTCGTGGTGCGCCTGGGAATGGGAGCGGGAGGGGGTGGGGAGGAAGGGAGAGCATACACGCGTCATTAAGCATGAGTTGACACAGTGGCACGTGGGCACGTGGTCACACGAGGAGAGCATACACGTGGTTCTGCCTGTCATGGTAGAGTCAAGGTTAGTGAGCACGTGAGAGAGAGGGGGAGTAAAAAGGGGGGGCTGAGAGATTGGTTGCTGCGGTGCGGGTTGCTCGTGAAAATGGGATAATGGAAGGGGGGTGTGAGGGGAGCGGGCGGGTGGAAGAGAAGGGTTGAAGCTGCAGCACAGCAGGTACCTTGCTGATCAGGCTGAGAACCGGAGGGTACCCTCCGCCAGTCGGGAACCAAGCAATCAGCAATCACTCTGTGAGTCGACTCAAAAGGCAAAGGGGGAAGGAGGGTGGAAGAGGAGGAGGGAGGGGGGGGTGGCAGCACCGTACCTTGCTGATCAGGCTGAGGTCCGGAGGGTAAGCTCCGCCATTCGCGAACCGCGCGCCCTGCTCATTCGCGTACGGATTGGGGAGCTTATCCGAGGGCTTCCCCGGACGCAAGAACATCTCGCCCTCATCGTTGGGCCCGTCCTCCACTTCGACCTCGGCGGCGAGCGCCTTGACCTCGTCCTCCGTGTACGCCACTCCGATGAGATCGCGGTAGGACACGAGCGACATGCTGTGGCACGTCGCGCACACCTGCTGGTACACCTGGTGCCCGCGCCGGATGCTGGCGGAGGGGGGGGGGGGAGGGGTGGGGGGGAGAGGGGAAGGGGGAGGGGGAGGGGGAGGGGGAGAGGGGAAGCGGGAGAGGAAATGGGGGACGGGTGGTGGTACACCTGGTACACCTATTACACCTGGTACACCTGGTGCCCGCGCCGGATGGCGGTGCCTGGGATACGTGGGGGGAGAGGAAGGAACGGTTGGATGGATGACGGAATGGACGTGCTTATGGAGTCGTGAGCTTCAAGAGTGTTTAAAACAGTGGTGCTTATGACGGGTGTGCATACATGACAGAGAGCTGCCACTAGGCATGGTAATGGAGCTGCAGATAATGTCGGTGCTTATAGCAGGTATGCACGGCAACAGTGCTTATAAAAGGCGTGCTCACAAGACGTGGTTAAGTACGAGACTCCTTACGAGGCATGGTCGTAGGAGCTAAAGATGCCGTCATGAGACCACGGGTACGCAGGAGCGTGAAGCCCATGCTCCGCCTCGTCAGCGCGTGCCACGTCAGCGAGAGCCGCCACGCCCAGCACCGCGCCGCCCACTGCACCCGTGGCGCGCAGCAGCTTCCACGTCAGCGAGTCGTTGGTGGTGTTCTCATTGCCGGCTGCTGATGCGGCGGCCACAGCCGGTGCGCTGGTGCTGAATGGCTGAAAGAACGGCGATAGATATCAGAGGAATCAGTTGTAGGAAGAAAAACGGGAAAAAAATATAAAAAACTTAAGCAGGGCAGGATAGAGAGCTATATCCAGACGGACGAACGGATCATCAGAGTAGAGACAGACAGCTACGGACGGTAACCCGGAAGTCATTCTTTGAGACTACTCAATGATTATCAGAGAAGAAACAGTGAGTAACGGACGTAGACGGATCACCACCATAGGAAATAACGCACGAAGCGTCCAAACAGAGTCGCATTGCCGTTTGACAGTACCGTGCCAGCAAGATACGGAACGGAGCAAGAAAAATGAGCAAGATCGACAGCCAAGAACGATCGAGCAATCGAAAGCGGATCTGGAGCTCAGCGAGATCAGCGGGATGCGTAGATCGCAGGGAACGACGGGATGAACGGTTTCTCTAAGGATTCTTTAATTGCTTGGATGTCTGTAAAACGGGCTGCTTGGTACGAGAGTCTAGATGATCGAGACACGCGGATCCAGGATGACTTTTAAGCCGACTCAGAAGTAACGAGGCTGGCGGGGTGACCGAGACAAGCAGATCCGAGGCGCAGATCCGGAACCGTGACGATCCCAATGCTGCATTTCAAGAGCTATGGAGCATGGTGGAAACCGAGTGCTAGAGAGTAATAGCCAGCTTTTTTTTTGCGGCGCTATTGAAAATACTCCCGTCGGTACAGAGATCTTCCATAGAAAAGGGCGAATAGTCTCGATGGCATTGAGTACGTGTAGGCAAGCGAAAGCTTCGCGTCGTAGCAAGGTTGTTGCAAAGTGGTTACCAAGTTACCTTGCACGCCTTCTCAGCGATCGATCCTCCCTGGCCGCGGGCCAAGGAGCGCGCGAAAACCGCTGCTCGACCCAACATGCTGCGGTCCAAAAATAAATCGCACCGCGTTGATTTAGTCGACGGTGTCGCGAGAGAGATTAGGGACGGAGGAACCCCTAGGCGGGAAAGTACTTTGTAACTGATGCTAGGGCACAAGACGCCTAGGGACTGGGGTGAGCGGAGGACAGGGAACGATGATGGCGGAAGTGCAGGGGAACAATGGGTGAAACCGGGATCCTCACACAACTGGAGATAGTGTTTCTGTATTTTGTGAGAAACGCGATGTTATCACGAACACGGTACATCTACGAGAAACTGTATATCGGGTATTTTGTCAACACCCTCCCCCACTCTACATCCCACGCGCCACGTCTCCCCCAACCCCTCCAACCTTGGGACCTACGCAGACGGGATTCGTTGAAGAGGGTTGTGTGTTGGAATGGACAGGCTCCGAACGCGTTTGGCTGAAGAATCTTTTTGAACCAGACTAAACCTCCTGTTATACAGCCGCTACCGAGCAGAGCCACAACCAGACAGATGGTTTCAGTGAGCAGATTGGTGTGAAGCTGACGTTTCCAGTTTATGCTCTTCCAAATCCATCACTCACACCACCTACTCCTTAGCTTCTGGGATTCATTACAAGGCGAAGAATTTCCTTCGCTTATCTTCCCACACACGCATTTGCTCATCACTTTCGCCAGTGGCGTGTGTTTCTCGCACTTCGCCTTTCCGCGTACCTCCTCGTTGATCCTATTCCTTTGCGAGTTCATGGTTCAGTTTCCCTCGACTTGACCTGCTCTTTGACCAATCTCCCGCTTTTCACGCACGTGATTCCGTTGTTCTAGATTCCAGCCTCTAAATCAGAAGCTGTTATGGCTCGGCAGGCGAAGCGATCTAAAGTGGAGCCAAGCGCGTCGGCTGACGAAAACGAAGACTGCGTTGAGGTGGTAACGGTCGAGACTAGCTCGGCTCGCAGGCAATCCACAAGGCTGAGGCGACCGCCATTGAAGCTAGAATACGGATTCGCGGGTTTCGAACCACCAGGTGCAAAGCGGGAGAATTCAGCAGCAAAGGACTGCAATGGAGTGGAAAAGAAAGCAGTCCGGGTGTCAGATCAAGAGGTAAAGAAAGAGCTTGGCGGGAAGAAGCAGGCGAATTCGGCGATGATGAGAGGCGCTTCGGCAAATTTGAAGGCGAAAAATGAAGCAGTAATGCCCTCGTCGTCATTTCGCCGGGCGAGCGACATGGTGGACGCGGATCCGAAATCCGGCGAATCATTGTCTGAAGTCGAAGAAGTAGCATCGGATTCGGACGACAGTTGGGCTGCCACCGATCTGGAAGAGGATAACGGGGACGCTGTTAGCGAGGATGTGGAGGAGCAGGATCGCGAGTTTCCGGGAGTGAAGGAAGTTGGTGCGTTGGATGTAAACGGCGCGAGTGAAGACAATGAGAGGTCATTCTGGGAGGTGCAGTTTGAGAACGATGAGGAAAATGAGGATTGTGATGATGATCCAGATCGGATGAAGCGTTGGTCTAAGAATGCGACCACGCGAGCAGGGAAGAAGAAGAGGAAGGAAGAGGAGGAAGAAGAGGAGCAAGAGCTTTCGAGTTTACCATCTGAAGAGGAGGAGGAAGAGGAGGAAGCAGATGAGGATGAGGCGCTGAGCGTTCGAGCAAAGCGGGCGTGGAGGAACATGAAGAGGTGCAGCAATGGCGATGGGAAGAAATCTCAAAAGCAGCAAAAACAGCTAGATAAGAAGCGGAAACGGGCGGCAAAGGCAGCAGCGTGGGTGCGGCAAGTGCATTTAGAGGGTGAGGAGGTGGAAGAAGAGCGAATGGCGGAGTGGGAGAGGGATCTAGCAGCGTGCAACAGAGGGGAGGTGACGCCTCAGCAGCTGGTGGAGAAGAGGGAGAGACCGCGGGAGCAGGAACCAGCTCCGGATATTCTCATGCCGCTTCTGCCGTTTCAGAAGGAGTGGCTTGCGTGGAGCCTCAAGCAGGTGTGTGTGTTACCGAGCCTCATTGCACGGCCGTCTCTTACTTTTACCGTGTATGTGTTTATGCTCTTACTTTGTCTGTGTAACTATATTCTGCCATTGTGTATGCTCTTGTTCTTGCCCATTGTAAGTTTATCACGTCTCTTCTATGTAATTATGATGTATTCATCATGCTTTGAACATGTATTCATCATGCTTTGAACATGTATTCATCATGCTTTGAACATGTTTTCATAATGCTTTGAACATGTTTTCATCATGTATTCGTCGTGTCTTTATCAGGAACAAGGTCCCATCAGGGGCGGCATCTTAGCAGACGAGATGGGCATGGGGAAGACCATCCAAGCCATCTCCCTTATAGTCACCAGCCGTCAGCTACAGTCACACGCACCTGCTGTCAACCCAGTGCTGCCTCAGCCACTGCCACCATCATCATCAGCAGCAGAAGCTCCATCAGCTAAGGCAGAAGCAGCATCACCCGCTGCTGCTACTCCTGCTGTTGATGCTCCCTTCCCAGCTCCCACTGCTGTAACCGCCACTTCCGCTGCAGGCACACAAGCCACAGCTGGCAATCCAGGTTCATCCGGTGGAGGTGCATCTGAGCCGGAGAGGGCAGCAGTGAAGGCAACGCTCGTGATCTGCCCGCTCATCGCAGTGCTTCAGTGGCGGCAGGAGATCGCTCGCTTCACTCGCCCAGACAGTGTCAAGGTGTGTGACTGGGGGTTGAAAGCAGCGCTATGGTGGGTGGCTAGGGGTTGCTGGAGAAAGATCTGGAGGTGTATGATGTGGCTCTCACAACGTCCTTCCATTGCCGTTCCCCTATCCGAATCCGCACGTTGTGGTGTTTCTGACAAAACCCCTGATCAGGTGCTGGTGTATCGCAGTCCCAGACGAGCAATCAGCGTCAAAGGTACAGAGGAGTATGGTGTGGTTCTTACAACTTCTTCGCATTGCGGTTCCCCTATCCCCATCCGCATGGTGTGATGTGATGTGATGATGATGAACCCCCCGAGCAGGTTCTGGTGTATCACGGTCCCAAGCGAGCAATCAGTGTGAAAGATTTAGAGGAGTATGATGTGGTTCTAACCACATTCTCCATTGTGGAGGCTGAAATGCGGGCAGCTGTGTTCCCCTCCAAGGTGCCCTGCCAGTGGTGCGAGAGAAAGTTTTTTCCTGACCGGTTGGAGATCCACCAAAAGTATTTCTGCGGTCCGAATGCGAAGAGGACCGCCAAGCAGGCGAAGCAGCAGAAGAAGCTGCCGAGAAGCTTCAAGGGGATAGGGCAAGGGTGGAAAGGGGGGAAGGGTGGGAAAGGTGGAAGCGTTTTGAAAGGGAAGAAGGCGAAGTGGAAGGGGGAAGATGAGAGTGTCAGTGACTATGAGGAGGAGGAGGAGGAAGCTGAGGACGAGGAGGGGGGAACTTGGAAGGGGAAAGGGAGAAATTTGGGTAGAGGGAAAAGCAAGGGCCAGGGCAAGGGAAAGGGAAAAGTACTGGATGTGTCAGGCAAGGGCAAAGAGAAATTTGTCGATGACAATGACAACGATGACAATGGGGAAAACGAGGAAAATGATGGTGACTCAGAAGATGGTAATGATGGTAATGGTGCCGGTGGCAGCAGAGGTGGTGCAACTACAGCTGGCCATGCGAATGCACCGACTCCTAGAGGGAAGAAGAAGCAACCCCCAGGGAAGGCGTCACCAGCATCAATATTGCACTTGGTGCGATGGAGGAGGATCATTCTAGACGAGGCACACAGCATCAAGGACCGGCGGTGCAACACGGCCAGGGCTGTCTTTGGCCTGCGCTCCGACTTCAAGTGGGCGCTCAGCGGCACGCCCCTGCAGAACCGCGTCGGGGAGCTCTACTCGCTCATCCGCTTCCTTCAGATTGATCCGTACTCGTACTACTTCTGCCGCCACTGTGACTGCCAATCCCTGGACCACAAGTGAGTGGGGGAAGGGCTTACAACGAGAGCGGAGGTACAAGGTATTGGAAGTGTGTATAGGAAGCAGCGAAAGCAGGTATAGGGAGTGTGTACAAGCTGTCTTTGGCCTGCGCTCCGACTTCAAGTGGGCGCTCAGCGGCACGCCCCTGTAGAACCGCGTCGGGGAGCTCTACTCGCTCATCCGGTTCCTTCAGATTGATCCTTACTCGTACTACTTTTGCCGCCACTGCGACTGCCAGTCTTTGGACCACAAGTGAGTGTTTTGTTGAGATTCTAAGGTTCTCAAGCATCCCTGCAGAACCGCGTGGGGGAGCTCCACTCGCTGATCCGCTTCCTGCAGATCGACCCTTACTCGTACTACTTTTGCCAACAGTGTGACTGCCAGTCCCCCGACCACAAGTGAGTGGTAGACGTGCTTATGGGGAGAGCAGAGCAGGCTCATTCGTAGTGTCTTTGTGCTTGCAGCATCCTGACCTCTGGTTGCCAGTTCCTTGCACACAACTGCAAGTGAGACTAATGCGTGGTCTCTTCTCATATCTGCAAGCCATGACTTGTTTGATTCCCTTTTCTGGCTGCTCCTGCGTGCATGGCTGCTCTGTGTGTGCATGGCTGCTCTGTGTGTGCATGGCTGCTCTGCTCGTGCATGGCTGCTCGTACATGGCTGTTTGTGCCTTCCGTAAAACCCTTTCTGGCAGGTTCTCTGCACACAATCGCAAGTGCGACCAGTGCGGCCACTCCCCATTGGTCCATTTCTGCTGGTGGAACAAGGCAAGGAACACTTTTCGGTTCTTTACCATGCGTGCACAGATAATGAAACACATTTCACACACCCAATCAGAAGGCGGCAAATGCCTGTGACTTTGTTTCACATCCCATCCTCCTGTAGTGAATTGCAGGTTGTTTTTAAGGATTCTCAAAAACAACCGGCAGATGCCTGTGACTTTGTTGCGCATCCTCTTGTAGTGAATTCCCCTTGTCCCTCCCAACCCAACTCCCACTCTCTGACCCTCCCAGTTCGTGGCGAACCCCATAATGAAGCACGGGTACGGTGGTGATGGCAGGAGGGCCATGCTGCTGCTCAAGCACCGTGTGCTCAACCGCGTTCTCCTGCGCCGCACCAAGACCGAACGGGCGGCGGACCTCACTTTGCCGCCCAGAACTGTGAGTGCTAGCCACAAGCTCATGTGAGAAACGCAAGTGTCTTTGCTTTCTGTATTGACTTCTTTGTTGACCATTTGTATCCCTGATTCTGCGTATTTCCCGTCAAGAAATATAAGGTTAGCTGGGTTTTGAGAAACTCTCAGCAATCAACCAGCCTCGTTTGTTTTTCCCACTGGCCTGTTCGCTCGCCTGTTTTTTTCGTCTTAAATCTGTGTGCTCTCCACAATGGAAAATATGGCATTTGTTTTCCAAGCGCTAGGGAAAAGGGCTCCACTCAGTTGTTCTCAGTTGCGTGACAGACGTGCCACTTCAATGTCCCTATCCTGGCCTGACCTACCCCCCTCCCCCGGTTTTGAGGCGCCTCAAAAGTTTTGAGTTTTGAGGCGCCTCAAAAAGGGCTCCAATCGGTGGCGTGACAGACGTGCCACTTTAATGTCCCTATCCTGGCCTGGCCTACCCCCCTCCCCCGGCCCCTCTCCCTCCCTTCTTCCCCAGGCCACGCTGCGCAGAGACCGATTTGACGCTCGGGAGGAGGATTTTTACGAGGCGCTCTACACCCAGAGCCAATCACAATTCGCCACGTCAGTCCCTGCCCAGCCACAGCCAATCTGCGTGAAATGCACTCAAGTTTCGTGCTGCCTCGTGTGACATGCGTTGTCTCAACTTGTATCCCTTCCTTTCCATCTGTGTGATTCCTTTCCTTCACTTTTGAGTCGACTCAAAAGTCAACTTGCCTCTTGTGACATGCGTTGTCTCGCTCGCCTTGTATCCCTTCCTTCCATCTGTGTGATCGATGCCTTTCCTTCACTTCACATTTTGCCCTGTGTCCTTCCCACGCCTTTATCCTTCCATCTTTTGTCACTGAAGCTGAAGCTTCACGCTGCCTCTTGTGACATGCGTTGTTTCGCCTTGTATCCCTTCCTTCCATCTGTGTGATCGATGCCTTTCCTTCACTTCACATTTTGCCCTGTGTCCTTCCCACGCCTTTATCCTTCCATCTTTTGTCACTGAAGCTGAAGCTTCACGCTGCCTCTTGTGACATGCGTTGTTTCGCCTTGTATCCCTTCCTTCCATCTGTGTGATCGATGCCTTTCCTTCACTTCACATCTTGCCCTGTATCCTTTCCACGCCTCTATCCTTCCCATCCTTTTATTTTTTCCGTTTCTTCTGATGCTTCCCTTCCTGCCTCCTTCCCTTCTCCCAGCTATGTCGACGCAGGCACACTACTCAACAACTACGCGCACATATTCGATCTGCTCATCCATCTTCTCCCGCTTCTTCCCCCCCTTCCCTTCTTCCCCAGCTATGTCGACGCAGACACACTACTCAACAACTACGCGCACATATTCGATCTGCTCATCTGCCTTCTCCCCCTACTCCGCCTCCTCCCTTCCCTTCCTGCCGCTCCCCCCTCCACCTTTCCCCCCGAGCTACGTGAACACGGGCACCCTACCCAACAACTACGCCCACATGTTTTATCTGCTCATCCGCCTGCGCCCTTTGCACTTTCCCCCTTCCCTTCCCTTCCCTTCTTCCCCAGCTACGTGGACACAGGCACCCTGCTCAACAACTACGCGCACATATTCGATCTGCTCATCCGCCTGCGCCAAGCAGTGGACCATCCCTACCTCGTTGTGCACTCCGCTTCCCACAACACTGCTGCTGCCGCTGGGTGTTAACTCCTCTGATGCCGCTGCTGCTTCAGCTGCTACTGGTGCTACTGCTGCTGTTGCTAATGCTCCTGCTGCTGCCTGCCTCTTTGGCCCCCCTGCCTCCCTCCCTCCCCCCAGCTACGTGGACACAGGCACCCTGCTCAACAACTACGCGCACATATTCGATCTGCTCATCCGCCTGCGCCAAGCAGTGGACCATCCCTACCTTGTCGTGCACTCCGCCTCCCACAACACTGCTGCTGCCGCCGCCGCCGCCACCGCTTCGACTGCTGCTGCCACTGCTGCTGCTCCGTCAGCTGTTTCTGAAAGGACAGGACTAGGGGCGAAGGATGGGGGAGTTGAAGGAGGAGGGGGGGAAGTGGGCTTTGGAGGAGAAGGGGAAAAGGAGGGGGAGAGAGTGGAGGAAAGAGAGGACGCAAGTGTGTGTGGCATCTGCTGTGACTATGCAGAGGACCCCGTGGTATGTCAGTTGATTCAGTGCTGTTAGCCTTTTTTTTATCATGCATTGCTACCCCCATCAGTGTTTCTGCTTGTTATGGTCCGCACAATCAGACGCTTCTAGAGGCGTATCAAAAGCATCGGATGGAGCTTAACCGAGGTGATTGTTTTTTACTGCTATTTTGTAAGCACCGTGCTTTTGTAACCCTCGTCCTGCCTTTTCCACCTCTCACTCACCCACCAACCCACGCACACTCAAACCCCGTTTGATGTGCCGCTCCAGGTGTCGCGGTGCCAGCACACCTTCTGTCGCGGCTGCATCACAGATCTCATAGCAGCACATAGCAGCAGCAACGGCGGTGGCGGCGGCGGCGTTAACACCAACAGCACCAATGATGGCATGAGCAGCAGCGGCAGGGGGGTGTTGGAGTGCCCTGTGTGCTCCGCCCCCCTCACTGTCGACCTCAGCTCTTCCTCTCCCGCCTCTCCCCCTGAAAGCACTGTGAATGGGGGGAGAGTGGGTAGTTCACGTGGAAAGGGGAACGGGGGAAGGGGGAATGGTGGTGGTGTGGCTGGGGAAGGGGGTGTGTGGGGCGGTGGGGATGGAGGGAAAGAGAAGGGGAGAGAGGGAGGCCGGTTGGCAGGAGGGGTGGTGCGGGCGAGAGGGAGCATTCTGAGTCGGATGGACCTGTCGCGGTTTCAAAGCAGCACCAAGATTGAAGCGCTGGTGAGGCTTGGGTGGGCTGCTTACTTCTTGCTTCCCTTCCTCCCGTTGCTGGACTGCCCTCCCCGTGCTCCCCTTCCTCGTCATGCGCTTTCAAGCGGTTTCAAGTGGTGAACATCCACTCTTGTACTGCTGTCTTGCAGTTTTCCTTAGTGATTTTGTTGTGATTGGCGTGGTATGGCATGGCATGCCACATCGCACTTGGCATGACATGGCATGGCATCATGGCATCATGGCATCATGGCAGAGGGAGGAGTTGGATGGGAAGGTACAGAGGAATCCAGGCGCGAAGGCCCTCCTGTTAAGCCAGTTTCATTGTACCTTGCTCTCTGCCTTTCTTTCCTTCTCACTTCCAACATTTGACATGGCATGGCATGATGGCAGAGGGAGGAGGTGGACTTCATGATTCAGAGGGATCCAGGCGCCAAGGCCCTCGTGTTCAGCCAGTTCAGTCAGATGGGGTTCAATGTACCACCCTTCCTTCCTTTTGTTTCCTTGTCTGTACCAACATTGACATGGCATGGCAGAGGGAGGAGCTGGACGGCATGATACAGAGGGATCCAGGCGCCAAGGCGCTCGTGTTCAGCCAGTTCACGTCCATGCTCGACCTCATTGCATACCGCCTGCACCAGGTGTGCCTAAACGTCTCCTCGTACCATTTATCTAATGCATACAACCTGCACCAGGTTCGACCTGCACCTCATTACATACCGCTTCCATGAGGTATCCCCTCTTATTGCATACCGCTTCCATGAGGTATCCCCTCTTATTGCATACAAACTACTGCTCCAGTACACCTCTGCTCGTTGTGACTCCTCTCGTCCTCATTCCTTCCCTACTCGTGCCTGCCCTCCCTGGTTGCATGCTGATGGTTGTGTGAAGCTGGACGGTGTGGGTACCCTGGTTCCCTGACTACTGCAGTCGTCGCACCCACACACCCCCCAATCTCTGTTCCTCCACTCCTCCGTGCCCCTGTCCTCTTGCTTACTCGCAGGTGGGAGTGCGGTGTGTGAAGCTGGATGGCAGCATGACAATGGATGCTCGGGATCGAATCATTTCCACCTTCACTCGCGATGCTGACTGCCGGGTGAGTTTTTGAGACGTCTCAAACTTCACTTTTATCACGTATGCTGACTGCCGGGTGAGATTTTGTTTTGTCTTACTCTCTAATCCTTCTTCTGCTGTCATGCTCGTTTCGTGCTGCTGGTAATGTGCTATTGGTATTAGTGAAGTATTAGTGAAAAGCTACTAAGAAGAAAGTTACTAAGAGTTATGTGCCCAACCTTGCCCACCTTATCATTCTCGCTATGAGTGCTGAAATTGCTCTTTCTTGTACATTTTCTTCTTGTTATTTCCTGCCCTCTTCTTTTCCCCTCCTCCTTCCTGAATTGTATGCCATTCGTCCTCTCGTTGGCCTCTTTTCCTGCCTCGTCTTCTCTTCTCCTCTCTTTCCTCCCCCGCCTACCGTCAGGTGTTCCTCATGAGTCTCAAGGCAGGAGGGGTGGCACTCAACCTTACTGTTGCCTCCCATGTGAGTTGCACCATTGGTCATATCAACTGAGTCTCAAGATTTTCTTCGATCGAACATGAAGGAGTTAATCACGAGGAAATTTTATTCAGTTGAGTCCCACGAAAAGACGAGTAGCGGCTCCATTCAGCATTAATGGAAGCATGGCAGCGCAAGTGCGCTACATGTGGTGCATCTGACACTTTGCCTCAATAACACTCTTTCTGCCCAAACCCTCACATCCCTTTCCCATTCTCCGCTTCCCCTATTTTACTCTGGCGCAGGTCTTCCTGATGGACCCCTGGCGGAACCCTGCAGTGGAGCAGCAAGCAACTCTTGAGGCGCCTTGAAAACAAATCTTGCCCACACCTTCGCATCCCCCCCCTCTTCTCCCTCCGCTTCCCCTATGTTACTCGCGCGCAGGTCTTCCTGATGGATCCCTGGTGGAACCCTGCTGTGGAGCAGCAAGCGCAGGACAGGATCCACAGGCTCGGGCAGTTCAAGCCTGTCAGGTAGGCTCGGCGCATGGCAGTTTCTGGGGGTACATAAAATCCCTGGGAGTCCATACAAATTCTGGGGTTACATACAAGGCATGTTCTTTACAAGCATAGTTTAGTTGGGCCTACTTTATGCATATCCCACCATCCCATTATAAATTTGTTGCCTACTAGAACTTCACCACACCAACCCCATTTGTCCTCTACCTGTCACCGTCCCCTGTACAGGGTGACTCGTTTTGTGATAGCAGGCACTATAGAGGAGCGCATCATTAAGCTGCAGGAGAAGAAACAGCTCGTGTTTGACGGGTGAGTGGACTGCCCTGTACCAGTATATCCTTCCTGGTGAAAGCGAGAAACATATTGTGGATCAGATGGCATCATGGCATCGTCATACTGCTCTTGTGTAGTTTCAAGTGTGTTTCTCTCCCGTCGAATCCTGCTGCTTCACCAGGCTCTTTTCTGACCTCTTTTGTGGCTAAAAAAAAGTATTCAGGGTGCATTCCTGTGTCGACATTTGTGCCTCAATCTCTTTGTGACACCCAAAAACAGCATAAACTGTAGTGTGTCCCAAATGCAAGTCGCGTTTCAGCGACCAGTACTGTATTTTTAATTGGTCAGCGTGAAACGCGCTTACATCGCTGACGAATTGCAAATTGACTCGTCATTGTTAAAAAACCGCACGCGGTTCGAAATGTCAATGCACCTGTACAGCCTGCAATGCCAATTTCGCGCAGGATAGCACACCCCAGCCAAGCGGGTGAAGAAACGGGTGTACAGTCATTTGTGTCACCCAATCAAATGTGTTTCGCCTGGTCGCCTAGTGTCGCGATACATTCATTTTTTGTGAAGCGAGTTGACAAAATGTTTCGACGCGACTCAGGAAAAAGGGGATTGAGACATTTGTGTCGACACAGGAATGCACCCTAAGTGCTTTTTAGTCATCAAGATGGACCTTACCGTGCTTTGCAAAAAAAGTTCCTAACCCTCCTCTGCCAACGTTTCTCCTTCTGTCTCTGTAAATCCGGTGCAGCACGGTGGGAGGATCATCAGAGGCGTTGGGGCGACTCACAGAGGACGACCTGCGCTTCCTCTTCACCAACTGATGCTCTTTTCATCCAGCCTAGAGGCGATTTGTACAGGGGTTCTGGGCAATAATGTTACAACTTGATACCGGTAGTCTTGGTTTCTTCAAACCAACAGTAGCTTCCGAGTCGATTGGGATATACATCGGGAGTGAGCTGCACTCTTCCTCTTGGTCATCTTGTGTTCATATTATTTTCACATGCTCCCCTGGTGCTTGTGACCTCCCATTGATGCACCTTCTGACCCCATTCAATCCTGAATTATTTGTAGGGAATGGTGGCATGGCATGCCCGCATGCCTGAGCTTTCTTGCTGGTCTGTGCGTACATGCCTGCCCTGCTGTAAATATCGGAATGGAGTTCCTTCCTTCCAGTGCTGGTGACGGATGAATACTGTATGCAGCCAAAGCTGGTGTGGTGACTCATTTCGGCACAAGCTTGGGGAGAGCTTGACCTGCTGGTGAAACATCTTTCCCCGAAAGCCTTGTAGCAATGTGCGGTACTGTTACGGGTGCAATGAATCGAGGTAGCGAGGATTGCACTAGAGTGTTCAATGAGTACAAAGTATGAGCGAAGGCATGAGCGAATACTTATGTGCGGAACATGCAACGGCTACGCGATACGTGCGAGCTGGCTAGTGCTACGCTCGCATGGAGGTTCGGGCTAGTCCCGAAGCATAGGCCGACTCGGCTGTGCTAGCGATGCAAGGTTTGGTGAAACATGTCAGCGCAAAGTTGGCGAAACCCCGTTAGCAGTAACCCCGTTTGTATACATTATACTGTAACTGCCTGTAGTGTAGACTTAGTGTAGTGCTAAACTTGTTTGGTGGTGCACCTTGCTTGCTTTGCCTATATCCTTGTACCTTCTCTCCTTATTGAACACCTTTTTGGCTTGCACTTTCCTCTCGCTACTTTCCTAAGCCTAAACCCTAGGCTAATAAGTCTACTAAGTTAAGAGCCTATTTCAACATGCTATCAGAGCTGGTCCTTCCCAGGACCTAATTTTCATGGGCCCACCAGTCGCGCTGCCCGTCATGCAGCACCCCTGCCCGTCACGCGCCCCGAGTGCGTGGCGGTTTCTGCCCGACGCACGCCCCGGGCGTGTGGCGGTTTATGCTCGTCGCACGCCTCGGGCGTGTGGCGGTTTCTGCTCGTCGCACGCCCCGGGCGTGTGGCGGTTCCTTCCCGTCGCACGCCCCGAGCGCATGGCGGTTTCTGCCCGTCGCACGCCCCCAGCGTGCGACGGTTTTCTGCCCGTCGTGCGTGGGCCCCGTCGAAGTGCTTCCCGTCGTCCCCGCCGCCCGCTTCCTCCTCCCTCTCCTGCTTCGCGTGCAGCAGTTTGGGGGGGGGGGGGGGGGGGGGAGGGGGGGAGGGTGTTGGGGGGATGCAGGAGTGGCGGTGGGGGGTGGTTGCACCTCCAGCGCCCCGCTGCTCTGCTTCGTCACCAAGCCAGCAGCCCCCCCCTCCGCCTCTACCTCCCCCCCCCCTGCTGCTCCTACTGCATCGGCGGTTTCTGCCCGGCGCCTCGTGCGCCCTGCCCGCCCGTGCCCGCCCCACCAGATCGCGCACCTCGCCCCCCCTCCCTTCTATGCCCTCTCCCTACTGCGTGTGCAGCAGTTTGGGGGGAGGGGGAGGTGGCACCAACGGCACCACCCTGCCTCCTCTGTTTCACGGCTGCACCTGCTGCTGTGGGGGGGAGGGTGGAGTGGTGGGAGTGGTGGGAGTGGCGGGAAGAGCTACTGCCGCTGCCTCTCGCCTACCCCTCTCTCTCCCTGCTGTGCGTGCAACAGTGGGGGGGTGGGTTTGGGGTGGCGGGTGTGAGCACCCAGCTGCCGCCCCTCCTCCTCTCTCTCTCACTGCTGCACGTGCCGCTGTGGAGGGGAGGGTAAGCGGGTGGCGGGCTTCTGGCCGCCGTGTGAAGGCTTGAGCAGGGACCACCGTGGGTGGGGAAGGCGTTGGAGGAAGGGTGGGGGGGAAGGTGTGAGGTTCCAAGGGGCAGTTGACAAGGGGGGTGAGGTTGAGGGGGGTGGCTGAAAGGGGGCGTGGAATTAGGGGGTTAGTTAGAGGGGCTCGCCGCGCTAGGCTCCCCCCCACCTCCTCTCCTCCCTCTCTCACCCTCCCCCCTATGTAAAACGGGGGTTCGTAAGAGGGGTTCGCCGCATGGCTCCCCCCACCTCCTCTCATCATCCCTCTCTCACCCCCCCACCCCCCCCCCCCCCCCCCCCCCCCCCCCTCCACTGTGAGGACTACACTTGCGGCTCTTGGGTTTGCTCCTTCCTCTGCTGACCCGTCGCTGTTTCTACGTACCGACACTACCCTGCCGCCGTTCTACGTTCCAGTGTACGTCGACGACTTGGTTTTTGCTACTGCTGACACTGAGGCGCTGACCCTAGTGAAGGCGGAGCTGCAGGAGAGACACATCTGCACTGACCTGGGTGAGCTGCGTAGCTATCTTGGATTGCAGATCACCCGGGACAGAGCACAGTGCACCATCACCCTGACTCAGTCACACATGGTGCACCAGGTCCTTCAGCGCTTCGGCTTCCAGTTCTCCTCGCCACAGCCCACTTCTCTGTCTACCGGCCACTCGCTCTCAGCTCCACCTTCGGACGAGTCCGTAGAGCCGAGTGGCCCGTACCCAGAGCTGTGGGTTGCCTCATGTACCTGATGACGTGCACACAACCTGACCTCGCGTACCCTCTCAGCCTCCTGGCTCGCTACGTGGCTCCCGGTAGACACCGGAAGGTGCACTGGGATGCTGCGAAGAGGGTACTGCGTTACTTGTGTAGTACATCGGGCATGGGGCTCGTGCTTGGAGGATGGGGTTCAGTGGTACTCACAGGATACTCTGACCCTTCTTGGGCCGACGACCAGGCGACTCAGCGTTCGTCACAGAGTTACACCTTCAGTCTTGGCTCTGGTTCTGTCTCGTGGAGGTCCACTCGTTCTTCTTCTGTGCTTAGTTCCAGCTGTGAGGCCGAAATCTACGATGGGGCCATGGCTACACAGGAGCTCCGCTGGCTGACCTATACCTACTGACCGACTTGGAGGAGCAGCCTCGTTCTCCTCCAGTTCTGTACGTCGACAACAAGGCAATGCTCGCCTTGTGTCACGAGCAGAGACTGGAGCACAGAACGAAGCACATTGCTCTTCGCTACTTCCTTGCGCGTGAGCTGCAGCAGCGCCGTCAGCTCCGCCTTTCCTACGTGGCCTCGCGGGCCAACACTGCTGATGTGTTCACCAAGGCCTTTGGGTCTGGTGATCATCAGCGTTTCTGCACTGCTCTTGGGCTTGTGCCCACTCTGCCTCACCTGCTGGTTGCTTGACTTGCTCTTGTTGTACACTGATATATATCTTTATACCTGCTTGTTTATTATTGCTAGGTTGTGATCAGTGTACTGCCTTGCTATTATTACTCTGCATGTGAACTGGCCTTGTGGCCGCTTGCTTGTGCTCAGATTGTGTGGTGTCCTTGAGATCCACCCTGAGTTTTGTTTTGCTTTGCTTTTGCTCTGTTGTCTTCCTTGACTGGTCTTGTGACCGTCTTTGTTGTCCCCCACTTAGCCTATGGGGGTGTGTCAAAGTACAATCTTACTTGTAGGCTATAGTGAGGCACTCCTTATGGGGTACAACACTTATAGGGTTAGTACTTGTACCCCAACTCTTGCTAATCCAATCATTCCTGCACATTTCTCTCAATAGGTAGCAGTAACGGGTGAACAACGGTTGCTGCTGTACGCGATGTTGATGGTCGCGATAAGGAATGTCTAACATGATATGGGACCAAAGGATGGACACTTATGAATTCAGTATTTTATGAGAAAACACACAAAAAATGCTCCGCGGTGATTTGCCCCACCACAAACTAGCTGCATTCAAATCCAGACTACAATCAGCCTTGCAGTGACTACTGCTGCGATCCATGGGGGACAAGAGGTGTAGCAGAGAGGATTATGCCGTCATTATCGGCGTAGCACCAGTCACCTGGGCACACCATAACCCCCTGAACTTTCACAGGAACATTCCTCTCCCCTTGCCCCTTCTTCACGCTCTTCACAGGACACGTGGCAAGCCCTCGCACGTCCACATTGCAGCCACGAATCTCGTCCACGTCACGCACGCACCCGCTGACAAAAACGCCCGCCCAGCCGTTCTTAGCCGCCTCGACCGCCAGATTGCCGCCCAGTAACGCGCAGCGCCGGCTTCCTCCACCGTCGATGATTAAAATCTGCGATTCGCCGGGCTGTTCGACCTCGGAGCGCACTAAGGTGTTGTCTTCGAAGAGTTTTAAGGTGACGACTCGGCCGCTCGACGCGTTTCGGCCGCCGTAAGAAACGAGACCCGGTTCTAAAACGCGGATGTCGCCTCGCATGACGGCGTCGTGATTGTCGTCGCACAGGTCGCACGTGGCGAAACTCATTGTCGCAGAGCGAGGAGTCGAAGCGCAAACGCAGGAATCAGGAATCGAGGTCGCGTAACCTGGTAACCACGTTGTGTCTATATACGAGTCAGGCGAGAGGCAGAGGGGGTCACACGAGCTGACGACGCTTCAAGCCAAACGCGATGACGAGAACCCACTAGCACTCACCACGATGAATGCTTAGTGTTACTACCGCAATTCACGATACATGTACAGCCGCGGTCACTACACGCGAGGAGGAAGGAGAGATTTTCCCCGCACTCAGCTACGAATGTGCTAGAGCAGTGCAAGCTGATGTGTCTCCTAGAATGTGAATTCCGCTGCCACATTTTGAAGTTGCTTTTCTAGTCCTAGCATGATTGGGGCTCTTTTGTTGCCAGAAAGGGGAGGATGGACTGAGAAGGTATTGAAGCTTGATTGCAGTGGTGTGGGATGGGATGCGATGCGATGTGCTGCAATGGGACCAGCTGGACTCTTTCGACCCCACCAGCTGGAAGGGGGAACATGAGGTGGAGCGAGTCAGCGCTGAGTCAGCTGTTGGTGGTCCCCCCTGAGGAGAAATTCTTGATATAAATATCACCGTTACGTGTCGAAATTTTGCTTAGGTGTAGGCAAATACCCCAGTGCTCGTTGTGTTCAGAAAGTTCTTATGCAGTTGATTGGCTTGCAATAGCATTTGAGCTGACCAATCAGAGCCTCACATCGCGACAGTTGGCGTAAAACCCCCTTCTTGCCCCTGCCTATCAGAGCAAGCTTCAAGTATTCACGGGTCTGTTTGCGGGAAGTACACGCCACGCTTTCCCAGAAACTAAGGCGCGGCGCGACGCGATGGTCGATTGAAGTCAACGTGTGGTTGCTTTTTATGAGCTCACACAAAATAAGGAGCTCATAGGAGCTGAGGCTAGCAGCCGCAGCATTGACACCATTCGAAGTGAACGTCCGCCCAGATTCAAGGACGAATACTGGCACAGGCTCTAATTAGCCCCGCATTTTCTCACTTGCTCGCCTTAGCATTCGTAGCGTCCTTGCCTCGTCCGTCCGTGTCGAACATATGGCGACTTCGATGACTCACTCTGAGATGAGTAATCTAGACGTGGACTGTCTCGCAACTATCTTCTCCTTTCTAACTCCCGCGCAGATTTGCCGCTTGGCTCACGTGTCTCGCACGTGGGCGGCAGCAGCGGCGTCTGACGTCAGCTGGGGCCGTCTCCTCCCTCCTCTTTGCGGCTCGACCTGCTTTCAAAAGGCCCTCGAGGCGCATCGCGTTGCGATGTGCACGGGTCTATGCCACCTGGCGTCGCCCACTTGTGATGATGACGGCAGCAGCTCCGCCAGTAACGAAACTAGCAACAGCAATGATGACGTCACTAGAAGCATTTTCATCCGCAGCAGCAGCGGCAGCAGCGGTGCCGTCAGCAGCAGTTGCAGCAGCGAGGGATGTAGGTGCCACGTCAGCACCATTACGCAGAGGTGGGTGTCCCAGAAGCTCTGCCAAGGCGTCTACGTAGACGACGGCCGTTTCCACGTCAGCATGGACCCATATATTGCTACAGTCACAACCTGTGTGAATGTAGCGAAGGTGCTTGAAGTGGTGGGGATGAGAACAAACGAAAATGAGAACAATGATGATGATGATACTGAATGGTTTCTTGAGACGGGTCGTGTGGCACCTAATAACGGAAACCTTCGCTATAACGAGGGGCGAGGTTCGCGTCACATGCAGCAGAACCGCCGAAATAGGCGGGACCGGGTCAGAAGAAGACAGCAACCTGCGTTTAACGCGGACGGGGGCGCCGCAGCCGCAAGAAACAATCCTCCTCGCGAAACTTCTCATCAACACGGTAGTCCAAACCCTAATGTGGCGGACGTTGGCATTCCAGGCGCGATTTTCCCCACGTCCGTCCCCCATTTGATCTCCGCCAACCGGTTTCTAATCAGGGGCGACATTGCCCTCCCCTTTCCCCTTCGGCCTGGCGCCTACGAGGCGGAGTGGCGCATAGCGCGCGACCCCGCGGAGGGGGAGCGGAAGGAGGCGGAGGAGCGGCTGGTGCGAGAAGCTGAGTGGGCGGAGAGCGCGGAGGCGGAAGCTTGGCGGGATTTGGGGTTGGGCCCGGTCAGCGGAGACGTTGTGTGCAGAAAGGGGAGGAGAAAGGGGAAGGGTCAGAAAGGAAGAATGGGTAAACCCGAGAATCTGTGGGACGCTCTGCGCGCCATCAGGGGGATTGGGCGGAAGGGGGCAAGCGCGCAAAGTACAGGGGGCAGGGCCTTGGGAACAGGGGCGTCAGATTGGGCCGCGGAATTAAATCCCGCGGCAACGGGTATTGGTTCAGCGAAGGACGAGCTTGAGGCGGAGATGGATGACGTGGCAGCGAAGCTGGCATTTTGGCGACGCACTCAACAACGAAGCGCATTCAAGTGCTGGGAGGAGTGGCCGCTTACGAGCGGGGCGCAGGTGGTAATTGGGGGGGCCGCGGAGCAGAGCGAGAACGAGAGGGTGGGGGAAGTGGGTGAGGAGGAAGAGGAAGATGAGGAAACGAGAAGGGAGAGGGAACTCGAATGGGAAGAGCACTACGGGAATCCAGTGGAGAAGCGAACTTTCGTAATGTGGAAAGATACGGTTTCCACACTACCGAACTGGACGCATTTTGAAGCGGGTGTTATGCTTATAAAGGGGGACTTTCAAAAGGACAATGCTGTGGATGCGCGATTGCGGATGCGGCTGTGGGAGACGGAGAGCGGACGCGATATGAGCGGAATATTTGTGGATTGCCTTGTTCTTAGAGAGACAGGCATACCTTGATGGGTTTATGGTAATTCTACAAAGGCACATCACATGAGGCCCTAAGGCCATGTTCAGATACATTTCTTACTAAAGAAGAAACTATATCAACTGATAAACACTACCACTAATCTCAGTGTTGAAAAGCGCTTTAGGAAGGAAGCTCCTCCTCTGTAGCCTCAAAAGAGGAAGGCAATTGCTCCTCAGTGCCCCCTGCACTCCTCCCTCCCATCTCCCTCCCATCCTCCCCCGCTTCATTCCCTTGCACAGCCCCTTGAGTTTCGTCTTGAGTCGCATCTTGGGTGCTCTCCTCCACTCGCGGTTCATCTTGAGTCGCATCTTGGGTACTCTCTTCCACCCGCATTTCAACTTGAGTCACATCTTGGGTACTCCCTTCCACTTGCGTTTCATCTTGAGTCGCATCAGGAGTTGTGCCTTGCGTATCCGTGTCCACTTCTTCCCCTATCGCCTCCCCCTCCTGCCCACCACCTTCCACCTCCCTACCCCCTCCTTCTCCACCTCCTCCAACATCGGCTTGCTCCTCCGACCCATCACCACCCCTCTCTTCCCTCCTCTTCATTCTCCTCTCCTCTTTCCTCCCGTCCACCGCTGAACCCCTCCTCTTCTTCCTCACATACTTCCTCTCGCCTCCCACTGGCTCAGCCACCAACACGCGACCTCCTACTGGCTGACTCAACCCTGGCCCTGAACCATCCTCCCTCCCCTCCGCTGTCCCTTCCTCCCCAAGCTCCCTTTCCTCTTCTCCCCCTGACTCATTCACCCCTCCCTCCTCTTCCTCTCCCTCACCTTCCTCCCCAGCAATTTTTTCAGATTCTTCCAGTTCCAAACCACCAGCAGCCCCAGCAGCACCACCAGCATCAGCTCCAACAGCAACAACAGCAGCAGCAGCAGTGGAGAAGGAGAGTTTTTTGCGCTTGACAGTGGATGCAGCCTCATCCACACCACCACCATGGCGTGTCTGTCTCCTGCCCTCTCCGCTCCCTCCCACCCCCCCTCTCCCCTCCTCAACGCCCTCCCTGTGAATGTCTCTTTCTGCTTCTGCTCCACCTCCTGCCTCATCTGACACAGCACCTGAAGCATCACCTGAAGCATCACCTGCAGCACCAGGTGCTGCCCTGCCTGTCGGTCCATCTGCCGCCTTTTCCTTGGCTGCAGCTGCAGCAGGTGCATGTGCGGGTGCTGTTGCTGCTCGCTCCGTCAAAACAGACGTGAAGGTCGACAACGGCTTAGATGTTGCCACGTCATCAGCCACATCTTCATCCACGGCTGACACCCTCTCCTCTAATGCATTGAGACTGACCAGGGGAAAGGGATGGGGAGGGAGGAGGCAAGGCAAGGCAGCCGGTCAAGGAAGTCAGATGCTGTTGAATAGCTGGAACCAAAACTAAAACCAAACCCATACCAACCCATACCACCCATACCACCCAACACCCATACCACCCGTACCACCCTACCACCCATACTACACCACACCACACCACACCACACCACACCACACCACACCACACCACACCACACCACACCACACCACACCACACCATGCACCACAATGCCACATTATGAGGAACCAGCACTCACATGCTTCGGGCGTCATTTCCAAGAAGCTTCGCAGAAAATGGTAGAAGCGCGCATTCGAGAAACGCCAGCCGGTCGGGCAACGACTCAAAGGCGAATGCCACCCCTTCCTGCACCAGCTGCCGAATCGCCGCCCGCTGCTCGACCAATCGCTGCGCAGAGAACTGCGGGGCGGCTGCTACAGCTGCCAGCCGGGCTGCCAGGCTGGCACAGCATGCTACAGATGCTGGGCTTGGCGAATGAGATGGTGCCACGTCATCCTCTGTGTGCGAGTGGTTGGAGATGAGTGGCAGAGTGGGAATGAAGGTCTGATGTTGGGGAGGGGCGGGGGGGTGTGATGGAGGAGAAGGGAGGAGAGGACAGGAGAGGGAAGCCAAGGGAAATGAAAAAAAAGAGTGGCCCGGTTTACGCAAGTAAATCAGAAACTAGTACTACACACGCACATCCAAGCACCGCCCACTCACCATTTTCAGCGCCTGAAGGAAAATCCGCCACAGCTCAAACTTCCCTCCCTCGCTTGCCGCCCGCTTCTTCCTCTGCTGCAGATGAGACAAAAACAGCCGTGCCACCCCGTCCTCCCTCGCCTCATCCTCCCCCTCCTCCCCCCCATCACCACCTTCATCCATCTTCTCGCCCCTCCCCACCACCACAAGCCGTGAGAGCACAGCAGGAGCCAGCAACTCAGGGTCCACAGCACCGCACAGCACCAGCTTAGCTGCTGCAGCTACCACTCTCTCTTCCCCTCTTTCCGACACCCTCTCTTGCTGCCTCTCCTGCATGCTCTGTCCCCTCTCTGCTGAGCAAGTGGGAAGCAGACGACTGCATGCCGCCCAGTAGGCGTTGACGCTGGCAGGTGTGACTGTAACGGAGAGTGGGTGTAGCAGCGAGTGGGCGAGCTTATGAGGTGAGAAGAGCACCCACAGGTCAGATATATGCTCCAAGATTTCTACTGCCAGTTGCTGCTGCTGTTGCCGCCGCTGCTGCTGCTCCCTATGACCCTCTCTTTCCACTCCAGTGCCTCCTCCCTCTCCCTCCTCTGCTTGCTCATCGCCCTGCTCCTCCCCTCCTTCGTTCACTGCTATCCTTCCATTCGTCCCCGCTTCCATGAGTCTCATTAGCACAGCCATGAGCCGCCCCTGCCTTTCCCTCACCTCCTCCTCCTGCTCACCCACCCCCTCATTCGCACCACCGCCCCCCAACCCTCTTTCCTCACCCAATTCCCCATCAGCCTCAGCACCTGCTGCGTCTCTCCCTGCCGCGTCTGCCCCATTGCCTTCCATCCCCTTTCTGCCCACTGCAGCGACGAGCTTCTTAAAGCCCCACACGAGCAGCAGCACCAGCGAGCGGAGCACAGGAGATGCCAGCTGGACGGACCAGTGGGGGACAAGAGGAGGTGGCAACAGGGAATTAAAGCCAGATAAGAGCAACAGCAGAGTGAGAAGATCGAGTCAGGTGGAAGAACATTTCAGCACTTCTGTGAAAAGCTATCCCCTTGTGGAGCGCACAGGCAGGAAAGAGGCATGGGGGGAGCACGTGGGGTGGGTGGGGCCACGTGGGTGGGGACATGTGGGTGGGGGCATGTGGGTGGGGGCATGTAGGTGGGGAGCACGTGGGTGGGGGTATGTGGTTGGGGGCATGTAGGTGGGGCATGTAGGTGGGGAGCACGTGGGTGGGGAGCACGTGGGTGGGGAGCACGTGGGTGGGGAGCACGTGGGTGGGGAGCACGTGGGTGGGGAGCACGTGGGTGGGGGGCACGTGGGTGGGAGCTTGCAGTAAGCGTTTGCTCACCTGAGGGTGCTTGTAAGGAGGGAAACGGTCTAGCAATTGAAGGAGCAGAGCAAAGAGGTCCGGTGGTTGCATCCCATCCGCAGCAGCAGGAGCAGGCGCAGCAGAATCAGTGCCACCACCAGCAGCAGCGAGGGCGGGGAGGAAGGGGGTAGGGTCCGCTTGCAGGAGGAAGACAGCCAGGCGAGTAGCAGCCACTGAGAGAGAAAAAGTGTCCACGTCAGCTGCTGGGGTGTCTGACGTGGCCTGGGGTGGGGTGGGTGGAGGGGGATGGCAGAGAGGCGTGAAGAAAATCGGGTGCGTCAGAGTTTCCAAGTCGCGTCCAGAGTGGTGAGAGCACACAGTGCTCTCACCACCACACTTGGCACAGCAACCCCCATTGCTTCCTCCACCTTCCCTTACCTCCATCGGAGTTTTTTAGCTCACCTCCACAGCGGAAAGAGCAGTTTGTGCCTCCTCTCTCAATCGTCCCACCACCACATTCCGCACGGCGTCCCTCACAATCTCCTGCGCCTGCTCCAGCATATCCCCCTGTGCGCGCCACATGCACCGCAGCAGCACACGTGTCGCTGCCGCTATCACCGTCGTGCTGACGTGGCGCGCCAGGCTGTCACACGCTGCTGAGAGGATCGCTAGGAGGGGCTGGTGGAAGGGGGGGAAGCCAACACAGGAGTTTAGGGATTAGAAGGTGAGAGAGAAACGGAAAATGGAAGCTAGAAAAAAACGTTTCCTTACAGAATGCATGATGTGTGCGTGTCCATACGTCGCTTGCGCCACGCACATAACCGTCCAGCTGTGCACGTGTGCGCAGCAGACACTCTGCTGCTCCACCCACATTGATCAACTCGCTACCTACATAGACGCGAGTGCAACTGGCAGCTGGCAGCCAGCCACGCCCCCAGTCCCCCCCCCTCCCACTCACCTCCTGCTGCTACCTGTGTGCCAGCGCCCCCACGTCCAGACACTCTGCTGCCTCCAATCCCACCGTACAACTCAACCTGCTATCAAACGTCATCCCCTCCCCACTCACCTCCTTCCCCCCCCTCCCACTCACCTCCTGCTGCTGCCTGTGTGCCAGCGCCCCCACCAAACGCCATCCCTTCCCCACTCTGCTGCCCCCAGCAGCCACCGTACAATTCAACCTGCTACCAACTTGGATTAACCAAACGTCATCCCCTCCCCATTCACCTCCTTCGCCCCCTCCCACTCACCTCCTGCTGCTGCCTGTGTGCCAGCGCCCCCACGTCAAGACACTCTGTTGCCCCACCTTCCACCTCTACCCTCACAATGACACCCTCACAATTCCCACTCACCTCCTGCTGCTGCCTGTTCGCCAGCGCCCCCACGTCCAGACACTCTGCTACCTCCAGCAGCCGCAGCAGCACGCGCTCGTCCGCCACGTGGCGCCTCATCATTGGCGGAAGCACCTTTACCAGCGCCCCTGTCATTTCTACCACTGCTGCTGCCTGCCGTTCCTGGTGGGTCCACAGGAGGGGTAGAGGGGGGGGAAAGGATGTGAGGGTGGTGTGAGTGTGGGTATGTGTCACTGGCGCACCTTCATGAACGCCCCTGTCATCTCCGCCACCACTGCTGCCTGCGGCTTCTGGTGGATTTTCAGGAATGAGGGGGAAGAGAGTTGAGGTGGTGGAGGTATGTAAGTGGAATGTTGATGACCCTGGATGTTGAGGAAAGAGAGGAATGCGCCACTGATTCACCTTCTTTGCCTTGGATACTGCAACAAGCCCCTTTCTCTTCACGTCTGCAGCACTCCTCAGCACAACTGGCAGCCCCATGGTCTTGAGAGAGGCAAGAGAGAGGAGAAGGCCGAGGAGAAGAGGCACGGAGGAAGGAGAGGGTGTGGATGCATCACCAACTCACCTTTTTGGCCTTGGACACTGCCACAGGTGCCTTTCTCTTCACGTCTCCTGCGCTCCTCGGCACAATGGGCAGCCCCACGGCCTTACCAGCAGCGAGGGAGAGGAGGAAAGGCGAACACGGAGAGAAAGTGTGGGTGTGTTTGAACTGAAAGGCTCACCTTCTTGGCCTTGGACACTGCGACGGCCGCCTTTCTCTTCATGTCTGCAGCGTTCCTCGGGACAATCGGCAATCCCACGGTCTTGCGAGCGGCGAGGGATAGGAGGAGGGCGAGCGTGGGCGTGTCGGCTTCAGGAGGAGGAGGCGATGAGGGGAACGAGGGGGTGGAGGAGGCGGGGGGAGTGGGGGAGAGCGGCTGGGAGGAGGGGGAGAGGGGCGTGGCTTGGGTGTCTGACTGCAGTAGCAGCTGACCCATTGTCTTCAAGTCCTGAGGGAGTGATGGGCAAGAGACGCACAGCACATATATGAGGGAGGGGGTGTGGGGCGTGGCTTGGGTGTTTGACTGCAGTAGCAGCTGACCCATTGTTCAAGTCCTGAGAGGAGCGATGGAAGAGAATGAAAGCAGGCAAAAGGAGGGGGTGTGTGAGGCGGATATGAGTCCTGCTTGGCTGTGCGAGTTGTGAGTGAGAGGGAAGAGGGACTCTGCTAATTGTGGGTGGCGGGGCAGTCGAGAAAACAGCTCATTCACAGTCACCAAGAGAGCTCTCACCTCAAGAGAGGAGGCTAGGCATAATCTGTTTTTTAAGAATTCTAAAAAACGAACACAGCGAGCGACTGCAGAACCTGTACTCACCTCGCTGTGGTGCATGGATACAAATGACCATTCCAGAGGTTAATAGCAAGAAACTCACCATCAGTGTTGGTGCACGCTCCCACAGCGCATCCACCACGTAACCAGCCTGCACCGCATCTCCACACGCCTGCAGCATTCGCACCACCACCACCACCTGCCTCTCTGCCCCCACCTCCCCCTCCCCTCCTCGGCCCCCCTTTCCCCCTCTCTCATCCACCCGCTTGCCTCCTCCCTGGCCTTTCCCCGAGCCTTTTGCTGGGCCTGCTTCCGTTGCAGCAGGAGAGGCGAGGCTGCGGGAGGAGGCGAGGAGGAGGAGGAAGAGAGAGTTGCAGGCGGCGACTCTGAGCGGCGAGCAGTCGTCTGTGAGGCGATCAGAGAGGAGAGCCATGGCACGGTTGTGAGGGAGGGTGTCGTTGCTGGGAAGGAACAACGGGGAAGAAGTAGAGAGGAAAGGGGGGTGATGATGGGGAGACTGGGGAGATGAGGCGGGCAGGAGGTGAGCCTGAGAGGCAGGCAACTGTCTGTGAGGATGTCAGAGAGGGGAGCAACAGCCTGGTTGTGTGGGGGGGCGTTATTGCTGGTGCACGCAAGAAAGGAAGCATGTTGGTAGGTAGAACTTACAGCAAGTAAAAACAACATCAGCTGTATAGCTTACCTGGCAAGAAGCTGGACCAACGACACAGCAGCCACAGCCACGTCAGCATCCACGTCATCCACCATCTGCTGCACACGTGGCACGAAGCGCTCCGAAAAGACGCCAAGCGCCGGCAGATTGTCCTCGCTGGCGTAGAGCGACTGGAGCGCTGACAGGGCCGTGAGGCGGACAGATGCCACCTGGCAGAAGGAGATTGGAATAGAAAATCAAATGGACATCTATGAGAAATGACGCACTAAGACAACTTAAGGGTTTAAGCGAGGGGTTTTGAGTAAACTGATGGCAACTTACAGAGCTCTCATCCTGCAGAGCTCTCACCTTGTCATTGAGCGAGAAGCCGAGGTACTTGAGGTAGACATCATCGAGGAAGAGCGAGGGGTAGCGCGTCACCCACTGCCCTAAAGCCGCCACGCAAGCTGCTCTGATGGCTGGGTCCACGTCGCGATGGCGGTGTGTTATGATGCTGCAGGGTAAGAAGTGGGGGTGTAACGGGGTGGTGGAGCAAATGGGAAATGTGGGAGGAGGTCCGCACCCTTCCAGTGTTGCCACCTTCCCATGAACCAGTCTGCAACATTCCTCACCCACCACTCACCCAGCACTCACCCAGCACTCACCCAGCACTCACCCAGCACTCACCCAGCACTCACCCAGCACTCACCCAGCACTCACCCAGCACTCACCCAGCACTCACCCAGCACTCACCCAGCACTCACCCAGCACTCACCCAGCACTCACCCAGCACTCACCCAGCACTCACCCAGCACTCACCCAGCACTCACCCAGCACTCACCCAGCACTCACCCAGCACTCACCCAGCACTCACCCAGCACTCACCCAGCACTCACCCAGCACTCACCCAGCACTCACCCAGCACTCACCCAGCACTCACCCAGCACTCACCCAGCACTCACCCAGCACTCACCCAGCACTCACCCAGCACTCACCCAGCACTCACCCAGCACTCACCCAGCACTCACCCAGCACTCACCCAGCACTCACCCAGCACTCACCCAGCACTCACCCAGCACTCACCCAGCACTCACCCAGCACTCACCCAGCACTCACCCAGCACTCACCCAGCACTCACCCAGCACTCACCCAGCACTCACCCAGCACTCACCCAGCACTCACCCAGCACTCACCCAGCACTCACCCAGCACTCACCCAGCACTCACCCAGCACTCACCCAGCACTCACCCAGCACTCACCCAGCACTCACCCAGCACTCACCCAGCACTCACCCAGCACTCACCCAGCACTCACCCAGCACTCACCCAGCACTCACCCAGCACTCACCCAGCACTCACCCAGCACTCACCCAGCACTCACCCAGCACTCACCCAGCACTCACCCAGCACTCACCCAGCACTCACCCAGCACTCACCCAGCACTCACCCAGCACTCACCCAGCACTCACCCAGCACTCACCCAGCACTCACCCAGCACTCACCCAGCACTCACCCAGCACTCACCCAGCACTCACCCAGCACTCACCCAGCACTCACCCAGCACTCACCCAGCACTCACCCAGCACTCACCCAGCACTCACCAGCACTCACCCAGCACTCACCCAGCACTCACCCAGCACTCACCCAGCACTCACCCAGCACTCACCCAGCACTCACCCAGCACTCACCCAGCACTCACCCAGCACTCACCCAGCACTCACCCAGCACTCACCCAGCACTCACCCAGCACTCACCCAGCACTCACCCAGCACTCACCCAGCACTCACCCAGCACTCACCCAGCACTCACCCAGCACTCACCCAGCACTCACCCAGCACTCACCCAGCACTCACCCAGCACTCACCCAGCACTCACCCAGCACTCACCCAGCACTCACCCAGCACTCACCCAGCACTCACCCAGCACTCACCCAGCACTCACCCAGCACTCACCCAGCACTCACCCAGCACTCACCCAGCACTCACCCAGCACTCACCCAGCACTCACCCAGCACTCACCCAGCACTCACCCAGCACTCACCCAGCACTCACCCAGCACTCACCCAGCACTCACCCAGCACTCACCCAGCACTCACCCAGTGAACCCTCGGCGCATGACCCCTTCAAGCATCGCCACCTGCCCATGCATCGCATCCACCTTCGCCTGCAGCTCCACCGCTGCCCGCCTGCTCGCCCCTCCCCCTCCGCCTCCTCCACCCGCCCCCTCAGACCCATCCCCCAGTCCTGCCGCTTCCCCGGCCTCCCCATCTCCCCCAGTAGACCCCTTCCTTTTGCTCCTCCTCACTCCTGCTCCTCGGCTTTCCGCCCCTGCTCTTGTCGCCTGCTGCTCCTGCTCTTCTGACCGTCGGATCACGGCCTGCAGCTGCCTCTGAGCCGTGGATTGCGCGTCGGAGAGGACTGAAGCGACGGTGATGATGGAGGAGATGAGCTGCAGCGCCACGAGTGTTGCCACGTGGCGGAATATCCGAGGGGAAGAGCTGGGGGGAATAAGGGGAGGGAGGGAAGGAGGGGACGGGAGGGGGGGAGGGGTAAGGAGGGGAGGCAGAAGCAGCGGTGATGATGGAGGAGATGAGCTGCAGCACCACGAGCGTTGCCACGTGGCGGAATATGCGGGGCGAGGAGCTGGGAGGGGGACGGTTGGAAGAGGAAAATGGGGTTTAAGTTAGGCGGGGTGAGGGGGAAAGGGAGGAGTTGTGGAATTTGAAAGAGTAAAGCATGCATGTCTCAGGCGGCAAAGGTGGGAGAGAGGAACTGGACTCAAGGAAGGGGAGGTGGACTTCTGAGTCAACTCAAAGCACACGGAGGGCAGACTGACGCAATATGCTGAAAGACGGCAACGAAGATGTTTTGAGGGGGATGCACAGAAAATGGCAGAGAGGGGGAACGTACGAGGAGAGGGCAACGAGGTAGTCAAGGAGGGTGGGCAGCAGCTGCGAGTCAAAGAGAGAACCCTCTCGCCCCCCCGCCACCACCAGCGCATCCCAAAACCGCAGCATCGACACTCGGAACGATGCTCCATCACCCCCACCCTTGCCACTGCCACCCTTGCTGCCCTTGCCGTCGTTGGCAGTGGAGTGGTGGTGGCTGTGGTGCGGTGGAGTGCGGTGCAGATGGTCGAGCAGGGGGACCTGGCGGGCGGAGTCGACGAGGGTTTGCATGACGTCGTCCACCCCCACTCCCTCTGACATGATCGCGTCGTCTCCCATCACCACCTGCACTCCACACGCCTGGCCGGGATGCGGGTAGGGCAGCAGCACACAGACATGCGCGTACGTGCACGCACACACACACAAGTTTTGAATCGACTCAAAAGCCCAAGAGGGTTTGCACAACGTCATCCACCCCGCTCCCACTGAGAGAGGATCGCATCGTCACCCATCACCACCTGCACCCCACACGCCTGCCATGGGCACTCAAAGGTCAACTCGGTTTGCATGACATCATCCACCCCCCGCACTCCCTGTGAGAGAGGATCGCATCGTCACCCATTACCACCTGCACCCCACATGCCTGTCAGGGATGTGGCTGGGGCGACACAAACATACACGTGTGATGATGGCTACCAGCACGTGTTGCACATGAGGCGCCTCACAATCAAAATCGGCACATGGCTGCTTGCCACACGAAAGTGCCAAGTCGATTACCTGGAAGAGCAGCTTGAGCAGCTGGGCTGTGGTATGAGTGCGGTTGAACTCATACCCCTCCATCCAGATAAACAGAGCGACATGTGATTCACAATAAAGGAGAGTGCTACAAGGGTTACCTGGAAGAGCAGCTTGAGCAGCTGGGCCGTGGCATGAGTGCGGTTGAACTCATACCCCTCCATCCACCGGAACGCTGCTTCCTCCACGTCCTCTGCACTGCCCGCCTGGACTATGTCTGTGGGGGAGGGTGAAGACAACAGGGCACCAGACCAGAGCGATGCACTTTCAGAAACTGGAGAAGGTGGATGAAAATTCAGTCAACTAGGTGGAATCGAAATCAGTCTAGTACAGAGCCGGCACTCATAGACCCAAAAAACAGGGATCACCAAACCACACAGAGTATATTTCATAGCCCCAGATAGGGCATCATTCTCCTCTCTACACAACTCCATAATATGTGTATTTCCCATTCCAACAACCCACCAAAAAGGCTTCTTTCAGAAGCACTAAGCCGACCATCACCGCTAGGCACCTCCCCGCCTGCCTGCTGCCTCTGCTTCCCTGCTCCCTTCCACTGCCCCTCCTCCCGCACTCCCCCCACACCCTCCTCCTCCCCTTCCTCCCCATGCTCCCTACCATCCGCCTCCGCCTCTCTCTCCCCCTCCACCTCCTTCCCTTTCCTCCTCTTGTCCGCTTTCCTCCCCTTGGGTGCTGCAATGGTGGGTCTACCTTCGACAATGAAAGCACCAGCAGCGGCGGCAGCAGCAGCAGCGGTGGACCGAGCCTGGCTGCGAGGCTTGGCGAGAGCTTTGAGCGCTGCCTTGGGAGGCTTGGGAGCAGGTTTGGGACGAGGTGCGGCGACAGATTGCTGCTTATGCTTGACTTCCCCTCCCTCTTCACGAAGCCTCTTGTCCTTCTGTGACTTGGGAACATACTCCTCTTCTTCCTCGTCACTCTCCTCCTCCTCCTCACTCTCCTCCTCTGAGCCATTCTCATCCACACTCTCGTCTTCCTCCTCTTCTGCATCCCCTCCCTCCGCCCATCCTTCTCCCTCCACTTGTGCTCGCTCCTCCCCTTCCTCCTCCCCTCCCTCCTTCCCCCCCTCCACTTCACCTTCGTCCACAGCCTCCCCTTCTTCCACCTCCATTCTTTCTCCACCCTCCTCCTCTTCCGCACCCCCCTCCTCTTCGTCTTCCTCCCTCCCTCTGCCTTTCTTCCCACCCATTCCCCTCCCTCTCTCCCCATCCCCCTTCCCTCTCGCCAGACTCGCCCTTCTCTCGCGCTCCTTCTTTCCTCCCTTGTCCCTCTCCACCACCCCACCCTTCCCACCCTTCCCTCTTGTCAAACTCGCCCTCCGCTCTCTCCCCTTCGTGCCCCCCTTCGTGCCTCCCTTTACGCCTCCCTTCTCCCTCTCAGCCACGTCTCCCTCCTCACTCCTACGAGCCCGTGTGATCCTCCGTTCCACCACTGCCCCGCCCTTCTTCGCCTTAACCCCCTTCCCTGCTGCTCTCCCCGCCTCCTCTACTTCACCCTCTTCCTGCTCCTCATCCTGCTGCTCCTCCTGCTGCTCTTCTTCCTCCTCCTGCTCCTCCTCCTCCACTGCTGCTGCTCTGTCATCTGCTGCCGTTTCATCTGCTTCTCTTATATCAGCCGCCTCCTTATCTCGAGCTCTTGTCACTACTCTTCCTGCCCTTGCTGCTTCGACCGTACCCTTTTGCTTCCCCTTCCCGACCATTACCGCCTTCATGTCCTTGTCCATCTCGCCAGCTACTGCTCCACCCTTCCCCTTCCCCTTCCCCTTCCCCTTCCCCTTCTCCTTCTCCTTCTCCTTCTCCTTCTCCCCCGCCTTCTCCCCTTTCTCCGCCTTCTCCCCCTTCTCCGCTTTCTCCCCTTTCTCCGCCTTCTCCCCCTTCTCCGCCTTCTCCCCCTTCTCCGCCTTCTCCCCCTTCTCCCCCTTCTCCCCCTTCTCCCCCTTCTCACGCTCCCCCCTCCCGGCCCTGCCTTTGCCTCCAGAAGAAGCAGCAAGGGCAGCAGCAGCGCGCCGAGCAGCTGCCCGCCTCTCCCTCCCTCCAGGAGGGGTTGACTGAACTTCTAGTCCTGGTGGGGTAGACAGCACGTCCCCCACTGGAGGGGTCGAAAACACATCCTCACCTGCCTCTGCCACCACTCCTGCCGCTGCTTTACTTCCCACGACTGCTTCAGCCGCAGCTGCAACCTTTGTTTCAACTGCTGCTGCCAATTTACTTCCCACAACTGCTGCCGCAGCTGCAGCCCGTGTTTCAACTGCTGCTGCATCTGCCGTCGTCAACGCGTCCTCTCCCGTCTCTCGACTTTCCCCACCTCTTCCTCGTTTCCCCCCCTTCCCGCTCTTCCTAACATAAACCAAACTAGCACCTGTCTTCGCTGTTTTCCCTGCCATCTCCCCACCAACACCGGCTTCTATCTCTCGGCTGCCTGTGTCCTCCCTCTCCGTCCCCAACGATGCTCCCTTGCTCAAGACTCCTGCTGTTTCCTCTGCCTCTCCCTCTGCTCCTCCCTCTGCCTCTCCCTCTGCTCCTCCCTCTGCCTGTCCTTCCGCTCGTCCTTCCGCTCGTCTCTCCGCTCGTCCCTCCGCTCGTCCCTCCGCTCGTCCCTCCGCTCGTCCTTCTGCTCTCTCCTCCACTCGACCTTCTGCATCTCCATCCGTCCGTTCTCTCTCTTCACGTTCCTCTTGCTCCTTGTCCCCCGCCTCCGCCACCGCCCTAGCACGCGAGTGCAAATCCTCTTCCCCTTTTCCCCTCGTCACTCCTCCCGTGTCCTTCCCGTCTGCAATCAGCCCCTCTTCTGCCGTTCCTGTCGCTTCTGCCTCTCCTGTCGCTGCCGCCTCCGGCCCAACCTCTGCAACGTCAGCTTCTGGCCGTGCAACGTCAGCCTCGATTTCCTCCCTGAAGGAATAAAGGAGGGAAAGAAAATGACAAGCGACTAGGATAAGGTTGCAGCGAACTGAGTCACGCAGTGAAAATGGACGAGGATTCAAAGTAAGAAACACCGTGCTTCAAGCAGGAAACCACAACAACGTAACAGCAAGCACCACGAGCCAGCAGCAGGATCGTCCAGGTGCGAAAGGCCAGAACCCATAAGTTCGAGTGAGCATGTGACTTGCCAAGACCCACCCTGCCTTTCTCCTCTTCTTGCCGCTCTGCCCACTTGCACCCGCCTCTCTCCCTTTCTCCACCTGTGCTTCCTTCTCCGTCTCCTCCTCTCGCTCCTCCTCCTCCTCCACCTCTTGCTCCTCCTCCCTTTCCTTCTTCCTCTTCCCTCGTGCCTTTGCACCCTTCTGCTTCCTCCCTCCCTTCACCCTACCCTTCGTTCCTCCCTTCGTCCCTCCCTTGTTCTCCTCCTCTTGTCCCTCCTGCTCCACTTTTGGCGACTCTTCTCCCTCTCCTTTCCCCTGCCGCACGGATTGTTGCTGCGTCTGCTGCTGCTTCTGCGGTTGCTGCTGCTGCAGCGGCGGCGGCGGCGGCTGCTGCTCTTGCTGCTGCTGCTGCTGTCGCTCCTGCCTCTCCCCGCGCTCCTGCCTTTCTGCGCGCGTTTGCCTTGCGCCCTGCTGGCGTTGCGCAAGCAGCGCCACCCTTGCCTCTTGCGCCAGGCACGCGTCCAGCGCCCCCTTGTAGTCGGGCAGGCAGCTGCTGCGCCGGCTGCGCGCGATCGCCTTTTCCCGAGCCTCGCCCTCGAACCTATCCAGTTCGTCCGGGCCACAGAACCGACTGGCACAGGGGGAGGAGCGGAGCAGAGGGAGGAAGGAGACGGGGGAAGAGCAAGAGAGGGCGAAGGGGACGAGAAGGGACAATTCCCGTATCAGTGCCTTGCGTGCTCCCTCGCCTTGTGTCTGAGACATTGTCCAGCTTGAGTGGATTTGCAGAACCGCCTAACATGCGGGGAAGGAGGGGCTGGATGAGTCAGCCCGGTATTTGAGCACTGAAGCGGGGTCGGAATAAAAAAAAATGACATCTGACAATTGCTAAACGGAGCCTAGTGCGCATAGATGCTACCGAGGCTTTGAAAACACGAGTCAGAAGGCACATTTACGCTTCTCGTGGTCGAGAGCATCTTATCAGTCGCAATTAAGAAACTAACATTTGAGGAAATCGGGAGACTCACATCTGTCGCGGTTGCAGGAACAGGACGAAGATTTTTCCTTCCTGGGGCTCTTTCTTGAACTTGTACGGATCCATGACCTGTTTCCAACCAACACATACACGGCAAACATTAAAAGGCCGCTGCATTCAGCATAGGGACAAGAAAAGTAACAGAATCTCGACCATGTCGAACGAATAGAATATGTGAATAATTAATCAAGTTTGAATACAAAAACAAGGTAAAAAACTGCATGTGGAGAAAATCACCTGAGCCGGCCATGGCGGATAGCCCTGAACCTTAGCGAGGACCAGCGAGCCCACCGGCCACGAGTCGGCTCCCGCGTCCATGGCTATCGCTGCTGCTCGGACCTAGCTAGTCAAATGCCAGGCTACAACCGGCTATGAGAAGTGTCTTAAGACGTCTCAGAACTCAACTCTTCAGTTCAGACTAGTACGAGGTTTGGTGTCGAAAAGTTCAAGTTGAAGCTAGTTAGTCTATTGGGTTACGAGCGGTTAGGTACCTGGTGGATTGTGTTACTAGAAAAAAGGCTTACTACAGGTAAGGAGGAAAATCAGTGCGTGACCGTGGATAGGCGTGAAGAACGGGAATAGAGTATGGCATGAAAAGGACACCGCGGGAAGTAACGCAATTCTTCGGACTCACTGACACTCTCAACGTGAAGAGAGCCTCGTGGGTTCCCCCAGCAGCAGCCAGACAAGCAACATGCTAGCAACTGGTATCGAAATCTTTCATCAGTGTGTGAATGGTGTGGGTGGGGGTGACTGGCAACAATCGGAGACGGAGAGGACATCGCTTCCAAACTCGTATTGGGAGGGAGGCAGGCAAGGCAAACAATGGAGTCGTGCAGGTGAAGAATGCTGCAGGAGAGGGAGGCATGAAATTTTGGCGGGAAGCCGGTTTCGAAACATTGAAATTGCCGCGAGCCATATTCGAGTATCTTAGGTGTAGCGAACTCCACGCCGTGATGCTATCGTCACTCAAAATTATCAATTAGTAATCAGACATGCATTTCACATACTTCAAAAAGTGATGCACACTTCCTGAAGGCTGGCCGAAGAATAGTAGTCTTCACTCTAACGTGCAGCACTTCAAAATAATGCTGAGCCTTTTTACTATCCACAAGCTCAGCAACTCTACTGCCCCACCACTAAATCACGTGCTCTATTTTAGGTCTGTGCCAGAACCATGTGCATTCTTCTGGCAAACCTTTCTTCCCAAACCCCTGTCAGTGAACACCAACCACCCTATATAATCCCCATCAGCATTCCCTATCGGTCCACCCCTCCACTTCCCCCACCTGTCGACATAGCACCCGCCCCAGAACCATTTTCAGCAGGCAAGGGTAGGCCCCACTTGCCATCAGGATCAGAAGGCTCTAGCACATGCACTGAACCATCACTCAGGCCCAATGCGAACTGGTTAGGATCTTGCGGGTGTGCTGCGACCACCATTGGCACGACAAGACCCGGTCTGCGATTCACCAAACACGGAAAAATGATAGAGCGCATGGCACACAAGGGACTGATGATGGGTCAGAGAAAGGAGGGAGAGAAGCTTCAGGAAGCCTTGCGTTGAGAAAAATGAAGGCAAGGAGAGTGAGGTGGGAGCGAAATGCGAGGGACAAGTGGGGGTGGGCATGGATATCCAAGGGAAGGGAAAGGGAGCACATGGCAAGAAAAACGAACATGCATACCCGGTGTGAGAAGGTAAGGGTTTAGGAGTCAACGCAACGTGCATACCCGACAGACGGCGCATACGCCGAAGGAGCAACGCGGCACCGCGGCCGGAGGCTATCCCCGTCAAACACACACACAGTGGCGTCCGCAAAGGCAGCGAGCACGAGCGAGGAGTCACAGGAGTAGGCAGCGGCAGTGATGGGCGCGGAGAGTGGGCCGAGGTCGCGGGGCAGCCACTGGCGCAGGCGGTCGAGCTTGGCGGCGTCGTAGATGGCGAGCTGCGACTCGTGCACCACCAGCAGGTGCTGCTGGTCGTTGTGGAACTGCACCCGCGTGTCCGCCTGCTGCGTCGGGGACGAGCGGGACGGCAGGGCCAGCGGGCGGGATTTCCGCTTCTCCCACCCGTCCGTGCTCCAGAGGAACAACTGGGGAGGGGAGAGTTGAGGGTGGAAAGAGGGAGGGGGTTGGGGAGGGAGTGGAGAGGGGTGGAAAGTTAAGAATCGGAAAAGGGAGAGCTGCGACTCGTGCACCACCAGCAGGCGCTGCTGGTCAGCGGGCGCGATTTCCGCTTTTCCCACCCGTCTGTGCTCCAGAGGAACAGCTGGGGAAGGGGAAGAGGGGGGAAGAAGAGGAGGGAGCCCAGGGGAAAAAGGGTAGAGGGGGGAGAAGAGAAGGAAAGTGGGATGGCAGGAGATAAGAGCAGGTGCTGATGGAAGAGTGTGTGGGGGAAAGATAAAAGGGTAAGAAAAGGGGACCAGGGATGAAGTCACTAGGGAATCAGTTGATGAGCACCGTGGCACGAATAGGAATAGGAACCAGTGGTAGCGAGGAGGGAAGCTCATCAAGTTAACCCTCCTCCTCCCCTCACCTGTGGATCACACTCTCCTCTCCTCACCTGCGAGTCAGCCCCAGAGGACACGAGGCTGTTGAGGGCGTTGGAGAAGGCAAGCCCTGTAATGCGCTTGCTGTGCCCCTTCAGCTTGCTCTTCACCTGTTACCATGAGATGGGGGGAGAGGAGGGAGGCCCGGAGGGGGGGGGAAAGGTATGGCACTTCAGAAAGGTACCATACCTTTACCCACTACAGCCCTAGAGCAATCCCATGGCTACATCATGGTGCTTTCCATCAAACAGAAGAGGGGAGAAAAAAAATGCAAGTTGAAGAAGTTCTGAAGAAAACCAGCAGCGCTCATGCCCGTGCCTTGCTTGACCTGCCGGTGGAGTGGAATGCTGCTGCTGGGAGAGGTGGCTGCTGCGGAAGTGGTAACTTCGCTTTCAAGACCCCATCAAGGGCCAAGGACGTGCTCACCTCGTCAAGCCGCACATTGTAGATCTGGATGGTTGCATCGTCCATGCCGATGGCAATGATGTTGTTGTCCTGCGGGTGGAACGCTGCTGCCTGGGGGGAGTGGCTACCGCAGAGGCAGTGCTTTCCCACAACGGCCCCTGCCCTGCTACAGCACCACCACTCGCCCAATCAGAGTCCTCACCTCATCAAGCCGCACGTTGTAGATCTGGATGGTGGCATCGTCCATGCCAATGGCGATTATGTTGTTGTCCTGTGGGTGGAACGCCAGGAACGTGGCTGCTGGGGGCGGCGCCATGAACGTCGTCATCACCTGGTCAACAAGGTCAACACAATATAAGAGAGGTCAACGAGGGGCAATGGGGAGTGATATGCATGCCACAGGGTGCGCCCTCACACACACGCGCGCGCGCACGTAGGAGTCGTTGTTGGCCAGCGCAATGCACGCCATCAAATGGGCTCCCTCTCTCACTCACTCCCTCACTCTCTCACTCACTCCCTCACACACACCCGCACGCACCTTGAAGGTGAGCATGTTGAAGAGCGACACCTTGCCCCCCGAGGCGGACATGACATACGAGTCGTTCTTGGACAGTGCTATGCATGCCACCGGGTGCACTCCCTCCCGGTCGTCCGAGCTCACATCGCCCGTGTCGTTCGTCATCATGATGCCACTCGCCGGCTGCCACAGCTGCGGGACAGAGCTCGCAGTGGCCTGCGTGTGTGATGGGTACGAAAGGGAGGACCGTTACAGGTACTCAAAGTTACAGAAGCATCAAACAACTACCACTTCCGCCTCTTGAAAAGTGTCTCGTCGGACGGTGCCTACTACATTATATCAAATTAAAAGAATTACAATGATATAGAATGGATCTCTAAATGCATATGTTTCTGTTCCCATGGTACTGACCGGTCCTTTGGTGTTGCGGTCGGAGCACTGCCACTTCCACAGCTTGTGCACGGCATTGGCAGAAAGCGCTTACTACAGTAAACCCAATACATTCAGCTATAAAGGTATGATATATGCATATCACGACGTAAATATATGTATATTTTGTGTAACACTCACCAGTCCTTTGGTGTTGCGGTCGGAGCGCTGCCACTTCCACAGCTTGTGCACGGCATTGGCAGAGAGGGCCAGCAGTGCCACGCCTGAATTGGTGTATATCAAACGCAGCACCTTGCTGGGCGGCAGACTGTCCGGCAGGCGGGCGGCCCGGACCTGCGAGGTTCGGAGTGACAGAGGGAAAAGACAGGTTGGGATGGCGGAGGGAAGGGAGGGAAGCACCGGCACAAGAGGGAAATGCAGGCAAGTAGTGGTTAAGGGCATGGAGAGAGACAGAGAGAGCAGTGAAAGCAGATCGTGATGAGGGGCAGGAGAGGGGACTCAAAGGCCAAATGTGAAGACAAAAGCAAGGTTGGAGACAGGAGAGGGGAGGTGGAGAAGGTGGAGTGGGACAGACGGGGAGAAGGTTTGAGGGAGAAGGGAGAGGGGGAGCGGGAGAGAGAGGGGGAGCCGGAGAGAGAGGCTACCTGTGAGGGCTCCGAGAACTCAGTAAGCTTCCATCCCTTCTTGTCTGGCCCGTCCTCCTGCAGCCTCTGATGTGAGCAGAGCAGGGGCGTGGAGGGGGGGTTGGCGGAGAGGGGGGTTGGGGGAGAGGGAGGATGGGAGAGGAGAAGGGGGAATTTTTTTCTAAGCAACTACAGATACATCTTCCCGCAGCCTCTGCTGTGAGCAGAGCAGGGGCGTGGAGGGAGGGTTGGGGGAGGGAAAGGGTTAGGGAATGGGAACAGGGGCCCAATAAGCGGGGAAGGGAACTGAGGAAAAAGGGGGCAGCAGGACGGGTGGAGAGGTGGAAGGAGAGTGAGGGGATGCACCGGAGGGGTGACGTGAGAAGGTGAGAAGAAAGAATGCTTGAAGGACAAGAGTCTGTGAACGTCTAAGCTGAAGCACACCCTAAGCCACACACAAGAGAACAGCAATGCACTAGGAGATAAGTCATGTAAGAACCGTACCGAAGCAGTAAGAGCGGAAGCAGGGGATGAGCGATCCAACTGCTGCTGCTGCTGCTGCTGCTGCTGCTGCTGTTGCTGCTGTTGTTGCTGCTGCTGTTGCTGTTGTTGCTGCTGCTGTTGCTGTTGCTGCTGCAGCTGCTGCTGCTGTTGTTGAAGCTGCTGCTGCTGCTGTTGCTGAGATGGCGCCTGGGAAGGGGGAGGTTGCTGAGACGCCTGAGCAGCGGCGGCGGCTGCAGCTGCTGCTGCCTGCACTGCCTGCTGCTGCTGCTGCTGTGATGGAGGCTGGGGCAGGGCGGGTGGTGGCGGCTGTAGCGCACAAATGGAGGGGGGGAGGAGAGCAAATATGAGACAGAGAGACACATCAATTAACAGAAAGGGCCAATCAGGGAAGCAGAGGAGTGCACGAAGCAGGAGGGTAGGGGAGTGGGATCTCACATATCTACACATCTATGCAAGACTGGCTAGCCCTCAGATGGACCCACCTTGGTGTCCACAGGCCTCTGGGCCGCTGCAGCAGCCGCGGCGGCAGCGGCAGCAGCTGCAGCGGTGGCAGCGGCGGCCTCGAGGTTGCGGAGGAGGCGCAGGCCCATATCGTTGGCGAGGATCTTCACTGAGTTGTCCGCTGCTGTCACCGCCAGCAGTGACCCCTCCCTGTTGAACCGCACCCTCGGACTCGCCTGGTGGAGAAGAAAACAGGGAAGGAAGGAAGGGAGGGAGGAAAGCGAGAGGGGTTCTAACTGTACGCGCTGCGTACTTGGGTTGCATGACAGCAGGGGGGTTGGGAAGGGGGACGGGTGAGCAGGAGGAAGCGCAGGCCCATGTCGTTGGCGAGGATCTTCACTGACTTGTCCGCTGCTGTCACCGCCAGCAGCGACCCCTCCCTGTTGAACCGCACCCTCGGACTCGCCTGGTGGGAGGAGGGAGTGGAAGAAAGGAGCGAGTGACTGTTGCCATGCCATCCTCTGTGTAGTAGGACCCGCATTTGAGCCGCGCACGAAAGCATACTCACAGAGGAAAGAAGGACAGGAGAAGCACTCACCGGCAGGCCACCATCAGCGTCGAGCGTGCAAAGGACAGCAGTATTGGCCATGTCCCAGAGCTTGATGAGGTGCTCGTCACCAGCATGGACAGGCGTGCTTGCAAGCAGCAACAAGTGACCTAAATGAGGCAGAGATCACAAGGAAAGGAGAGAAAGCAACACTCACCGGCAGGCCACCATCAGCGTCGAGCGTGCAAAGGACAGCAGTATTGGCCATGTCCCAGAGCTTGATGAGGTGCTCGTCACCAGCATGGACAGGCGTGCTTGCAAGCAGCAACAAGTGACCTAAATGAGGCAGAGATCACAAGGAAAGGAGAGAAAGCAACACTCACCGGCAGGCCACCATCAGCGTCGAGCGTGCAAAGGACAGCAGTATTGGCCATGTCCCAGAACTTGATGAGGTGCTCGTCACCAGCATGGACAGGCGTGCTTGCAAGCAGCAACAAGTCACCTAAATGAGGCAGAGATCACAAGGAAAGGAGAGAAAGCAACACTCACCGGCAGGCCACCATCAGCGTCGAGCGTGCAAAGGACAGCAGTATTGGCCATGTCCCAGAACTTGATGAGGTGCTCGTCACCAGCATGGACAGGCGTGCTTGCAAGCAGCAACAAGTCACCTAAATGAGGCAGAGATCACAAGGAAAGGAGAGAAAGCAACACTCACCGGCAGGCCACCATCAGCGTCGAGCGTGCAAAGGACAGCAGTATTGGCCATGTCCCAGAACTTGATGAGGTGCTCGTCACCAGCATGGACAGGCGTGCTTGCAAGCAGCAACAAGTCACCTAAATGAGGCAGAGATCACAAGGAAAGGAGAGAAAGCAACACTCACCGGCAGGCCACCATCAGCGTCGAGCGTGCAAAGGACAGCAGTATTGGCCATGTCCCAGAACTTGATGAGGTGCTCGTCACCAGCATGGACAGGCGTGCTTGCAAGCAGCAACAAGTCACCTAAATGAGGCAGAGATCACAAGGAAAGGAGAGAAAGCAACACTCACCGGCAGGCCACCATCAGCGTCGAGCGTGCAAAGGACAGCAGTATTGGCCATGTCCCAGAACTTGATGAGGTGCTCGTCACCAGCATGGACAGGCGTGCTTGCAAGCAGCAACAAGTCACCTAAATGAGGCAGAGATCACAAGGAAAGGAGAGAAAGCAACACTCACCGGCAGGCCACCATCAGCGTCGAGCGTGCAAAGGACAGCAGTATTGGCCATGTCCCAGAACTTGATGAGGTGCTCGTCACCAGCATGGACAGGCGTGCTTGCAAGCAGCAACAAGTCACCTAAATGAGGCAGAGATCACAAGGAAAGGAGAGAAAGCAACACTCACCGGCAGGCCACCATCAGCGTCGAGCGTGCAAAGGACAGCAGTATTGGCCATGTCCCAGAACTTGATGAGGTGCTCGTCACCAGCATGGACAGGCGTGCTTGCAAGCAGCAACAAGTCACCTAAATGAGGCAGAGATCACAAGGAAAGGAGAGAAAGCAACACTCACCGGCAGGCCACCATCAGCGTCGAGCGTGCAAAGGACAGCAGTATTGGCCATGTCCCAGAACTTGATGAGGTGCTCGTCACCAGCATGGACAGGCGTGCTTGCAAGCAGCAACAAGTCACCTAAATGAGGCAGAGATCACAAGGAAAGGAGAGAAAGCAACACTCACCGGCAGGCCACCATCAGCATCGAGTGTGCAGAGCACGGCAGTGTTGTCCATGTCCCAGAACTTGATGAGGTACTCGTCACCGGCGACCAGGAAGCGGTTGCGTGTGGTGTCAAACTGCACCACGCCCAGCGAGCGCTTGCGGAAGCCCAGGTAGCTGCGCTTGATGGCGCCCTCACTCTCGTTCCACTCCACCAGCGACGTCTCGCCCTCCTTGCTCGTGCCGCAGGAGAAGAGGCTGCGGAGGAGGCCGGGGGAGAGGGAGGGGGGTGGGTGGGTGGTGGGGAAGGTGAGGTGCAGCAACAGGTGGTGCACCACTCACTGTGTGCCAACAGCAGAAAGGGTCCCATTTTGATGCCATGGTCAAAGCCTGGTGATAGCTTCTTGTTCATGCATGCAAGCCAAAAAGCTGGTGGCTCGAATTGGAGGCACACGTAACTCACCGCATGCCATCAGTCGAGTACCCCACGGTGCTGCACCACTTGCCCAGGGCATCCTAGTCCACTCTCGATGCCTGGAGACAGCTTGTTGCTCATGTATGGAAGGTCTCATCTGTGAGCCAATGAATATGTGCCTCGAATGTAATTGTGATTGTGACTCACCGCGTGCCATCAGCAGAGTACCCCATGGTGCTGCACCACTTGCCCGGCGCATCGTAGTCCACTCTGGACCCCAGATGGTCGTACAGCCACGCCTTGATCTTCCCGTCTATGGCCGTCGAGAATATGAACTGCAGGAGAAGGGACGGCATGGGGAGGAGTAAAGGGAGGGAGTTTGGGAAAGACGAAAAGAGGAAATGGCCGATTACGAAATAGGTGAATGGGAGAATGTGGGAACAAAACTGGATTTTTCCTTCTCCCTTGCTTTTTTTTTTCTACACACACGCGTACACACAATGGTCTTAGGTTCCTGAACATAGAATGCGTAAGCTCAGTCCACGCACGCTCAGTCAACGCACCTGAATGTTCTCCTTGTGGTGCGGGCATACGGAGTAGACGGGTGCCTCATGGCCCTCAAACGTGTACAGCTTGCGCCCACTGCTCGCCTCCCACACCTGGTGGCATGGGATAGGTATGGGGTATGGGGTATGGGGCAGGGGATACGGAGCATAGGGGCATAAGGTAGGGGCTTGTGTATGAGTCATGGGGATGCGGTATGGGGCATGGAGTATGAGAAATGGGACAAGCATACGATTTTTCACATGCACATGCACAGGCGCACTCACTTTGATGGTCTTATCATCGCCGCATGTGATGATGCAGAGCTGCTTGTTGGGGTGAGAGAAGGCCAGATCGTTCACTCCACCCACATGCGCGTCGATCTGCACACACCGATACAGGCAAGCAAGAACAGATGCAAGAACAGATGCAAGAACAGATGCAAGAACAGATGCAAGAACAGATGCAAGAACAGATGCAAGAACAGATGCAAGAACAGATGCAAGAACAGATGCAAGACCAGATGCAAGAACAGATGCAAGAACAGATGCAAGAACAGATGCAAGAACAGATGCAAGAACAGATGCAAGAACAGATGCAAGAACAGATGCAAGAACAGATGCAAGAACAGATGCAAGAACAGATGCAAGAACAGATGCAAGAACAGATGCAAGAACAGATGCAAGAACAGATGCACGAACAGATGCACGAACAGATGCAAGAACAGATGCAAGAACAGATGCAAGAACAGATGCAAGAACAGATGCACGAACAGATGCACGAACAGATGCAAGAACAGATGCAAGAACAGATGCAAGAACAGATGCAAGAACAGATGCACGAACAGATGCAAGAACAGATGCAAGAACAGATGCAAGAACAGATGCAAGAACAGATGCAAGAACAGATGCAAGAACAGATGCACGAACAGATGCACGAACAGATGCACGAACAGATGCACGAACAGATGCAAGAACAGATGCAAGAACAGATGCAAGAACAGATGCACGAACAGATGCACGAACAGATGCAAGAACAGATGCAAGAACAGATGCAAGAACAGATGCAAGAACAGATGCAAGAACAGATGCAAGAACAGATGCAAGAACAGATGCAAGAACAGATGCACGAACAGATGCAAGAACAGATGCAAGAACAGATGCAAGAACAGATGCAAGAACAGATGCAAGAACAGATGCAAGAACAGATGCAAGAACAGATGCAAGAACAGATGCAAGAACAGTGCACGAACAGATGCACGAACAGATGCAAGAACAGATGCAAGAACAGATGCAAGAACAGATGCAAGAACAGATGCAAGACCAGATGCAAGAACAGATGCAAGAACAGATGCAAGAACAGATGCAAGAACAGATGCAAGAACAGATGCAAGAACAGATGCAAGAACAGATGCAAGAACAGATGCAAGAACAGATGCAAGAACAGATGCAAGAACAGATGCAAGAACAGATGCAAGAACAGATGCAAGAACAGATGCACGAACAGATGCACGAACAGATGCAAGAACAGATGCAAGAACAGATGCAAGAACAGATGCAAGAACAGATGCACGAACAGATGCACGAACAGATGCACGAACAGATGCAAGAACAGATGCAAGAACAGATGCAAGAACAGATGCAAGAACAGATGCACGAACAGATGCAAGAACAGATGCAAGAACAGATGCAAGAACAGATGCAAGAACAGATGCAAGAACAGATGCAAGAACAGATGCAAGAACAGATGCACGAACAGATGCACGAACAGATGCAAGAACAGATGCAAGAACAGATGCAAGAACAGATGCAAGAACAGATGCACGAACAGATGCAAGAACAGATGCAAGAACAGATGCAAGAACAGATGCAAGAACAGATGCAAGAACAGATGCAAGAACAGATGCAAGAACAGATGCAAGAACAGATGCACGAACAGATGCAAGAACAGATGCAAGAACAGATGCAAGAACAGATGCAAGAACAGATGCAAGAACAGATGCAAGAACAGATGCAAGAACAGATGCAAGAACAGATGCAAGAACAGATGCACGAACAGATGCACGAACAGATGCAAGAACAGATGCAAGAACAGATGCAAGAACAGATGCAAGAACAGATGCAAGAACAGATGCAAGAACAGATGCAAGAACAGATGCAAGAACAGATGCAAGAACAGATGCAAGAACAGATGCAAGAACAGATGCAAGAACAGATGCAAGAACAGATGCAAGAACAGATGCAAGAACAGATGCAAGAACAGATGCAAGAACAGATGCAAGAACAGATGCAAGAACAGATGCAAGAACAGATGCAAGAACAGATGCAAGAACAGATGCAAGAACAGATGCAAGAACAGATGCAAGAACAGATGCAAGAACAGATGCAAGAACAGATGCAAGAACAGATGCAAGAACAGATGCAAGAACAGATGCAAGAACAGATGCAAGAACAGATGCAAGAACAGATGCAAGAACAGATGCAAGAACAGATGCAAGAACAGATGCAAGAACAGATGCAAGAACAGATGCAAGAACAGATGCAAGAACAGATGCAAGACCAGATGCAAGAACAGATGCAAGAACAGATGCAAGAACAGATGCAAGAACAGATGCAAGAACAGATGCAAGAACAGATGCAAGAACAGATGCAAGAACAGATGCAAGAACAGATGCTCTCCTGCCATCAGTGTCAAAGTGAGCACGCATGGTAAGCATGAGCAAGCAGGGTAAGCAGCAGCATGCAGCGCAAGCATCAGCCACAGCCTTACTATCGCTACTTCGACTGTCACTTTGGCATGCTAACACACACACCTCGAGATGCTGCCCCATGCTGCTTGGGTTCTGGTACGTGTAGATGTGCACCATGTGCTTTGAGAACGCCGCTCCTGCCATGCACCAGCACCACGAGCAACACAAGCAGAATAGCACACAAAGATGAGACGCCAACACTTGAAACATCTCAAGCCAGGAGCGGCAAGGACAGAGTGAGGGGATTGCAAAGGTGTAAGGATAGAAAGTGGGGGAGGAGGGGCGAGAAAAGGAAGATAGGGGGTCGGCAGACGGGCGAGGACTCACCAAAGAGTTGTCCGTTAGGCTCCCAGATGACACGATTCACAGCGATGGTTTGATCCTTCATCCATAGCGTCTGCAGGGCCGGGAAGAGGGAGGGAGTGCAAAAGCTGTTCATTCATTGCCCCTTAACAACCTGAAGTGGAGGTCGATCAAGCTGTGGATGGAACCTGGGATTGCAGCAAAAACCTGATACGTCAGCACCTGGGAGCACTGCAGACACCTGAGAACGTTGCGCGCACCTGGAACTGAGGCGAGCACTGCTGGGGGTCCCAGAGCTTGAAAGGGCGGTCCACCACCTTCTCTCGTGACCCCACCTCCCATATCGCCACATCCCCCGTGTTGCTGCCCACTGCTCCCACACACACATGGGCACCCGCACACACATACACACGCGCGCACACACATACACACGCGCGCGCGCACACACACACACACACACACACACACACACACACACAGGGAAATGTGACTTACATTTGATGTGACTCACTGGCAAAGCTGGTGAGAGCATGAGATGAAGGCATAACAAGAGGGAGGGAAGGAGTGGGCGCGGAAGGCACGGAAGACTACATGCGTGGAGCAATGCAAGCAGGCGGGCGGATTGGTGGAAAGCGGCTTGAGGGATAACAGTACCGAGCAGCAGCGTGGGCTGGTACGGGTGGAGGTCCATGGTCATGACACACGAGCCCGGGTTCAGATTCCTCGCAATCGTCTAGGGCAGATCCTCCACTGCATACCTTCTGAGTCAACTCAACAAGCAGGTGGAGGGAAACCTACCGAGCAGGAGCGTGGGCTGGTACGGGTGGAAGTCCATGGTCATCACACACGAGCCCTGGTTCAGATTCCTCGCAATCGTCTTGGGCAGATCCTCCACTGCATACCCGCCCCCCGACCCCACCCCTGTTCCTAGCGCCACTGGCCCCTGTCCCCCTGCTGCTGCTGCTGCCGCTGCTGCAGCTGCTGCGGCGACGGCGGCGGTCACGGCACTCCCTAGGCCTGCCCCTGCTACGTTGCTTCCTATTGCTGGTACTGGCGGGCCTGGGATTGCTCCTGGGATAGGTGGCGGCTGCTGATTGGGCGGGACTTGGCCGTAGACCTGGTGGAGAGTGGGTGGGGTGGAAAAGTGGGGTGAGGGAGGGATATCACGGGAGGCAGGAAAAACATTGTGCCCTGTGCCCTCTGCCCTGAGCCAATACACTCTTGATGCCCATTAAACGCAACCAGGGCACCTCACCTCGACACACCCCTCACAACGCCTCACTTTGCCCGCCCACACCCCTCAACAGCCGCTCACCTCGTCCATGCCGCCCCTGGACCGCTTGAGCGCCATAGTAAAAGATCCCTGTGCTCGGATACTCCACCGCCACCGGGTTGCCTGCCAGTGCTTTCACTTTGATTCGACTCAAACCTCACCTCGCCCAAGCCTCTGGCAGCCGCTCACCTCGTCCATGCCGCCCCTGGACCGCTTGAGCACCATGTCGGAGTCCCCTGTGCCCGGATACTCCACTGCCACCGGGTTGCCTGGCGGCGTGCGCGGCCGCTTCAGCATCGCTGCAGTGGGGCGACGACAGACACGCAGCATGGATGGAGGAGGCGGTCAGGCAGAGGGGGAAACATTGCACCGGGGGAAGGAGGGCATAAGGCATGGGGGGAAGAAGAGACAGCATGCAAACCGCACTGGCACAAAGAGACTAGCTCCACGCACCTGGGTTGGGCCCTGGGGGCAGGTTGGCAGGGGGGGGCGGCACCACGGCGTGGGGGGGAGGCGCAGCTGCAGGCTGCTGTCCGCCCATCCACCCCGCCAGGGCGGAGGCGGATGGTCCCCCAGGCTGGAAGGGCTGCAGTGGCTGCTGCAAGGGGCGTGTGGAGGAGGGGGGTGAGGGACAAAGAACGCAATGGGGGCGGGGTTCAGAAGAGAGGCGAGAACATTAGATGCTTTGCAGGCACGGGATGGAATGGGCTGGTGGGGCGATTGAAAACGCCATGACAATCGCGAGGAAATGGGCTCGCAACAACCTGTCTCCTCACCCCCTAACCATCTTCCAGCGCTCCAATGATCACCATACCGAACACCACAGCACCTTCAAACTCCCAGCCTTCAGGTTAAACCCTCTCCCAGGCCCTTATCCCTAGACTCACCGCATGCCCGCCCACGCCCACGCCCACGCCAACCGGCCCCAGGGGAAACGGATGGGCCTTGGGCGGCTGCTGCTGCTGCTGCTGCTGCTGTTGCTGCTGCTGTTGCTGCTGCTGCTGCTGTTGAACCGCGGAGAGAAGCGAGTTGGGAGGAGCAGGCTGCTGCGGCTGTGTGCGCCCGCCGTTGGGCGCGGGGCCACAGGTGTGGTCCACGAAGAGGGTCTTGATGTCCGGGTTGGGGCGCGGGTTCTTGCACAGCTGGTGCTGCCAGTTGAGACTGGTGGAGATGGGGACCGGGAAGGAGGGAGGAGAGAGAGAGCAGGTTACTTCGCAGAGTGATGACAAGCCAGGAAGTGTAGGTAGGTTATGAGTGCTGTCATCGTCCCTCCACCAAGGAGTTGCTCCTCTGATCTGAGCTTTCATTGGTGGCTCGAAAGCTGAACATTAGGACGCGCTGGTGTCGCGTCTCTATTCTGAGAGAACGCGTCAGGAAAGAGTCGCGACCAACCCTGCCTCTGGCTGGTTGATAAGCATGCAGGCACGAACTTTTGAGGTTCGCAATCTGCAGCTTGTGCCTTCGGGACAAATCAGAACGCACCTCTGGTTGATGAGCGTGCGCAGGCGCGAGTTCTTGAGGTTGGGGAACTGCAGCTTGTCACGAAAGAGCGGGTTGGCCTCGATGAGCTTCTTCAGCTCCAGCAGCATTATGTTGCGCGCCGACTTGGTGTCCCCGTACTTGCTCAGCTGCTCGTTCTCGCTGCGCAACGCGGGGTATGGGAGGTAGAAGGGGAAGGGCATTACTCAGCAGCATGATGTTGCGCGCCGACTTGGCGTCCCCATACTCGCTCAGCTGCTCATTCTGTTCTCGCTGCACATTACACGCAATGCAACGCGGAAAAGGGATGTGGAAGGAACGGGAGGGAGGAGGGAATTGCAGAGCAGCATGATGTTGTGCGGCGACTTGGCGTCCCCATACTCGCTCAGCTGCTCGTTCTCGCTGCAGCTACGCGCAATGCGCAATGCGGGAAAGGGCTGTGCGGAACGGAAGGGAGAGGAGGGGGGGGAAATCGACGTGGCGAACGAGGCGGGACGAGAAAGCGTTTGTCGCGAGCACTCATACGAATGGTGGACATGGCGATGGTCGTTGAGTCAAGACTTGGCTGCACCAAGGGCTGCACGTGAACGCATGCAAGTTACCAGAGTCAAGTACGCGAAGAACTGCTGGTGACCAGCGTTGAAAACGATAAAGGAAATCAGTCATGGTTGTTGACAGTTCACTAACGGCTGGAGGCGCAGGCCAAAGGAACCACGTCACAGAACCGAACAGACTTAGAACAATGCGCAGTCCAAAGAAACGTGTTACAGAACGGAACAGACGTTGACCAACCCGAGACGAGGGAAACGCACCGGAAATTGTCCAAGGTCAGTAGCTGAGTAATCTCCTTATAGAGCACCTCATTAAACGACGCGAAAACCTTGAGGTCCTTCACCAGGATCTCCACAGCCTTGGCTCGATCTTGCCTGAGATCCGACGGGCGAGCAGGGAAGCATACAATAATGTGGTGATAAGTTTAATGCAATAATTGCGGAATGACAGGAGGGACAAAAGGCCAGCAGAGGCCATTGGTCCACGCGCAAATCAAACAGGGAATGGGGATTGCCGAAACAAGGCGTTTCGAAGACGTAGAGACGATCGCGAGGATCTGAAATGACGGACGAGCCCGTTGTGACCCGAAAGCACAGTCAAGGTCTTAACGGTTACACGCCTGGCTCAGACATGGTGACGTCACCGCTGACGTCAGACATGTCGTCCCCGTTCCGTCGCGACTTATTTCCAAAACATGATCAAACTGCGCGTTCATTATTCCGAAATACCCATCACGACTCGTTTAACCCAAGCGACTATCTGAAACGGGGGTGACGACAAAAAAACGGAAATCAACGCGGGGAGCGACAACTTTATGCACCGAGGATGACAAACCACGCACTTGTCCAGCGCTTCGAGGTATTTCTGCTTCCTGATCTCGAAAAATATCTTCATGGAGTAGCGGTTGTCGTCGACCTTGGTGAAGCCCGCGAGGTAGCGCTCCACCTCCTCCCACTCGCCAGCCACTACCTGGTCTTCGAAATACTTCATGTTGAAGAAAAAGCCCGATTCCTGCTCGAGCCTGCGTCGGTTCACGAATGGGAGCGTAAAAACGGGTGGAGGAAATATTACTTTCTTAAACGCCTACTAGCACACCGAAACGAAGTATCCTTTCTTCATACATGATTTTGTTGTTATTCTAAAAGGCTGACAAAAAGCATAAGTATTGGCCTTTTTGCGCGAAGACGGAAATATCTAAAAACATGTCATTAAGAGCTCTTACTTGTGGACGGTTTCTTTGAACTTCTCTTCATCGAGAAATTGTAGTATTAGGAACACGAGCTCTCGACTCAACGACGACATGGTTCAAGCTCGAAGCGCCAAAACGGCATACAGCTCGAAAAATCAGGGTGGATCTACGTTGTCGATACAGTTTCAAGTGCTAACCCCAAATCCAAGAACTTCCAAAGCCTAGAGAGTCCGCCAGCAGGAACTAATTATCCATCGATTTTGACAGCTAAATTAGTTGAGAGGTGAACGTATGGTCACCTCAAATAGAGCGGAAGTTCATGAACGGGGTGCATGAGATACGAAAATGGTCCGCTTTCAGTTCTGTGCCTGGCTATGATTCAGTCCAGGGGAGAGGTGGGTCAGTGACAGGACCGCCTATTTCTGAAGTTTAGGTGGTACGCGATCTGGTGGGTTTTACTTGGTTCAAGTGCGGTGAAGCGTGGCAATCTCCGAGTTCCTTGACTTTCTGGTGACTACAAAATGGGGGAGCGAGGGAGGGAGGGGAATGGGAGGGAGGGATCCACTGTAGTAAGGGAGGCAAGGGTGCAAGGCCAATTGTGCGAGGTGCGAGCGAGTGAGGCAGGAACAAGGACAACCTGCAACACTTTCCTGAAAACATCGAGGTCGCTGCTGGTCCCGAGGAACACTGTTGGTACCCTGTCAAAATACCCAGCAATGAGGGCACGAGTTTCGACCCACACTGTATTTGCTGCTGGAGGTCTCTGGTCTAGGCCAGGTTCCACGGGCACTTCAGCGAGTATAATTATTCCTGATTCAAGTATTGTTGAATCACCTAACGCAGTTACACTCTTATTGTTTTCAGGGCACTTCACAGACGAAAGGTCTTTCTTGAGAAGTTGCCCTACTCTCTCAACCGCACACACCCAACAACTCTCTGTACAGTGTCGAGCTGAGTTATTGCAATGATGCGCCATACCCTCGCCTCCGACACCAGAGATTTTAGTTGAGGGGAGAAGACCCATCCAACACCAACGTTCTGCCGGAACAGCCAGCACAACACAGCTGAAGCTCATCCGAGTCCGAGCATGTCCCACAAGGCGGGGTGCAACTTCTTAGGAACAGTAGGGGGACAAAAATGGCATGTGAGTAACTTGAATTCTATTGGACGAAAAAACTGGAAAACCAGAAGAGGACAAACTTCTCGGCTCTGAACTGCCTGGGTCAACCTCTTCCAAGCTATAATACTTTGAAGTTGAAGTTGATAGTTGGGCCACGGCTTTAAAGGCGGGGTGCAACTTCTTAGAAACAGTAGCAGGACAAACATGGAGTGTGCGTAACGAGACCCTTATTGGATGAAAAAAATGGAATCTCGGAAAAGACAAACTTCTCGCCACAGAACTGCCTGGGACAACCAAGTTCCAAACTATAATACTTCGAAGTTGAAGCTGATAGAACGGCTTTAATAGAACCGTGATTTGCGTTCATCCGCTGGAAAGGTTCCTCCAATCTCAAGTGTCAACTGGTTCTCTCTGTCGGGCGTGGGTTCGGCACTGTGGTTTTCTGGCTCAACCTTCCGATTTTGATCGAAACCGCAGCGCATGCAGCAAGTGGAGCACCACACCCGAGAGCACTGTTGATGATAAGCCGTTCAGCTGTACAGGTTATCCGAGCACACCATCGTTCATCTTAGTACAGCTCGTTATTTCATACAATATGTTCTAATAGAGTTTCAAACATTATTTCCATCTCCACCCAAACACACTACGTTACCAAATCAGGCCTCCTCTATTTTACAAAAGCTGAATCTACTGAACATGAGATACTAAAAAATAAATTCCACCGATTATTTCAGTCCACGAATATATCATCTACGAAGTCGCGCTATGGGAGTCATTTCATATGAAAATGTTTATTCCATTCTTATCATCAAATCGTAATATCATCTTTATATCATGATAAAATGGTGACATCTATTGTTACAAATCGTAATTAATGAAGCATCGCTGTGCACTCCTTACCGCCGCAATCGAAACGCGTACTACCGAGGCTGGAGACGAAAAGGCGGAAGTGACGCGAAGGGTCGTACGGTTACGAAAAGGGTCTGGACCGTCGGGCAGACAGCATCAGGCAGCAGTAGTGGCAAGGATTCTACCCAGGCAATTCGTAACCGTCTGGAGTCGCACGGTTGAGTTTCGCAGCAATAAGGGAATGTACCTCTTAGAGTACATTGCTAGCCTATGTCGATTCGAATTCCCTTGTACTCTTATTTATATTCCAGTACTTGCATGTTTTTATTATCTCAAGCATTTTACATCCACACTGCTATTGAGGTCGAGGACCCACCACCACTGCTCAGACGTGTGCAAGCCTTTCCGGGGTGATCCTAGGGACGATCAAACATCTGATCGCAGCATGGTATGAGAGCGACTCGGGAATCCTTCGCACTGCCACCTCCGAAATCTTCGACGAACGGAAAGTGGCGTCCGGCACACGCTCGCGTGTGAGAATGGCCAGAGGATCTTGAGGTCAGACGAATCTGACGGCTGAAGCGCAGCCCAACCCGGCTGCGACAAGCAAGGAAACGACGACGATTGGAACCGCCGTCCTCGCACAACTGCTTTAGCGACTCACCAGCTTGGAGCAAGGACTCCAAACATTGCAGAATGGAGACGTGGGAACCTCTTCCCATCCCTCACAACCGGCCTCGAACGACCACAATACCGCCCCGCACACCTTCTCCCTCGACACAAATGGCTCAACTCCCAAAACTCCCCGTCTCAGCGAAGAAGCAATTCTCTCTACGCAATCAAGGTTTTTGAGAATACAAAAAATAAAAGACAAGTGTGTGCTTTGACGACAGAGACTTCTATACGTTGAGCTTCGAGCTGGAGCTGTTGCTGCAAAACGCGCAGATTTTTCACTACTACGACGGGAGCTACTCGGGACCCGCTGAAGACATCGACGGCGTGTACCAACCGAAAGATTCGGTTTCATCGAGCCGCCTGCTCCAGCAGCTACTGGAGACTAAAATGGCCCCAAGGGAGAAGGCCAACAGCTACATCAACCGCTGTCGGAGCTTACGCGATCAAATCGTAAAATAGGGAAGCACGATCCCAAAGGAGATTTTCGTGAATATCGTGCTTCAAGGGCTCGGCCCAGAGTGGCGGCCCTGCAAGGCGCTTCTCCAACAACAAGGGGTCATCTCGGAGGCCGCCCTATGCGCCGCCCTTCTCGTTAAACAAAGGGATACGGACCAGCAGCGACCAGCGCCGCGACGAGACCGGGAACGCCTCGCCTTCTACGCCGACAACTCAGAGGAGTGGCGGCCGCGGCACCTTGAGTGAAAAAATTGCAGAAATTTTGGGCACTTGGCAGATCGATGTAAATTCTGATCTCGCCCTCGCCAGACAAATCCGAGCACCTGGTCCGGTAGACAAGACGCACGAAACGACATGCATCAAGCCTAGGGGCACCAACCCCTACCGCGCAACCTGAACCCAGCGGTTCGGCATCAGCAGCAGCAGTCGTCAGAGGCTGCTCCCGTTCGCAACGTCATGGGGGACATGGCGATGACGAGCGGATCCCGTCGTCCCCGCGCGCGCTTATTATCACCTGAGCCGGCACGCTACCCAATCGGCGCATTCTCAAACAACAATCCCTTAAGCACTCACCACGACTTCAGCGACAACGACGAACAGGACTGGAATCTCCCAGTCCCGTTGCTTGAAAGCCCTCCGCACGTACCTGATCAGCGGGCGGCTCCGATCGATTGGATCTCGCGCGAGCAATTCGTCAAGTTTGACACACCGCACATCGTTACCCCGCGACTCGCGCTGCTCGCACGTAACGACAACAGGCGCTACAACACGTGGTACCTGGATAGCTGCTGTGGGCAGCATATGGTGGGATCCGAGCGTTACATATCCAACGCCGTCTCAACCCCCGTCGTGACCTATGTCACTGTGGCGAACAATATACGACTGGGCGCAAGCGCGTAAGGGATCGTGGTCCTCAAGGCTATAGGGAGCAGGATGCACATCACGCTGAATGACGTGCTGATTGTGCAAATTTTGCGCTTCAATCTTCTCTCGACGGCGCAACTCATGGATTGCGGAGTCGACCTCAGCACCGATCCCGAGACACGCGACATCCTGCTCCACTACACGATGCCGAACAAGACGCGCAAGCAGATTGGGCGAGCGCACCCCGAAAACGGCGTTTACATCCTCGATTTCAGCATTCCCGACTGCAGCGGTGATTCGCAGGAGCTCATCGACCTTGTCCCCCTGCACTTCGAACACATTCACCACCGTGACTGGAAACATCTGTTAGAATTGTGAACGAATGAATGGCTGAACTAGCAAGCAGGTGGGTACAAGTAGCAAACCTAAAAGTGTTGTACCCTATATGAACTACCCCACTACAGCCTAGATAGACTATAGCATATAAGTTTGACACACCCCCATAGGCAAAGTGGGGGAGAACAAGAGGTCACAAGACCAGTCAAGAAAAAGCAAAGCAAGCTCAGGGTGGATCACGACGTCACCACGCAGTTTGAGCACAAGCAAATGGCCACAAGGCCAGTTCACATGCAGAGTTATATAAAGGAGAACAAACAATACAGTGAACACAACCTAGCAAGTGTAAGCATGCAGGTATATGTATAGACAGTACAGTACAAGCAGAGTCAAGAAGTAAGCAAGTGAGGCACAGTAGGTACAAGGCCTAGAACAGTACAGAAACGCCGATGATCACAAGGCTGAAGTGCCTTGGTGAAAACATCAGCAGTGTTGGCCTGA